ACTGGCTAACATTGTCGTATGAGAGTCGATTGATTTTTCTAATTCGTTCAAAAAGGCATTTGTGTTATCAGTTTCATTTTTCTTCCTTTTATTCATAATAAATTTTGAACGCTTTTTATGAAATTCTTGATCACTTTCCGACTCTGTATGTTGCCCTTCATTTCTGATATTGCTATTCTCTAAAGATTTCATCATTATGCAAATAAGAAATTATATTTATATTATGTGCGTATAATTAATTTTCAATTCATTAGTAGTGTAAACAATTGTTGTACGAGCGATGTAAATATTTGAGGATCGAATGAACCAACCAATATTTTCATTTCCTTGACAATAAACGTTGCAAAGAATTTTTTAACAAATAAAATAAATTAATACCAAGTAAAACGATAATTTTGTAAATTATAATTAAAAATCTTTATTCCTTCAAAATTCTTTAAAAAAAAAAACTTGGATCTATAAATCAAAGATACTGAAAAATTGTAAATTATATTTTTATCAATACCATTATTTATACGTTGTTTGACATTCTTCCTTACATTGTCAGCCATCAACTTTGAACTTTCTGAGCGTGAAAGATTGTCAAACCATTTTCCAGATATTTCTGATGTATCGATAGTAGAATCAGAGTTTAAAATAGAACTAGCATGTTTTGTTAAAACCAGTGATGTTGATGGACGTATAATAGTTCTGTTGAACCATAAAGGGTCATCTATATTAAAATTAATAATATAAATCATGACGAGCGTGATAAATGCAAATAAATTGACAATAAATATTATGGGGTTCAAGTTTTAGAAAAACATCGAGTTATAATCATAATGGAACAATATGCATAACAATACGGATAAGAATTGCAATATTAAATTGTAATTAAATTCATCGATAATGTAATGAGAAATATAGAAAATGTAAAAAACACTTGAACTTTCAAACCATTGTCAATGATGTTTGTGTTTTCATTGAAATCGCCAGTTACATTGCTAGATCTACGGGCGGACGAGCGCCTATTCCTGCTTCTTCGTTGCGCCATTATATACGAATTAAATATTTTTCATAACAATTGTCAAATACTTTACAACGTCCTGATAGATATTCTTAACCTTAAATTCATTTTGGCGGTAAAATTTTAATATGATACACGATACTACTGCATCATTATTAGACAATAATCCGCAAACAGTAAAAATTGCAAACAGTAAAGAGATGCTCAGCCATAAAAAAAAGCTAATGTACACCATTAACTTATATCTTCTCTATCATTATTAAACGAAAATAAAATAGCTCTTAAGCAGTTTACTATTAATATTTATATAATTTTATTAACTGTCTATGAATATAGTTAGTTAAATAATAGTCATACGGATAAAGAAAGAATATATATATATATATATATATATTCGCATCGAATATCAAAGATGATTATTTAACTAACTATATTCATAGACAGTTAATAAAATTATATAAATATTAATAGTAAACTGCTTAAGAGCTATTTTATTTTCGTTTAATAATGATAGAGAAGATATAAGTTAATGGTGTACATTAGCTTTTTTTTTTTTTTTTTTTTTTTTTTTTTTTTTTGTAACAACTTTACAATATTCAGTAAAAGCAAATTATTGGATTAAATGAAATAAATAGCAACTAACAAATAGCATAAATAAGCAGTTTTAGGTAGAAAAAGATAAGTTTAAAGTAAAAATACTTCTAGTTCAAATAATTGTCTGATATTATAAAGTTCACTATTAAGGTAATTAATTCAATACATAATACTGCAGCAAGATATATAATATTGCAAAGTATACAACATATATAATTTATTACAATATTTATATTTATATTTTGTGTGTGTGCGCTATGTTTTGATGTTTGGATGCACAAGCTGAAGAAGTACGATGTAAATATGTACACGAAATGTATCTTAAATTAAAATTACAATACAAAGTCGTTTATTTGTTGCAAATAACAAAAACTTTTTTTATTGACTTTCTTGTATTGCCGTGTTTACTCAGATAATGAGGCTTTTTTTTGCCAAACGTGCTCTATATAAATCTCACAATAAGGCTGGAAACTCCTATTTATAAAAAAGGACGAAGGACTTGAAGGATGAACCGAGCAACCGAAGGTCTTAGAAAATTATAAAATGCAAAAACACATAATACCGGAGGTCGGCGACAACGACAGATGTACGCATGTACGTCATCATCGAATCGAGGGGGCCAGTAACCCTGGCCATTGTCTATCATTGTGCTGTCACGCGCGTCGCGAGGGCGAAGTCCTGGATCACGAGTCCCGGCCTCGTCCTCGCCTCCAGCGCGAATCTGTCAATTCTTTGAAATTTCACAACCATTGCGCTTTAGCCTTTAGCTGATCCGATTTGTACACGATTACGAGTCTCGAAGTCATCAATCTCTCAAAGAGCAAAAACACGTAAACTTACAAATTTCTATTCTAGTTTATATTGTATCGACAATTGGCAAAATTAATCTCATCAAATGCAGAGTATAAAAAACTAAGGCTTGGATTGCTTGCTAATAATATTAAAAGAAACAAAAACTTTTCATTAAAATTAAATTACGCGAAAGGAATTTTTATATAATGCAAACTATTTGTACCATGATTATTAGTATGAAATATAAATTAATTAACATTTTAATACAGGATAGGTAGTTATATCATTACAAAATCATAATATTTTTCAACAAAATATCAAAATTCTTATCTAATAAAGCAAGTGTTAAAATTCATTTCGCGTAATTTAATTTTAATGAAAAGTTTTTGTTTCTTTTAATATACTTACTTAATATACTTTATTTTTCATAAGAATGTATAGTATGCATAATTTCATAAGAATATATTTAATATACTTTATTTTTCATAAGAATGTAGTTTTATATAGTAATAGATAATATAATGTAATATATAGACAATAAATCTAAGTAAAATAAAGTAAAAAAAAAAAAAGCATTACTTTCTTTTTAACAAAGTATAGAGATATGTTTGCGTAATACGCAAAAAATATTGCGTATATCTTCCCTTGAAATTAATTTGAATGAAAGAAAAATGGCCTTGTCCTTCGTCCTGTATTTTAAAAATTATTTAAAAAAAAAAAAAAAAAAAAAAAAAAAAAAAAAAATGAAGCAGTTTGAATGAAAACAATATATGTAATTTTTTTAATTATTCTAACGAAAGATTCATAAAATTGAATGGCTTTTCAGATATTTTTTTAATCGAATCCAAAGAGCCAACGGAGACTTTTTAAAAATTGTTAAACAACCAACTATTTTAACGACAATCTTTTAAAACTCAATCGATTTTATTACGATCGATTAAAATTACAATAACACGGATGACCACTTCAGCCAGACAAATAATTTATCTTTATCAATAATAATAACTCGAATAATCCATTGTTAAGTTAACTTTAAATTAACGTAACAAAACTGTACATTAATTGTATATAGAATTAATTTATTCGATTAATAATAATATTAACAATAATAATAAACATAATAATAATTATATTTATTCCATTAGAATGCATGTGTAGAGAATGAAAAAATTTACAACAAATTGACATTGTTTGTACTTTCAGTAAAGTATATAAATATTATTATCATAATTATTATCAGAAACAATTAAATTACTGTAATTGTGACATTATTATTTCAGTCGCCTTTTAATGACGCAAGAGACAAATTATTTTATAAAGCCTTCTGTAATTCTCTCGATAAAGATCTAACTAATTTTGTTCAAAAATACAATAACTATTTTATTCGCAATCAGCCGTTAAATTAGTGGTATTTCAACATTTGGAAATTTTACTTTTTCTCTATTTTACCCTCACACAAGCGCACCCATATATAGACGCGCAAGCTATGTATTTATTATGATAATGATAATTATGACAATAATTGAATATTTTTATAAAATATTTATATGACTGTCTGAGCATGGGAATGATATGTGTGCATCGGAAAAGTAAGGAGGACAAGAAAGGCTTTCCCCCTTGTATTACGTTTCACAGCATTTCCCAAGCTCGACAACACCTATAAGAATCAAAATTCATTAACGTGTAAGCAAATATTGTCCACATTGTATTATATTATTAATTGTACTATCGATTAAAGTAACTTTTTTGAATAAAAATTCTAAAATTGTTGGATATTTTTTCTAACAGAATCTCTCTTAATACCCATAATTATTTGCTAAAATCAACGTATTTACAGTATTTATTTGAACTTAGTTTAATAATAAATATTCTTTTGCTCAATTATTCTTTAGCCGCGTTAGATAATTAATTCAAAAAATATTTTTAGTATTTATTATTTTTTCTTCTTTTACAACCTGCATTTGTAATGTATTGATAACAAATGCTACGCGCGAATAAACAATGTAAACTGTAGTAAAACAAATTGTACTAAATTCATTTTGTTTGGTAAATTTTTTTTTTTTAATTTATATCGTACTTATACCAGTAGCTTATGAAAGACTGAATAATATTTGTTTCTATTTGATTTATCCTTACACTGCATTTTTAAAACATAGTTATTTTATAAGCAGTTATTTAAATTTTGACTGTTAAGAAAACGTGAGTCGCACTTAATCTTCGACGCAAAACAATCTTCAATACAAAATTCTATAATCTATCTGGTTTTTTTTTTTTTTTTTTTTTTTTTTTTTTTTTTTATAAATTTTGCAATAATTGATGAAAACTCTTTGAACAGTAAAGAAGCATAAAATTACAAATAACTCGAAACAATAGTATTAATTTCAAATATAATAATAATAATAATAATAATAATAATAATAAATAACCTGATAGAAGATAAAAGTATTATTTAATGCAGGGTTTTCCTCGAAATTGAAAGAATGCAAATAAAGTACGGAATAGTATTATTCAATTGATGCGACTTTATGTCTATGGTTTAATGCAAATATAATATAGATGAGTAATTTTCAAAGCTAACTTATTATGAGATTGACCCATTTATTCACATGCGGTGAAACGTATATTGTCATTCCACGGCATAAAAATACTTGTGATGATATTATTGCGCCTGCGCCGGAAGTCAACTACTTGCCTACAGTTTTACATCATACTTTGTTATGTTATAATCTACTTTACTTTTGTAATAATCAACAACAACAACAACTACAACTACAACTACAACAACAACAACTACTACTACTACTACCACTACCACTACCACTACCACTGCCACTACCGACTACAACTACAACAACAACCACTACCACTACCACTACCACTACCACTACCACTACCACTATAACTATTACGATTTCTATTACACAAACACAGGTAATACAGGTTAATAACAACAATTATCTACAAAATCAACTCGTTTTACAGAAACTACCGAAGTAAAAGGAAAAGTCCTTTTATGCACTCGCCATTGATAAAAATAAAAATCTCATTTTTCAGAAAATTTATAACATTATATGATAGAATATAATTTTACGTCATTAAATAAATCCTTATGCACAGCCTTCGATTATAAACTACTCATTCCTCTCGTACTTGATATTTCACTATAATATAATGATCGATTATTCTCTTTAATGAATGATACTTTAGATATCTAAAATAAAAACACAATTTTACTTAGAAAATAAAAACTAACCGGTCATCGAGAATTCATAATAAACTTTATGACATTTTTTTTATATAAATTATAGTAAAATTAATACGATTCGATATAAATTTTAAAATCGATACAAACTACAAAATTATTCGAGAATAATATTTAGAATGCTAAAAAAGTAATTTAATTAAAGATTATAAGTTCTTAAGTCCAAAAACTGCAAATTTTATGTAAAACGGTAAATTTGTATGAAAAACATTGTGAAACTTATTATAAAATATGTTATATATATATATATATATATATATAATAATAATAATGGCGAATGAATTTATTTATTTAAAAATTGCTCAAAAATACATACTTTGAAAGTTATTGTTAATGGTTTATAAAGATGAAAAAAAAAAGATTTATTATCACCTTACCTAAATTATAGGACAATCGAAAATTTAAAGTTTTTATAATTTAAATTTATATATACATACTAAATATTATAAATAGAAATTATATTTCATAATTTATGGATCAAATAAAAAAGCATATCTTAAATAAATATTAAAAAAAATCAACGCAGTGTGTTGGAAATAATTCTTTTCATTACATGTAAAAATTCTAATTTCAAAAAAAAATTTATAAACACGCTCAAAAGATTAACTAACAATATTAAATATTATTAAATAAAGATTTTCGTAGTTCTCTTATCTGTGTAATTTTAAAATCGATATATTTGAAACTTATGATATTATTAATCTTAAAAACTGTTTTTCTTTTTTTTTTTTTTTTTTTTTTAATTTCTAAGTAATCGAAATTGTTAAACTTTTTTTATCTATCGCATATAAATACATTGTATTCTTCATTGTTAATAAGTGAAGAAAAATTCTGAGTAATTTAAAGTAAAAACGATTTTTCGAGATACTAGAAGTCATTGAATGTTTAATTGAATATACTCGTTTCAAATTGTTTATAAATACTACTGTTGACTTTTTTGCATCGAATATAAAAAGAAAAAAATATATATATCGAAGCGCATTTAAAAGATAAGTAAATTTTTTGCATTTCAATACATTGTTCGTTAATAATAAATAAGAATCATTATACCAAATTTCACGCGGTTAGCAATACAAAGCATAAATATTCATTTTTCTGGCTAAGCATCGAAACAACAATATTAATGCAGAATCTTTACACTAAATAGGCCACTTTTATCAGATGTCTTGTCTCCCTCTCGTTTACGATTTTTCTGTTTTACGGAGTAGGCGCTTCTAATTATCTTTTACCTATAAAAAGCAAGCGAAGCCCATACTCAACTCAATAGTCGCACTACGAAGTCGGCACTCGACACATCTATAAAGGTGTTTATCATTTTTAATTCCATAACTCACAAATCTTGCGAACATGATCTTCTGGGTCGTAATTACCTGTTTGTGGACTGCAGTATTCGGCCAACTCAAAGACGGCTCCATCGTCTTTCCTAGTAACAATATTATAAATCATGCACCAAGCGCTGCATCAAATCCTAATCCAAGTATGTAATATTAATTAAAATTGGCTCGTAATCTTAAAGTTTCATAAATTTATAAATGTCTTAATTTTCATTTTAAAGAAGATAGTTTTTTTTTTTTTTTTTTTTTTTTTTTTTTTTTTAATTAATACAAAAGGACAATAAGTATAAGGGAACGATTAACTTGTTAACGTTACGTATTATCGTTAAAATCCTTTTATATCTGCAATTAATCAATGAAAATTCTTAAATTCGCATACAAGTGGTGTTTTTATAATGAATTCATGAATTTATAATTAAGTTAATTATATATCATGTGCATAGAAAATATATGGTAAAAATATTTTGATATTTAATTATGATATCAAATGGATTTTTCGTTAACGTCAAGTATATTTATACTTATTATTATTATGCTACATAATATGAATATTTTTAATCAAATTTCACTTCGACTAACGTCTGAGTATGTTTACTTATTGCTCAGTATAACGGTACTTTATTTTATATAATTCAACAAAGTTAAAAAACAAATATTTTAAATAATTCAAAGTTTAAGGACGTGGGTATGTTTATGCAAATAGTGTAAATCAAATGAATTATTTACTTTTACATAAAAATTTTACGAATATAACGATTAAGAATTACAATCAATATTTAAAATTTATTTATAAAATTTAGTACTACTTCAAAAAAAAAAAAAAAAAAAAAAAATTTTTAATTATATTTCTTATTAAACTTATGTTAAAGTTATTTACTCTCCTTTAATAAAATTTATAATTTCTATTTATTACAATACATAAAATAGCTTGAAAATTTAAATTGTATATAATTTAGATTGAAAGAGTATTTTCCCGGTAACGTGATAAATCATTTTTCTCCATCTTTATAAACCATTAGCAATAATTTTTAAAGTATATAGTTTTGAGCAATTTTTAAATAAATAATTATTATACAAAATATTATTTTCTTTAATAACATAAATGTTATTTTTCCAATATTTTACATAATTATTAATAATGTTAATTCATAATATGATAATTACTTATTAATTTGTTGCTTAACCGCTTATTGTTTGCAGATCTAGATAAACCCAATTCATTAAATTTCATAATTTTAATCGACTAATTTATATATAAATAAAATTATTCTTTTCTTATGTTGTTTCTTACATGTTTCAGGTTTATCAATAGTTAACGCTGATTCAGGAAATTGCAAGTGCGTTCCAATTGGAACATGTCCACCTGGCGGAATCGGTGAATTTATTGACGTTCGAATCGTTAATAATGTCAGTAGTAATTATAAAACTCAACGAATTATAGACCCTATGATATATCGATTAAAATTAGCGATGCTATACATATACACATGCGTACGTAAATATATAAAAAGCAAAATAAAAATACTGTTTAAAATGAATTTTCGGGAAATATGTGTCAGTAAGTTGTGCATAATAGTTTTATGAATGTCAATAAGGATAGGAAAAACTTTTTTTTCTTCTATTTATACGTCAAAAAGCATTCGATTTTATATAATTTTAACTGGGCAGCTATTTGATAAGGACTGGGCACAAATTTTGAAAACCATTGAAGAAGTATTTTTTAATTTACTCTATAGCGTATTAGATGGCGGAGATGAAAAAAAAAAGTATTGTAATCGTTCGAAAGTGGGAGAGCTCTTTACGGAAAATCATATATTTATAAGATTTCAGAATCGGGCACATTGAATTTTCATTCAAATAAAGCAAAACTCTCAAATAGTAGGAACATTATTCATGCTATGGAACGATTCGATAAAGCCGACTATCGGCTGTTCAAACATCACATTGCTAGGATCGAGTGTTCTGCCATTCAATCCAAACTGCAGCTAACGAATGCTGCCAAACGAGCCCCATAGTTGACTTGGATTCAATTGAAAATTCTTCGCAGGGCTTACTCCCGGGTAACTGTCAGTTCGGCAACGTGTTGTGCTGCCCAAATAATAGCACGACCACGATGGACTCGACCTGCGGCATTAGGAAGATCACGCCAACGCCACAGCCGGTGGTAGGTCAAACGAGTTTTGGCGCTTACCCCTGGCATGCGATCATCATTACCAAGCAGGAGCTCTACCTCGGCTCCGGTGTCCTCCTCGACTCCACCCACATCGTCACAGCCGCCCACAAGGTCAACGCCTTTGTGTAAGTTGAAATCTTTCGAGAGTTCGGTTGAAGTTCTTCGTTAAATATGGCTAAAGCTTCTAGCGACGACGATGGCGGCTGCCCGATACAATGCTCAAAATTATAAAAAAAAAATCTCTCGCATTACTTGATAAAAATAGATTTTCATGCAGTCTAGTTACTCTCCAACAATGCGTCAACGGGGTTGATCCCAATCTCATCGAGTGTAGCTGATATTATTATGACTTGCCGACATTTTCGACGATGCGATGTGAAATTGCGACAACATTTGAAAAAAATATATATTTTACCAACAATTGAGAACAGCTACTAGCAAGCAATTAAAAAACAAAAAATAATAAATTATTATAATATAAAATTAGCTACTCTAATTAATTTGTTTAATTTGTAATTAAAATTAATTATAACATTAGGCCCGAAAAATTTAATCGTATCAACTTCATTTAAATAATAATATAGATATAGAACGCTTATAGAACGCTTTTACTGATATCTATCATATAAAAACAAAATAAATAAAATAAATAAATAATAATAATAATAATAATAAAAATTAATAAATTAATTGAAAACAATATCTTATCATTAATATTAATATTTCTATATAATAATGAAAATAGAAATCTGAAACAATGGTCGTCTTTGTGTCAGCTATTAAATTATATTTATTACGAAAGCCGCGTAAAAACAATTAAAAGACAAAAACATACTAGGTATTCAGCGAATTGATGCCAGAATGGAGCTGCGGAAATGGAGTTTCCGCTCCTGTAAGTACAAAAATGTCTGACGTTTAGTGAAATGACAATTAGGAATTTCCAACTGACATACTCGCGAAAAGCGTACGTCTCGTCATACGTCGCACTTTTCGTTAATGGCTTTTTCACGTAATCTGAGCTGCTTATGATGAAAAAATCATCAATAAAGTATTAAATTTGTCGTGTTGTAAAACATTATACGAAAATTACGTAATATAAAAATTCATATATTAAATAGATTTTCAAATCTCATACTTTTTTCTCCAACTAACCATTATACGTATATATTTATCAAAATTATTTTAAACACGTGAATATACTTATTATTACTATTACCTTTATTTAAAAATCCTTGAATAATTAATGTGATAAATAAATATTATTTTTCTTATTGTCAATTGGAATTTTTTGTAACTGTACTTACCTGCGCTGAAAATCAAGTTCAATTTCTTTGCAAAATATTCCAAATGGATTGATTATAAGTAATCGTCAAATTGAGAATTTATAAAATTATTTCCAAGCTAAGCAATGTATTGTAAAATATTATATGCAATATAATAATTATTACAACTATTATACAAATAATTAATACTACTATAAATGTAATACGTAAATTGTTAAAACGTATTTTATTACTTTTGAAATGATTTTTGCATAATTTGTATTTCTAAATATTAATTAATATAATATAATCGTGTTATAAGCGTGTTATATTCGGCTCGATAATTACTCATTTGTAAATATAAATAATTTTTGCGTTTTATAGTTTTAGAGAACGCCAAAGTCATTGAATAATCCAAATGGAAAAGTGAAAAATGGAAAAGTTTGACAGTTCATACTCCGCATGAATCAAAATATTTAATTACCCAATCTGTCCATGATACGTACACTAATAATATTTAGATATATAATGTTTAGCGGTTAAAAGAGCTCAATTTCACGCACGTCCTTATGCAGGAATAACCCGACAATGATACTGGTGCGTCTGGGCGAATGGAATACCCAGAATAACAACGAGCCCTATCCAAGTATCAACCTAAACGTTGCCAAAATTATAATTCACCCGAGCTTCAATGCTAATAATTTGGAAAACGACGTAGCCGTTGTGAAGCTTAACGGCATGGCGCCTATCGCGTCATATCCAAACATCAATACAGCCTGTAAGCCTTTGAAGCCGCCGGCAATTGGTACCAGGTTGGTACATTTTAACACTGTAATTCAAGAATATTTATGTTACGCATCTATAGTACTTTTATAACTTATGTCTTTTCTTTTTTTTTTAACAAATTCCATTTAACTGTTCGTGTTAAGAACAAAACAAAAAAAAAAACAAACAAAAAAAAATAATTTCCAAATCCCCTTTAAAATCTTATGAAATGCATTTTTTTTTTTTTTCTATTATAACGAAGTAAATTAAAGCAATTAATATTGATATTTGTTTGGATAGAGTAAAAAGTTAGGCTTTTGAAATTTCTGCCAAATACATTGAAGAGAAGATAAAAAAAATTCCAGGCTTATTTCAATATGATTCTCGAGAAAGAGTATTTTTTACGATAAATGTAACTAGAATTTTTCTCTCGAAAGATAATAAATATTAATACATGGTATTACAGAGAATAAATATAAGCTCCGTTAAGTAATTAGTGATTATGATAAATATATTGATTTTAAAGGCTTCAAAGTCGATATTGATGTATCAAAATTTTCTTAGCCAATACGAAATATTCAAATATGAAAATGATACATTTGAAAAAGCTTGTATATCAAAGTCACTATATATTATTTATTGTATAAAATATTTATTTTATGTTGAAATACAATTTTGTAATATTCAGTATATATTTATATTAAATTGTCATTATGGAAATATCAGTACTTGTAGTGATGAAATCAAACTTATATAATTGTATTCGGTGTAAAAAAAATTTATCTATTTTTTACAACGTACATTAAAATTAAAATGTAAATGTTTCCGATTTTTATCAGATATCGACTAAATATATATATACACATATATATATATATATATATATTTTTTTTTTTTCCACCATGTATTACGATTTTCTTTCATCGTTTTAGATGTTACGTATCCGGATTGGGAAAGAATGCATTTGGTGCTAACGGAATGTATCAAAGTATTATAAAAGAAGTGGATGTACCGATACTTGATATTAATGATTGTGAAAATTATCTTCGACAAACGAGATTAGGAGCAAACTACGTCCTTAACAAGAATACATTTATATGCGCTGGTGGAGAAAGTGGAAAAGATGCATGCACGGTAAATATCTATAGAAATTATATCTCATAATATTACAATTGAACATGCAATCACTCGCTCGTACAACAAGCTATCTCACTAAATTCCATCGCAATTGTATTGTCGAAATTTGTCTGATAGTATATCAGATAATATATCAGTATAGTCCAATCGAAATAAGTAAAATAAAAGATTCACTACAAAACACGATTTATGAAATATCTGAAAAAATTATGCATTATTATGACATTACAACCATTAATAATTTCACCCACAGCTGTTTTAAACCTTTTTATTTATAATTTTAAAGGAACATTAAGAGTGAATATATTATTATAGGGCGACGGTGGTGCTCCACTTGTTTGTCAACGGAACAATCAGTGGGAAGTCGTCGGTCTCGTCGCTTGGGGAATTGGCTGCGGTACTGCGGGCGTTCCTGGTGTCTACACCAATTTTTATAACTTCTTAAGCTGGATTAATCAGACTATTGTAAATATGTAAGGACGCGATCATTCGACAAATTATTTCAACGAATTTTCAAAAAAGACTATTAACACAGATGGAAATAAAAAAAAAAAATGCTACTTCATTTATGGGCATTGCATTTAAAATTTTCTCAAAAAAGTTGTTCAAATGTCTTTTACTCAAACTTCGAATTATGTTTGCAATGTTTAATTTTTGTAGCAAAATGTATTAGTGATTCGTAGAAAACGATTTTTTTTATTTTTGTTTTATTTTTATTTTAAATACGGAGAGTTTTAAATTATTATAGATGGGAAAGACGATAATGAAATAATAATGCTGAGATGTAATGTCTAGATGCAATTTGTATTTTTCAATTTTCATCAAACTTTCTCTTCTATATTCACATTCAACATTTGGTTATAAATATTTCTTCTCTATTTGTATATACATTTATAATTTATAGAATTTCGAATTGCTAAATTTCTAAGAACAGCGCAAAATACAATTTATTAAATTTTTATCTTTTTTTTTTTTTTTTTTTTTTTTTTTATATACGAAATACGTGGAGAGAGAAACACACGATCAGGAGAAAAAACAAAAGATGAACTATTATCTTATAATAAATAAAAATACAATGAATTCATAAAATTCTTTGTATGCGTTCACTTTTCGCGCTTCTCACCTTTCGCCTTCTCGTCTCTCAAATAAAAGCGACATTATTAACTACTATTTTAATTATTTACCTAATTCTTTTATTCATTAATTGTATAAAATGTATGAGAACATTGATTGTCAATAAAATCTCATTTAATCATTGGTGATCATTGATATTCACCAATAATTGTGTATAATACACTATATAAGAAGCGCTTACGTGTGAGAAATTCCTTATTTTTTTAACATTTACTTTCTAAAATCTATTTTACTTTAATAATAAAGCGTTTATAAGTACGAAAGTGCGATCAAATTCATTCTGTACATTTTTAGCTTCTGATGACAAGGCATTAATAATCAATGTTAGCTTGTAGTTTAATAAAAAAAAAAAAAAAAAAAAAAAAAAAAAAAAAAGGATTAGTTATTGAATATAAAGATCTTATGCTCATGAATCGTTAAAATAAAAATAATTGTTGTATGTGTTTACAGAATACAAAAGATCATTATATATAATTTTGTTTTACAATTATGGAAATAAAAAAATTAAATGTTATTATAACTTGAATTTATTGTATAATACATAATTATTAATTCTTAAGATATCATTAAGAATGATTGTAAAATAATTATTATTAGTGAAAAATAGTTTATAATCTTTTTCATTCGTTTTATAACTGAATTAAAAAAATTACTTCTAGAACGATTCTTAGAAATTGTACGAATATCATTGTATAAAATCTGAATATTCTTAAGTGTTGTTTATATGTAATCTACAACGCAATCTACAACTTTAATATGATAATATAACACATTTTCTCGCACTAAGTCAAGTACGAATTGTTGCCAAACGACAGTAATTCCTATAATTTATAAGTGTTCCCATCTAAATTGTGATACGATAATTTAGTTTCACACAATAATGGCGTGTTTTTTGTTTTTCTTTACTCATTCGCAAATAAAAGTGATTATATATAAATTTTCTTAATTTCAGAGGGCCAAGTTCTTAATTAACTTTTAAATCAATGATTATAATTATTTAATAAGACAACAATCACTTTTCTTTGTGAATTAACATTGCGAAAGCTTCGAAATTCACATAATTAAAATCTACAACAATTATTAATATTTAATATAAATTAAAAATAAAATTATTATTATTGTTATTATTGTTATAAATTATTGTGGTTGTTGTGACAATAATAATCATAATAATTACAGAAATAATAATATGAGTTGTAATAGTACTGATATTAACTAAACTGAGAATAGTAATTGTAATTAAATTAATTATAGTAGACGTAATGTGAAAACTTTCGAAGCTCGACGTTATTATAAAAATTTAACCTTGAATAATTTATATATTCAATGGTCCATAAATACATCGTTTTAAATTGATTTAATTTTTCCATCACCTTGCACAATAAAGCGCGTGATTAATTTACAGTATATATAAAGATAGAAGTTAGTAGACTTTCAAATGTCTTTAAAACACAATGACAATTATGCTGTGCACAACTCACATAATGCGAGCATAAAAATATTATCAACTTCAACTACTACAAAAACAACTTGTCTCTTATGCATTTTCGGATTAACACAGAAGATTCATAACTTATGATGATCAGATCAGCTTTCGTTGTTGAGAAATAAAAGCTTCTATTACTGGTATGATATAAGCCGTATGATTTTAAGAATATTAATCGTTGATGTCATTGTCCGAAAAAATGGCTTTCATACAAAGATTACGCCAATACTAACGAAAACATTTTAATCTAATTGACATATGCTTTTTTTATATCTTATAAATTTCTTTGGATATTCGATCGACCTTTATTAAGACACTACATAAATTTTCAGAAATACACTAAAATTTCGAATATCTATAGCGTAAATTTTGTTAATTAAAACAAAAGTCAATTAAAAATATTGTATTATAAGTGAATTATAAGGTATATAAAGATATTGTAATTGTTTATTACAAATATAAATACTTTAATGCAATAATACAATGTAAATACATTTTATGTATTTACATGCCTGTCAGACATTTCAGACAATATTATTAAAACTTATCATGATTATCAAATAATTTATTTAAAATACTGGATTAAATTCTATGTATTGTTAAAAAAAAAAAAAAAAAAAAGAACTTTTGATGACTGTTTAACAAATTCATTCTCGATATCGAAATATTAATATTATAGCCTAATATTTCACTACATTTAACTATAATATTATATTTTGTATTGAATATATGACTTTTCAATAAAAGGAATTTAAACCCTTTTTTTTTTTTTTCATTGCTAAGTTATTATTATTCCACAAAATTAATAATTCTTGAATAAAAATCATTAGTTAATGCTTTACTTCTTTCAGATTAATTTACACAGATGACAGTTACTGTAGTTAAAGCGATTTAAATTTGCCATTGCAACAGGATGGATAAAATAATAAGAGATATATTTTTAAATAAAACATAAATGATGTTGTAGCTGTAAAGATTTTATAACTGCTTGAAGCGCAAAGGCTATTTAATCTCACAATTACGATGACTATGTTACAAAATCTCAACTTAAATGCTCTTATTATTCTCTCTACATTCACAGTAATTAACATCGTAATATCGTATTATTTGTTACGTCTTAATTTTCATGAATTGGTTACTATAGAATATTTTTATCTATGTATTCCTACAGTTAAATCTACTATCAAACATTTATTTTTAAAATATCGGCATTTAAATACACGGCAATATATTAAAAAAGATAAGTGAATACATTTGTCCGTTACTTATAAATTTAATAAAATAATTATATAATGAATAAAATAAGTATTATGATTTTCATAATCTACGAAAGTATTTAATTATTATACATAAATTTGAAAAATTCAATTAACATAAATATAGGTTAAATTCAATCGATTACATTTGTACATTTATTTGCTCATATTGTAATTAAAAACTGAAAAAAGTAAAGCAAAAGCCACAATTTATATATAGATTGGATAAAAGAAAAGTATTTGTATTATTAGAATAAACCAACTATTAAAAATTTCATAGTATTTTTGACCCACTCTTAACGATACAATTAATTGATTTTATTGATATTAGATTTGTTATAATACTTTTTCAATTGACCTATAAACAAAAATTTATTTGGGGAAGTCAATAGTTTTTAATGAAAGTAAAAGGAAGACTGCTATCAACTTTTATAATTCTTTTACTTTTAAATGTATTTAACAATGTCGCTGATAACTTTTTTTAATATTTGGCATTCTCATATTAACGATTGAATATAATTGTAATAATTTAATTGAACAAATGGTTTTAGAAAATAATTGCAATATTATTAGCATCTTTCAAACGTTATTAATTGACGTTAATAATTTTATTAAATAATCGTTGAAACGAATATAAAACACACACATTTTTAGGGAAAAGTTTGTGCTAGTCCATAATCGTATTTTTAAAAGATTTATGAATTTATTTAATTACACAATATGATAAACAATATATTTCATTAATTCCATACTTAACAACTTTTTAAAAATTTCCAAAATTTATGTACTTTTTATATGAAATTAATTACACATACTTGTGAAAGAAAAATTGTTTACAAATCTATCAAATAGCCTGATATAATTAATTATAAGGTAGTACAATGAACAGGTTTTTTTTTTTTAATGTTGTTTTTAAAAATTATTAGTATAATAGAATAGATAATATTTCAACGAAATTTAGAATGAAGTAAATTTTATGTATTGTAATATGTAAATACAAGTAAAAGTAGTAAAAAATATTGATAGTATCTAAATGGTACTAAGTTATTATGAATTGTCTGTCCCATTATAATATTGCAATAATTAATTTAATTGCGCAATATGAAAAAAATTAGCATATGTTAAATGTAACATAATTTATAATATTATAATATTAATTATAATTTCTTTCTATAATGAAATTCGTCAACGACTAAGGAATTTTGGTGTCTCGTAGCATAATATCGCAGTCGCATTTATAATTGTGATAAAATTGTATTTAACTTAAAAAAAAATATCATAATTATATAATTAATTTATCATAAAAATAAAACCTCCATGATAATTCTTTAACAAATGCTTTTTCATCGTAACTAATACAGTATTATTATTTTATCTATATATAGGAGTCTTCATTAATTTATTCAAATATTGCTATATAAGCTAAGACATTGTACCAAACCTAATAATTTACATAAGTTTTCGAAATGTTAAAACCAATAATTTTTTTTTACTTTATATGTTTTAATTGCTTATACGAAAAATATTTATTCAAAAATTTTAAATAAATAAACTAAAGACTAAATATTTCATCTCTTACGCATTTAATAGCTTGACTCAAAAATTCTATGATCAATGATTAAAAACAATTTGTTGTTGCTCATTCTGTCAATTAGAGAAGTTATTTAAACTTACTAATGAGATAACAAATATTTCTCACATATACAAATATATCATTGAATATTACTTTATACCTTTCGTGATGTGTATTCTATACATCGTTTATGCGATGAATTTCTTCTTTCTTGTCATATAATACTTTATATACTTTCATATAATATTATCATCATCTTCATATAGAATCACAATCCCTGGATAAATGTATTTATTTATTGCATTGTATACAATATTAGTTTAAATGTTGTTGCGTCGCGCTGTCTTTTCTTTCTGTTTATTTTCTTTTCTTCGGTTATGGACGTAATCGTTTTTATTAATTAGAGATAATTATCATATTCGCTTTATTCTTATTTTTATTTCTTCAACCTTCTTTTTCTGTTTTTTTTTTTTTTGCTATTAACGAGTTTTAATCTTTAGCTTAAAGGTGAATTTATCTTTCACAACTGTAAAATTGATTTGGATTTGCTTTTCAAAGATTTATTTATAAAGTAAAATTCCTCTCGATAATTAGTATTCTAAATATAAAAATGAATTCTTTCATAAAAAGAAACGAATCCATAAAATATCTTTTACTGACAAATTTTAAAAATTAAATCGACCAAGTATGGTGAAAAAGAAATTTCTATATTGACAATCATTATAAATTTGTTAGTTATAAATCGTATAGGAGAAACATAATGCCTTATGCAATTGAAAACGAATGTGTAGAAGTTAAAAGACCTTTCCCTTACATTTGTAACTAGATAATAAGAATCTCTTAATACCATTTGATTTTTTTTAAATTTTAATAGAGATTCGCCTTAACTCTTAAATTTATATATTATGCTATTATTTAAATAAAGACAAAAAAAATTTAGTGTTAGTATAAAACAGAATTTGTTTTATTAACGTTCATAATACTTTTATTAACATTACTATAAGATAAATCTACAATATTTACAATTAGAGTTTTAAACTTCTTATTAAATACAATGAGTTTTTTTAAATGAATTTGATACACAAATATATTTTTCATTTATACAAAAGTTAGTACAAAAATTTTATTATAAAAAGCTTAAATTTATAGCTTTGTTCGTTACGTTTCTTTTTATCATAATATGAACATTTTATTTTCCATAGTTTCAAATCCTTAAATTCACAGAATTTCACAAGTAATTATTAAAATTTTCGAGAAAAAAATGAAGCTAGTTTTTCACAGGTTTCATCATATTAATTTTTTTTTTCGTTTTTCAACATTTATCATTTTTCCAGATTTGCGTTACATTTATTACCTGTTTACACAAGATGTAAAATGTGATATAAACATTGTGATAAATTTAATTTATCACAAAAGACTTCTACTAACGCAAAAAATTTATTTATTTGGTATACATCTGCCATAAAAATGATTATGTGCAATAATTTAAATCGATTAGAAAAAGTTCGTTAAAGCGAATCTCACCAAAGTATCGATAGCTTTGCTTTTCGTGGTTGTTAAGTCTGGTTAGCAAATAACTCTGAATATCCAACATAACATTTTAATAATTTATTATTTAAATATTAGTTTATTATTTTAGAGTCATATTTCATAATTTCAACTATAATTTTGACCTGTAACACATTAACCGCATATATATATATATATAAATTATATCTAACCAGTCATGGACAATTATTTAAATGCATACTGTAAATTTCTTTGCGTCTCCAATTATTATCTATTTTCGTAAATAAGCCCATGACTGCGTCTTAACATTTTAGCAATGAAGATACCTAAAATACCAACTTTCATGGTCTTTCTTCTCATACCTATTTGACATCAATAAATGTCTCTAATTAAAAAATATATAAACTTGTGTAAAACTTAAATACTATTGTCCTCTGCATAGATATAATATATCACTGTGGAAGTTTTCAAACAAAAATTATTATCTATTAATAAATAATATTGGAATATCTCTTTTAGAAATTTCATTCCAATATCAATTTTCTATATGTTAAAATGAAACTTTATACAATGATAAATCACGATCATACAAAGTGCAATGATATTCAGATTTCATTTAAATATTAGCAATTTTTATAAAAAGAGAAGTTTATTGCACATCCCTCGACAGATTCAATGTAGTTCATGTATTAGAAAGTTCAAAAAACATTTTAAAATAAATAAAAATTAACTATCTAAAGTCAAGTTTTGACGTCTATCTATACTTTTACAAACACAAAGATATAAGAATTATTTTCAAAAATATCATGTCAGAGTTTCAATTCTATATAAGTATAAAGAATAAATAAGGTCGTGAAAGCAAATGGTACGTTAAAATTACATAAATTTATGTTAAATTTGCTCAAATGGTTATAGAAATTAAAGTCAAGAGAATTTCCATCCAGCTTAAGTAAATTAATTTAAATTTGAGCAGGTGATTTTGCATAAAATTTGTTTCCAACTCTCAGTTGATATTAATAAGTCTGAGTTGAATAAAGTCTAACAGAAAGAATTAATATGTAACTTACGAATGCTGCAAACTTGCGAGAACTCATAGCGTATGTGCATGAAAGAAGAATCTATAATGCAGGAATAAAACTTCGATTTAAATAAAATTTCCCAACGAAGACTCGCGTAACTCAAGTTACTTAAATCCGAATTAAGTCGTAATTCTGAATCGAAACTCAAGTAACATTAAGCCTAGAATTCTTCGACATGCCCAATTCAAAGATCTGCCAACCAGGCTACAACTACTCTGTCTGTCTGTCTATCCGTCTCTCTCTCTCTCTCTCTCTCTCTCTCTCTCTCTCTCGCCAAATAACCGAAAAAAAGTAAGGGTATAGAATGAACGTCCAAGGAAAGACAGAAAAAAAGAAAGTCAGATACCAGTTGTCCGACTCCCTTTTCCGCGCGGTACATCAACACTCACACATATCAACAACGTACACGTGGTTAGCGGCGTGTTAAGTCGTCGGCGAGATGAGATGGGAATGGGGCAGCTGTACGGCATTGGGCAGCGAGGGTGGTGACAGCAGATGGCCACGTTCCATCTCATTCAACTCCTGGTGCTCGACCGCGCCGCCAGTAATCGAGTTTGTCGATCGCGCAAGGCTGTTACGCTGTCGACACAAATACGGCGTCTCGCCCGGTGATGGTGTTTCTCGACCCTTGGGTTAGCGTTTCCAAAAAATAAAGCACAGTAGAAGAATGGAGATTAGTTTTAAGATCGACATATTAAGTTCAGTTGGACCGATAGACAACTGAGGAAACAAATTAATTTAACTTAACAACTTTCCCGCCGTCGTTTCCATTTATCCTAGTGGCTAAATTCAATTTTTACCAATTTCCATTGCTTTTATATATATTTTCTACAATAGACACAGCATTCGATAACTATTGTCTGCGTTAAAAACAATAATTTAGATGTATATTACCTCTATTCTTTGGCCCGACATATCAATATTGTTAATCGTTCTATGCCTTATTATTTGTATGTTGCAAGTCATTTATGATTATCATTATTTTATGGACAAATGTACTTTCGTATAGTTATTAATTAATATTATAATAATAAAGATAAGCAATAGAATAAGTATTGAATAATTTGATTTATATAAGCATGCGTAAGGAAATAAAATTTTAAGAACGAAAGCAACGATATATTTCAATTTAAAATATTTAAACATTTGTTTTATATACTTAAAATAATAGTATTATTGTATACTTGTTTTTGAACTCTTCTAATGAATATTTGAAAAGTAATCTTTATTTTACTCTAACTAAAATAGATATATTTTTTTACTAATTATTTAAACATTAGTTGAAAGTTATTTTATTTATTATGAATTTGTTAAGTTATTAAAATTAGCCATGTTTGTTATTTAAGAAAAATATTTTGTAATAGATAAGAAATACGTGTAACAATTTCTAAACTAATTTTCTAAAGTAATCAGAAATATTTAGAGTAGAAAAATAATATGAAAATCATTAGAAACTTTTCATATTATGACAAGTTCTACAATAACAAAATTTAATCAATGATATATTATTAATAATAACTTTTTTAATGTCTACTGAACTAAATATAATTGTCAAATTACGCATTTGAATAAAATTTTTAAAAAAGAAAGATAAAATTTATTCAAATAAGGTTAATCCATACTGACCATAAATGTACGTTAAACTGACAAATTTAATAAATTTCGAACAGAGATACTTGTTTTATATATCACAAAAAGCTTCAATTTTCTTTTTCTTTAAAATGCATTAAATTCCAACTGCATCAAAAGCAATTCATATATTTCTTAGAAGTATGCAGCAATTCAATTTGTCAAAATTAAGCATATTATTAATTCAATGTAATTTGAAACGAAAATATTAATTTCGTTAAAATTTAAGTAAATTTAATTTCAGTAAATTTAACATTTCTTCATTAATTTAAGTTAATTTCATTACAAAGATCAAAAGATAAAAATTATCTGTTTTACAAGCTTAAGCTATTTATCTCAAAGTAAATTTACTTCTTTATTTGTATTTTATTTCTCTTTTTTTATAATTAAGAACTTCATACCCATCACAGTATTAGTTTCAAACTTGATACATTTTAAACAACGACCAAAGCTTAAACAATTGTTTAATGTTGAAATTAAATTCCCATTTCTTCTAGATTGGTACTATAGGATAAAGAAACCGAATAGACTTATCAATACCTTAAATCTAATCCTTAAAAAATATATGTAATATATTGTAAAAAAAAAAAATTAAAAAAAAAAAACCAACTGTATTTACAATGTAGGGTATAATTATAATTGATTTGATGTGAAACATTGAATGTCTTTATTAGCATATAAGGTACATATGAAGTAAACTTACTCTTAGTAAAGATAATATTGGCGTATTTATTAGAAAAATATATCCCAAGTTTTTTAGATTTTATTAGATAAAATGTTTTTAAGAGCTTGTAAAAAGCTGAAAACTAAATAAAAAATATTACCTGTTTAGAGGGGCCACAACACGTAGCTTGATTACAAGGTTTGTCGGTTTTTGGACAGTCAAGTACACAGTCTTCGGTAGGAGTTTCTTTAATTTCACTGTTAGATTGATACTGAAAAAAAAATAAAAATAAAATTTTGAATGATACAAATATTAAATACCTCGATATAGAAAATGATATTGTTTAATAAATTTGATTTTGATGAATTTAAGTAGCCGGTGTTTTTTTATTAAGTGTTCATGTGCTAATTTAAAAAACGGAAATAAATAAATTCTTAAGCTTACATCTATGAATTCCGGCTGAATGGTCGTGGAGTGGATGCCTTCGTTATGGAAGAATTCTTTAACTTGCTCAGCAATTTTCATGTATTCGGATAAATTACGACAGCGTATGTGTGCCGAGGCTATAATCCGATCACCTGCTAATTGCCAAACATGAAATTCGTGAACAGCTAGCACACCATCGACATTTTCTAGTAACCTCTGCTGAATCGCATCGACCTGAGGAATAAAAGTGCAGGATTTTCGAAATTGCTAAATGGGCTTTCAAGTTCAAACGTAAAATTAATATGCTCGTAGTTCGCAAATGGTACAGCGCAAAACGAAAAAATACCGCCCACATTAACATAGAAATATCATTTATCAAACATGTCATTGTAAATGATTTTGAATTAATAATTAGCGACACTTGCACATTTCGTCGCCTTTTCATCATAATTCTGTGAAGTAATCACAATGTGAAAGCTCGTGCGCATGCATGATTATATGCAATAAAACTTGAAAAATGTTCATAATTCGAGTAATAATTGTGAGTTGTGAATGTCGATGGGACTTACCTTGATGTGCGTAGGGACCGTTTGTAATAAAATCAAGGCCGACTCTCGGAGCAGAGGCCAGACCGACTTCAATATAAGCATTACAAGCAGCAAAGACAATGCGGGGTCAATGTAGTATCTATTGATAATAAGTTAAATTACTATTAAATCTGTAACATACTTTAATCTGGGATTTCCAAGAGTTAATTCCGACAGTGCAATTATAATTTTTTGGTAATAAAAACGTGTATTATTATGGGACGACCGATCATAATAACATTAAAGATAACTAGCGATTTAAGCTCCTAGTAGAAGATCGGAATACATAATAACTTGAAAGATTGTAAGACGATTGTAATCCATTTGTAGTAAAATGTCGATAATAGCTAATAACGCGGGGCATTTGGTTTATTAGAATGAAAAAAAAAAAGAAGATGATCGTATGTAGAGAATGTGAATAAAGAACAAGGAACACGACTGAAAGAACTCGAACGCGACTGTTACTCGCGATCATGGGAATAGCGGGGCGCGTAATATTATTAAAGTCATCACTTGTAGTCCCAGTTGGTGAGCCAGACGATGAGCGCGGACACGATGACAATGACGGAGCCGAGGGCGTCCGAGAGCACGTGGAGGAAGACGCCGCGCATATTCATCTGGCTGGCGTCGCCGTGGCTGTGGCCGTGGGAATGGCCACCGGGACGCTTCATCGGCGATGGCGGCCTGTAAGTCTCGTCGTTCTCGTTGTCATCGGTGCCGACGAGTGTGCTTAGCCGATTATGGCTGCGAGATATCCCGTGCGAATGCCCGTGACCGTGGCCGTGTTCTGTAAAGGTAAGCCGACGGAGTTTTATTTGCCGTTAAAGCACACAGAGCATCGCCTCTCCCTATCGGACTTAAATTTTCGAAATGTACCCGCGCATCGAGGAATTAATTTCTCGGTAGCCGACTAATTGATAAGTTCGTAAAAGTTTTTTACTATTTGTAAAAGCATGAATTTTCTCTATTTATGTCTTTTCATTATTGATTTAGACTATCTTTGGTATTATCCGATGTGTTATATTGATTTGAAAGATAAATGGATTTTTATTCGAATATATTTGTCGATCGTACGATTCTTAAGATTTTCAGCACGTAAGTACGAAGCATTTTTGAATAATCGTCATTTTAAATAAATAAGGCAACCATTGTGTCTGAGAGAAAAAATCGTTTGTAAAATAGAATTCAAAGCGTGTCTCACGAGTGAAATGTTTTTTTTGTTCTTGTTTTTGTTTTGTTTTGTTTTCTTTCAACCGATGAGTTCAAATAAAAATCCATTACGTACGCGAGATCGCAAAATTATAATGAAAAGTATTTCTCTTTTCAATTTCAAATTTGTTATTTTATGTATCTTTAATAGATACATTTTTTTTTTTATTGCTTTATTTTATAACATATATTAGCAAATAACTACTTAATTTCACTGAAACTTTGACAAACGTGTCGTGCTTATCAACCATGCGGCTAACCTAGACTGGATGTAGAAGGAAAAGAATCGTTCGAGGCTTCTAAGGTAGGAATAGGAGTAGGAAGTGTAGAAGACTGGCGTAAACGTTTCACCTTAGTTAAGAATGGACTTAATATTCCTCCTGCGTGACCTATGCAATACACATTAACGTTAATAAGCAACTTAATATGAAAGTTATTTTTGCGTTTTCATTGCGAATACGAACTAATTGCTTGACTTCACAATGAAAAATGTTCGTTAAACCGAATTCAAATACAAATTGTTATTTAAAATAAAAAGCGGCAACATTTTCTTTTGTTTTTTTGTTTTTTTTTTGTTTTTTTTCATTTCTATTGATTCTTTGTATTATATTAGTGCGAAGTGTTCAATAAAAGAAAACGGCTGATATATTTGAGTACTTACCATGGAATAAGCATAATCCTATCAGATTAACTAAAAGACCCAATGCACCGACTACGACGAGAAATTTGGCCTCGTGAATTTTTTCAACTTCGATGAACCTTTTGCAGGCTTCAACGGTAATACTAAAGCACAGCGCAACTAGGAAAACTGCATTGACTAAAGCTCCCAATACTTCGGCTCTGGCCCAACCAAACGTATTTTTTGACCATTTCTTTGGAGACATCTGATAATATAATAAATTTAAAAAAAGTCAATCAACAAAGTATTGCAAATTTAATTTAAAAATCATTTTTCAAGGGGATACTACAATTATTCAAAAATACAATTTAAAAAAAAAAAAAACAATTATTGATGATAAAAACTTCGTGTTAAAGATAATTTCTTTGTTCATTTGTCGTGTCGTTATTGTTAGCCATTTCTAGGCATCTCTTTTAAAAAATATTACATACGTATATAAATATAAAGCAAACATAAAATATTATTTATGAAGTATTAAAAAAAAAAAAAAAAAAAAAAAAAAAAAAAAATATTTAAAATTTTAAAAAAAAAAAAAAAAAAAAAAAAAAAAAAAATGTACGAATAAAATTTATTGGGTAATAGGAGGAAAATCCTTGATTATATTGTAGATTAAATAGCTGATATCGCTTGAATAATTATTGAATCATTACAAGAAAATGTAAAGAAAATATATTCGATAATGCACGAAGGATTGATGATTTTTTTTTCTTCCATCGAGTACAGTTAAACTAACTATATTTGTTCTTTCTTTTCACTTCCTTCTTTCATAAATTTTCAATTCTGTTATGAGTTGATTAAAGTTTCAATTTTATTATAAAAGATTAATAAGTGCAATATTAAAAACTTCAAAATTAATCAAATAATTTTACAGTAACAATTTTGTTTATAATAATAATAACGATATAAATAGTTGAATTTAAAGAAAAAGGATTGTAATTATAAAAAAATTTTTTGTTTGAAATTATTTCATTTGTACACTTACTTTTACGGAAAGAAATGCTACTACTAACGCAGCTACATCAGACAACATATGAAAACTGTCTGCTATTAAAGCCATAGAATTTGTAACATATCCAACGATTATTTCCACTAAGAAGAAAAATGCTGTCAACCACAACATTGTTAAAAGACGACATTTTTTTCCTGCAAAGCGCCCCATATTAATTATCTAGAAAATAAAATTAAAAGAATTGGGACATTAAGAAACTCTTAATAAATTATTGAGACAATAAGACATTAATTATATGATAAGAACTTAAAAGGGTTGGCGACATTATACGCATCATCAACCTCTAATTTATCTCAGCATCATATCTCTCATTAGATAAGCAAATAAAGTTCTAAATAAAAATTGGTTTAATAATTAGAAAATTCATAAATATTAAAGGTTTTTATTCAAATACTTCTATCATAGGCTATTTAGTAAATAAAATTTTAACGTTCATTTATTTATTACTAAGAATAAATATTATTCTGTACAAGTGAACTATTTTTAAAAAATTTTAAAAAAAAAAAAAAAAAAAAAAAAAAAACAATTTCGATAAACCTAACTTTAAATTTTAATAAATTCTCATTTATTTTTCGTTAAATGGAAATACTTTTCATATATTTAAAGCACATCTTATTGTTCGGTCGTTGCTAAATCAAACTTAAGATAATAAATTTCGGGATCCCCGAGTAGTTAATTTTTTAAAATTAGTTTTTAAAAATCACTTTAGAGGCTTCATCAAACTCAATTATTATCATAAGTCGAGCAAATGTATTATTGATAAGTCATAGATATTATACTCTAATATTTATCATAAACAAATATAAGAAATTTACACTTTGGCATAACAATCATTAATCTAAGCTTCTGCACTAGTTTTAAGTCCTAATTTCGCATGAGATATCGACTTAAATAATTAAACCAGTAAACTGTATTGCTAATTTGTCTTTGTCATACCTCTTTCTACAGCTAGCATTAGTTGCTACCTCATGTATCAATTTAAAAATTATAGTCCGTTATATTATCAGTGTAAAGCTTATAAGAATAATGTGCATAATATTTTATTTGATTAATTATATTTAAATGTTCAGATCGTTATTATTTATAAAACTTCTTAATTATCAAGTATATAGATTACATATATCAATTTTGTACATAATAATTAATATCCTTTAAATTATATGATTTATTTCATTTTATTCAATGGTTTATGATAGATAAAAAACCTTCAAGCATTATACAACTGTAAATATAATTATTAATTATTTAAAAAATTTTAATGAGAATTTATTACAAAATACAAAGAATACATTACAAAACTTGTATGTCCTGTAATTACATTAAACTTCTTTTTTAATATTTTTTAATTATTTAAAAGCTAAAATAAAAATATATTCGACAAAAGTAATAAAAAGATTTTATATAAATATTCATAATATTTAATGCGTACTACTAACGATTCTTTTTTATATGTATTTTAACACATAAAAGTTTGCGAGGATTAAAAGTTTTTTATTATCAATATCAATATGTCCATTCGATACTTTCGTATAAAATATCATAAACATATAAAATAAGAAAATTAATAAATGTTTCTAATATATACAAAAGATATTGATATTGTTGCGAGCATTAAAGTGAAATATTAAAAATATTTATGTGCTATAGTAACAGAATATGTGAAAAAATTAATTATTATTGAGAAATGAAATAACAATCGGACAAACTACATGTACAAATTAATTTTACAAATAAATAGAGACTTTTATAAATATTTACTCTTAAATGCAATCTTAATAAATGGTAAAATATTGTGACAAATAAAAGGTATTTGAAGCATTTCAATTACTACAGAACTTTAATATTTAATTTGAGCATAAAAATATTTATCTTTTAAAGTTAGTGTATTTAAATTATATGTCAATTATTATATATCAATTATCGTAATATTGATTTATAAAAAATTACAATCATTGATAATGTAAATCTTTCATAATGTAAAGCATTAAATGTACTTTGAAAAATTAATAAACATTAATCGATTAAATTAACTCAACCAACAATTCTTCTTTAAAATGTATTTACGGAAATTAAGATGTGAATGATAATTATAATTTTTAGTAATGTGAGAACTAGTTCTTTTACATGGAACGCGAATCCAAGAACAGACCTAATTATCATCAAGATTAGTTTTCAACGTGTCCTAGATTAGTTTGTTGACACTTTCGACTGCTCCCATTGTATACAACGCCCGCGAATTAAAGCACTTTAATAATTGAATGGAAATCTGTCGATCAGTAACTTCTCTTTTGCACGAATACTGGATTAAAAAAACCGTCGCAGACAAGATCGGCCTAAAAAGGAATAAAAAATGAAAAAGAAAATCGAGTGATGCCGATTATTTCGGAGCACTTGACTGTGAAATGATGTGCTCGCCTAGGCTACATCATGTGCACTTTAACGAACAAACGATAAAATATGTAAGAAAAAAAGGTGAATCATCCAGAACGAGGAAAAATATTATTCTCGAATGTTTAAAAATAGGTTATGTTGCGTGCGAGCGCGCGCGCGCGCGCGCGCATGAACAAAAAACGAATGAATCCTCGCTTCTTTTTGTCCTTTTGAAAATAGCTTAACTTTCGACATACTTTTCTCGCTTAGACTGCCGTAGATCTTCAACAAAAGCGAGAGAAAAGAAATTGAATATGCAACAACTCACCTCTCCCGAAGGGTCTTCCGTACACGAGAGAAAACTCTCGGGCCGTTTTCCTCTTCTAACTTCGTGACGCGTACCACTGGGCGATAAACGACGTCAAATGATATGTATCAAATAAAAATGTCGAGAAAAGCACCGGGAAAAATGTTTATAAGCATGTTAGTAAGTGAATGGAGAGCGCACTACACTTTTCAATGTTATGTATTGTAAGTTTACTGCTAACCTCCTGAAAATCACAATAGACGATGATTTTCGAGTATGAAAAAGTGCGAGTTGAAGTTCAATGATACACACCGTGTGTGCGAGAGTAAACGAAAGAGCGCGCACGAGAATGAGCGAGAGTGAGCGAGAGAGAGAGAGAGAGAGAGAGAGAGAAAAGAGTGTATGTGTAAAAGATTGATAATAAGATAGAGAGAGAGAGAGAGAGAGAGAGAGAGAGAGAGAGAGAGAGAGAGAGAGACAGAGAGAGAGAGAAATGGTTGAGACCGAAAATACACCGTAGTCTGTCCGAGTGGAAAAAATGGGACTTGGATTTCGAGTGCTTCTCGGTCGTTAACTCAGCGAGCCAACAGCCGACGACGGCGAGCCAAGTTGGCTCAAGAAAAAACTGTGGAAGCCCTAAGTCAGTGAGTAATTGCTGGCTGAGTACACTCGTGGGAAAGAGAGGGGGTAAAGTGACGCTCGCACGGCTTACCGCTATTATACTGGATAATACGTAAGCACCTAACGTCACGTAACTTGACGGTCTCCCACTCTTTTTTCTTCACTTTTTCTTTTAATATTTACCGATTTTTAAATGTCGTAACAATGAAAATGTAACGTACCGACAGCCCTATTGTATTTTTACTTACCGTTAGCCACACAGCCTAACTACCGAAACTTCCTTCCTTTATTTATAATATTGTTGGTAGCCTGTCAAAAATTCAATCGTTTTTATAAATTTTATAGCGTTATTTGTCGTTGAAGAAAATATGATTTTTGTATTTATGTAATTAAAATTACCGGACATTAGTACAGTTTCTAGTTCGATTGACAAGCTCTTACATTTTATAAGAATATGTATAAAACTCAAAGGACGATAAATGTATTGCTTGAAAGAAGAAAAAAGAAAAAAAAAGAAAAAGAAAAAAAGAGAAAAAAAAAAGAAGAAGAGAAAAACCATATTTCTTTTTATTTTACACGCGAAAAAGGCCAATTAAATTGTTTTTGATAGATTACAAAAAGTACTAATTAGACAGGCTTCGTAATGAGGTAATCGTAACTGTTGCACATACGCATCTGTGGACATATAGTAGGTGTAAAGATGGCTATAATCTACTTAAATTATTAATGAGCTATGATTGTCTAGTAGAAGCATTTTTATATAAATCTCATCGTGCAAATGAGATGAGAATTAAGAAACTTTCAATCACAAAATATTAAGAATAAGCAAACATTGACCATAAGTATGTTAATAAAGAATAATAATGATGATTGAGCATAATAACAATAACAATAATAACAATAATAATAACAATAATAATAATAATAATAATAATAATAAGAAGAAGAAGAAGAAGAAAATTGTCGATATTATAAAGAAACTAGATAATTACAATTTTTTAAAGGTGTGATTTGAGTTTTGAGCTCGTAGTTAGTTTTTTTTTTTTTTCGTTTTTTTCCTAATATTTATGTATTTATTTTAAATATTTCCGAATCTCGTAAATGTACTTTCAAATAACGTTAAATGTCGCGTTAAAATATCTTTCTTGGCCTTCTGAAAACTTTCGTAACTGTACGTTTCATCATAAAATCGAAATGAAATACAAAGGTAAATAGGCACTATGCAGCTCGATAGAATTCAAATCAGAAACAAACGGTCATTAAATTTGTTTGAGATAAAGAATGGTCGCGTAAATACAAGTGCACCACGCAAAAAATGATGAACAATTTAAACAAATGAAAATACTGTCTAAACGTCTTATTGCATATAATATATTGTTCTACGGACGATCAATGTATATTATCTAGAAATTAGATTATATTTTATATATATATTTTATATTATATTAGATTATATTAAAATATTATCAAAAATTATGCTCCAATTATTTAATTATCCAAATTAGCCTTTATGCTTAAACATTTAATCATTTGAAAAATAATAATTTTTTGATAATAATCGTATTCGAATGAATATTCTGAAACTATATGAAATCAGAACAGCTATTTACAGTTATCTGCAAATCGCTGTTATGAAACAATTAGATGAGAAAAATTTACGAAGATACTAATATCACTTACAGTTTATGCTGAATGAAGTTTGGTTTTATTTGAAGTAAAACAATATTACACGAATTGCTCAACGAATTATCCTTAAAGAAAAAAGAAAAAGAAAAAAAGAATAAACAGCTAGTGAGTCTTTAGTAAATCATTTCGATGACTGAAGTTTAATCTTCTTTTGTAGTCTCGTAATGATCCAATTGACAAGATTCTTTTATAAGTAGTAAATTATTTGGATATTAAAATTGGACCAATAGTTGTGGCATACGAAGATAATGAAAATACTGTTCGTATCTTCTTCAAATTGAAGACGAAAACAATTCGATAACTTACATTTTGTTATCTTGTGATATTAAAAATAAATCAATGTTTACATGAAAAATGTATATAATATATTAATATTTTCTGTAACTAATTTTAAATAGTATTTAAAATAAAAATTAAAACTAACATTTAATTACAGAAATTGAAAATAGTTTTTCCTATTTTTAGTGGTTTTTTTTATTATTTTTTTTTTTTTATATTTTTTTTTAAAATTAAATTTAATAATGTAAATGATATTTGTTATTTTAAATTATTATAGATTTATAAAGCCTTTAAAATTAACAAGAGCGTACAAGACGCGTAAATGGTAATAAGCTTTATAAGGACATACAAAGAAAAACTATAAAAACTATGACTTACAGTTAATTAATTATTAACATCTTCTTCCGATTTAATAATGCATGGATTTATTATATGTTATCGTTTAATACAACGAAATAATGATTTTGAAAATTTTTTTACCAAAAAAAAAAAAAAAAAAAAAAAAAAAAAAAGCATAATAAAATTAAAATTTTACATACAATTACCAAATATTTTTTATTATGGATAGGTTGAATTACAAAGTAAAAAATATAAACATAACGATTAAAGAAATTACAGTGCTATCAAATACTGGTTCTTATAGTCAAAATAAATATTAAAATTTTAAATTTAAACTAAAGTTTTTTTTTAAAGTATGTTTCGAATCTATACTTTTTCTTTTATTACCTTTAATCTTAGACTGTTAATTTACATACAATGGATGTAAAATTGAATTTCTTTCATAATAATTCTATTGAATGATTATTCAATTTTTACAATATTTAAACAGTAACTGCAACTTCTTCGGTCAATCTTTCCATTTTAATGCACCTAAAAGTCAATTTAAAAGTGATTTTTAAAGTCACTTCCTACAGTTATTGATACACTTCATTTTACAGCTTATAGGATTTCACCATAAAAATATTTACACGTCCCTAATTGCTTAAATTAAAACACAGAACTATTAACCAATAAAGTTGGGTTGTCAACGAGCGTATTTTTATAATGATAAATGTAAAATATTAATTGATATTATAACTATAATAAAAACGAATGCAAAGGCAACTACTTAAATTCTAACGTACATGGCATGATCAGTCTTTATACGATCTTACAAAAACAAGAAAAAAGAAAGCATGCCCCAAATTATAACTTGTTAGTAACAAGTTTCCAATTATTATAATCTACAATTTTTAATTAACAATATCTTCATTTTTCTTGCATTTTACGCACTTTAAATTTTATAGCTTCGTTGTACATGTCAGCCAATTCGCAGACGTCGAGATTTTTAGTTAGAGTTTTAAAAAGTGCTTCTTTTGTGTTCCCTGTTAATGTTTCCGTAATATTCTTCAGGACGATATTCAATAAAGTTTCCGAAGACTTTAATTCCTTATTCGTTCTCACTTGATCGAGGATCGATTTAATCGAAACTCTGTCTAATAAAACTGCAACATCACTTGTGTCAGGAAACGGCTCGTTATTGTCCTTTTCTAGTGAAAGCCTTTTGATCAGCATATTTAATAATTCTGTTAAATTGAATTTACTCGTAACTGCATCTTTTATATCACTTGGTTTTAAAACGTCCAGCACATCCGTGGCTTTAAGCTTTTTCTTATAAGTTTTCAGCAGCGTATCAAAAAATTCATCTTCGGCGTCAAATATTTTTGGTAATTGCTGCAAGACTTTTTGTAGACCTACGTTTCTCGTTGACATTTTAAAGCTGTCTTCGCTATCATCCTCTATACTCAATCCCAGCATATTCAAAGTATCTTTCTTCAATTCTTTTTCTGATTTATAGATCATTTTTTCCTTAAAAACAAAAAACAAAACAATATATATATATATATATATATATATATATAAATTAATTCGATAAAAATTTGATAAAAACGAAAATCGATAAATTAACAACGTATATGATTTGGCTTTAAATTTTTTCTCTCTTAATTTTAACATACATGACATTAATAATCGATTGATTTATATCATTATTTAACAATACGATTGTTATTTAATTTGTCGTTTTTTCGATGTTTTTTATTTAATTGTTTAATTAATTTATTTAATTATTTAATTGTCATTTAACAATACGCCAATACACTTTTGAATGTATGTAAGATTCTAGTAGTAATCATAGTATTATTTATATTAATCAATTGCATTATCGTGTGAATAATAAATGTATTATATATACCATTGATGCTTAGCAGTTAAGATACTGGATATTGTAATAAATAAAAATATTTGTTGCATCATTAGCTTATACAGATTTTATTTAATTTTGACAAGCTTCTTTATACTTGAATAATTATTAGCTCATATCGTATTTGTAAAGAAATTATTTATCAATTATTCGTCAGTTTTTTAAATTAAAATTATTAACAGGAGCATTTACTTTTTTTATCAACAAAATCGATGATCGTTGGATGTACTTTATTTTCGTTATCTACTTACTTTGTATCCCTTTAGGATTCTTTCGGCATCAAATCGCTTGATGAATGCCTGAAAGAGAAAAGCTTCGTCGCACTGATCCATCATCTCCGCACAGGCTTCCTCGTCGTTTGTCTTGATTCTCTTTGCTGGGCTGGTTTGCATAGAGGAATCTATCGATAGCCTCTTCACTGCCCTTTTACAATCGTACACAGCCGACACATTGATTGAGCCCAAATCGCTATTGTTTCCGCTACTCTTCATGAGATCCTCGAGCGACACATTGTCATTTCGAATCCTATCCCTGCGCTTGTTTCCCAAAGGCGTACTCGACGACACTACGTTCGTCGTCCTTTTTTCCGGTGTCTTCTCGAGTAGCCGTTCCTGATACCTCGATAGCGCCTTCTTTACCGATGGTATTTTCGGGCTTCTAATTGGTAACCTGTTTATGTCACGCTCGGTTAGCTGAGCCAAGTCGCCTACAGATCGAATCGACCTGATGGATAAGTGTTTCGCTAGATGGCTCGTAAACAAGGGATCGACTAGTTCAGCGCTAATGTTCTCTACGGCCTCGGCGCAGGATATTAGCGAAGGGTAAACCGGCAGTGTGGAGTCTAAACTCTCTGGCTCGTTTAGTTGCGCAACACTGTGGAGAAATATTATCCATCTTTAAATGTGAATGTTTATTTAAATTATGAAAGGCTGACTCTTTGTATTTAATAAATTGAAGCAAACGCAATTTCTTTAGACGTATCGGCTATATATATATATATATATATATATATATATATATATATATATATATTATTGCGCAATATTCACAATACGTCGAAATAATTATCGAAGCAATTTAATTTACGCAATTAAACGTCTCAATTAGTGTATATATGTTAAATATTGTTTGGCAATCGTTTAGGCTAATCGTAAAAGTATAGTAAAAGTACAGAAAGCTTATTAATTTGCAAATTAAATAAAGATTTTAATTGACATCACACTGTATTCTATTATATATTATACCTGTTTTGTGTTTCTTGAGTAAGCGGCAGGTTTGAGAATATTGAATCAGTGACAGGTAGGGTATCGCCTTGTTCTCCGCTTTGCTGCGAGGAGCTACCCGCGGGCTTATCTGACAAATTAGGCGTTGAATCGAGACTGGAAGAGATATTTTCAACGTCGACGGTGTCTTCTAAAGAGCTTTGGTGATTATCAGACTTATGAAGGATATTAGATAAATTAATGGATTCGAGCTTAATGGAAGAGTTATTCTGATCGTTTTGCGTGGATGTTTTTATGGCGTCGATATTTTCGTCATTCGCTGGCATATTATTATTATCGATGAATATATCGACGTCGGGTAAATTATTAGGAACGTTGGTGTCAATCTCAGCGACCTTCGATTCGTCCAATGATATCTCGCATAAAACCGTTTCCAAGTTAATTTTATGATCGGTGGAAGCAGCGTTATCACTATCGTTACAAATCTCATCGTTAATTTCAATATTACTCGACTTCTCCTCCGCACTACTCAGCTGGATAATCTCATTTTCCTTTTCAAGTTTTTCCGGATCTGTAATTTGAACGAGCCTCAGTTTCGCATGCTTTCTGGATTCCTTTCGGGAGATGGGGCTTCGAGACGAAGGGAGCTTTTCGAGTTTTGGCGGCGACGAAGACTCTGTCATGATCTCATATCCCATTTCTCGAGACACCGGGGGATCGGCAAAGCTAACCCTCTTTTTCTGAAAAAGACAATAAATAAATAATAAACTGTAAGAAACTGAGCATCGTACATATAATAATACGTAATTATCTCAATAAATATAATATGAAAATAAAAGCTCCGCCTTACTCTACTATATACTGCACTATCTAAACTAAGCGGTACCGGTTGTTTTCAATATAAAGTTAATGAAAACGCGCATAGATAAATCAAGAGAAAAGAATAAAAATACGAATCTTACCCGACTAGGTGTTTCAATGCTAATCTCCGGCATCCTCTTTAAAATACTGGCGCTCGGGGAAGCAGTTAAGGAAGGCGGATTAGCGTTGGACCACTCGAGGAGTGGCAATTCTCTTTTGGACTTACTATTTGGCGATTCATCGCCACTAGCACCATTTTGTGAAGTTTCCTTCTCTTTCTCCGCGGCATCTCGATCGTAATCTTGCTTATCCATCCTCATGCATATGCGCTCACCATCGTTTCTCAAATTACAAAACATTGTCATGGATGGCGAAGAGCACGTCTCCTGTCTCAAGCTGCTATTCATATTGCTGAACATTTTTTCTTGCCGATGACCACCAGTACTCGGACTCGAGACTCTCTCGCATTCCTTTTGAATCTTATCTCTCTTGGGCACAGGTATTATCGTTACCTCGTCACTCAATGCTGTCTCCATCTTACAAGGATCCGCGGCCAATTTTTCAGCAATAGATTGTTTCGTTACGAGGCCAAGCATCTGCGCGGCTCGGCCTTGAAGCGGAAAGCCCTTCGACCTGAATATACGAGAATTCGAGCTCTTTGGAGATGAGGCGTGGATTGCCGGCATTGGTGGTTTGGCTATTTAAATAAACAATAATTTAATTTTCTTTAATAATCGCGTATTGAATTTTCAAGCATTTTATAAACGCTATAATTATTTGCATATAACTCTTGCGAATTGATTTGGTAGTTCCATAAGTATTATATTATTTAATGTTTTGCTAATATTTTGCTAATAAAACGAGATAGGATAATATATTCTTACCGGGATTATTTTCACCTTTCTTCACTTCTACTTGTACATAGATAACTTTTTCAGGATCAAGTGTTGCCGGTATGACTGACGTTTCATTAAGATCAGCTGGTGTTTCTTGAATAATTTTCGTCTCTTTTTCTAATTCTTCGTCCGAATTCATTTCCGACTGAAAATACAATTAAAACAAAGTCAATTAATGATAAATCATTCACATAATTATTTATTTATTCAAATAATCAAAATAAATTTACTTTTACCTGTGCCAATTCAACTTTTTTAATTTTTATAAAACACTCGACTTTATCCATTTTTGAATTCAAACTCGGCTCTTGAGAACTTTCTATAATATCTGAATCTTGAGAAGATTTCAAATCTGTCATTAAGGACTCATCAGTTTCAACATTTGAAATTGGGATATCTTAAAATAATGGAATAAATGGTTAAAAATATTAAATAATTATGTACATCTTCAATGATAAATGATAATCAAAATAAAATATTAATTAACAATTCGAAGCACGTTATATAAGACTTTCAAGAAGAAATTTAATTAAAAAAATTAATGAAAAAGCGTCGGTAAATTAACTTTATTTGCTTTTATAAAATGAAAACTATGCATGTATAAGGTGTGAAAATATGATAAAATATGATCCTCACCACTATCGTCAGTTGTATCGTTAATTTGTTGGGAACAAGTTATCAGGGTTGAAGTATCCTTAATATCGATAGTCTCCTGCGTATCATCCAGTACATTATTTTTTTTTAAAAACGAAACAATTGGTTCCGTCTTTCCAAGCATTATTTTGCGAACCAATTTGTTGTTTGTATCCATATTTTCTAATGGTGTCGTTGTTACCTTTTTCTGATTAGTAGCTTCGTCATCATTGACTTTTACTATATTGGCATTTACAGAACGCTTTTGATGTTTTTTCGTGATAAGATTTTGTTGGTTATTCGTTTCCGTTTTATCATCTTTTACCTTTTCATCCTTTAAATGGACAGTCTTCTTATCATTAGTTGGAGCATCGTTCGTTTTGATAATACTACGCCGGCTTGGTAAAGCCTCGAATCTCATATCAATCTTCAAACGTGACATCTCATTCTTTTGGCGTTTCGAAATTTTTTTCCCACTAGGCTCCTATATATTTTATAAATTTTATAAATTAATCACTTTTTTCAACTAGGCACATTTTTATTTGAACTTTAGTTTAACTACACTTGTTCGATTGAAGGTATGAAAAAGTAATAAAGTTTACTTAAGCTCGGGAATTCTAGCACTCGTTCTTTTTATAAAAAATAAACTAATATTTTATTATGAATGTACGAAAAATAGAAATTTTATAATATTAATTATATTTACAATGTTTAAAAATTGGACTCTGATTATATTAAACAAAACAAAACAAAAAAACAGACATTAGAAGAAGGAAGCTTAAAAGGTATCCTCAAAAAGACTTGGAAAGTTTAAGATAATTTGTATAAGATATGGAAAATATATTCAAATTCAATATTCAATGATTTGAATAACTATACTATTGCATGTACCTTTACCTTATTATCCTCACTAATTTTAATATTTGATAGTCCATCAAGTGTATCTGGGCGTCGTGGACGCTTTTCTCGCTCAATGCAAAGCGTACCCTCGGAATTACTCTCAGAGTTTCGGCGTTTTTTGCCTCGTTTATTTAATTGTTCGGTGCTATTGAACTTTCTGAGAGTGATATGCTGAGGCTGTAATGATCGCCGTGTCGGGCGTATGATCTTATCCTTATTATGAATCTTATTATGATCAACATCTAAAAAGACAGTTAAAATTATGTAATAAATATATGCGGGAGTGTTGTGGAATCATTTTAATAAATTGATTGTACCATTGAAAAGAAGCAAATTATAAATAATATATTTATCATTACACCAAATCAAACCTACTTTCTTCTACTAATTACTACTAATTCCTTTTACCAATATATTTGACTTTTAGATAAACTTTAACAATAGTTTGATTACTATATTTCGCGAAATGAAATTTTCGATCATTCATAGGATGTAGTTTATAATATTTTAATATAAATCTCCAACCTGCTTGGTTGCTCTCTTCTGTTACATTTTTACGTCGTATTTTATCTATAATTGATGGTGAAATTTGCTCTGCATAAACAGGAAATTCTTCGCGCGATTCAAAATCCAACGTTTTTGCTACAACCGGTATTGTTTCGTCTTTACACGAATTATTATCTACTGGCGGAACATCATTATCTGCCGATTGTTTCTTTGGTTGTGCCTTTGATGAAGTAGCAGTAGAACTAAAAATAAAATAAATCTATTAATTCAAATAATAATATGTAAACGTGGCAAATAAGTAACAACGATTTCTATTCGTGAATTTATAATTCACGATGAAACAATTAAATATAATAAATTAAACTAATTTAGTTGTTTTTTAAATTTTATGCAATTCTAGTTTTAACATCGAAACATTTTATGAATATCGTATGAAAACTATTTACGGGTGAACAATTCAAAGTATTCTATACTTATGCTACTGACTTTTTTATGGTCTTTTGCAATTCAGCAGATAAGCCCTGTCCAGCATTTTTCACATGCAAGGTAGTCGGTACAATCTTCATTATTTCATTATTGTTTGATAATGTTTCGTTTGTCAATCGTGTAGGTGATTGTCCCGTTTTTGCATCAAACCAATGTTGAAGCTCTTGCGAATCTTGCGAGTTGGAAACAGTTAATTCATTATACATTGCCGGTATATCATCTCTTCGTTTTTTAAGCATTTCTTTTTGATGCTCTGTTAAGCGTTCGACATCTAATTTTATATTTGTATTTATTACAACAAAATCCTGCATAAAACAATATATTTTAATAAAGATAATTCAAATTTGAAATGTATGAAATTTAAATATTTTTGTCCATATTTGTACATATATATATACATTATGATTGTAAAAATTTTTGTAAATCAGTGGATAAATTACCTGTGAATCGGGTTCAATATTAACAACTTTAATCTTCTGTACATTTTCTTTTCCATTCTGCACAATGGATACAGTACTAGATGGACTCGTTGATTTGCGATTCAAGAAACTTCCAACTTGTTTAACACGTGTATTTTTCGCCTTTTTTGACTTTTCTTGTATTTCAACTATGTCAAAATTATTCTTAACCGACGTCTCTTCAAGTTCATTCATTATATCTTCCAAAACCTTTAAACATTTATACGTTATTAAAAAATAGATAAATTTATATTTCAATAACTTTTACATAATTTTTTTGTTTAAAATGAAAAAATAATTATACATAAATAAAAGCATAGTTAATAATTACAGTATACCTTCTTAGATTTATCATCGACACTGTCTTTCATATCCAGAATGGAAAAGGCCATGGAGGATATGTCCATATTAAGATGAAGCATGGCAAGAACTATAGTTTGTCGATAACAACTGAGTAGTTCAAAATTTAGAGATTTTTGTAATTTCTTAAAAAGTCCGACAATGGTACTCCACATGGTCGATATTTCACGTTCTAAGCTATTGTCATCAACATTTTCGAGCATGTATTTTACGACAGGCTCGATAGTCTTTAAGTAGACACCGGTTTTCTCTATACTATGACTGAAAACTCTTAAAAGAAAGGCAGACAAAGCCTTAAGAATTTTTTCTGTAACGAAACTCTTATTCAGAAAACATTGTAAGGTCAGTTCCTTTAATAATTGAACAAATGCTGGAATCATTTTATCTGAAAATATATATCTAAATTTAAATATATATTAATTGTATTAAAATTTAATTACTAACATATTTTATTTTACATTATTGAAAAATTATAAGAACGCTCGCACTATTGCATTAGTTAGTATCTATATAAAATATTTGTATTTTCATTATTTTAAATATATTATTGTTTTTTATTATATATTATTGCAATTTTGACGTAAACAAAACAAATAATAATTTTATTGATTATATAATTAAAATGAGGTAAAAACATGTATCAAAATTGATGATCAAAAGATTGAAAGAGGTTTTAACACGTAGCAAATAAACTTCTGTAAAAACTTTTAAACTTAAAAATTTTAATTACCATTAGGTAAATTGTCGTAATTAACAGTGCTAAGTAATCCATCTATACAATTAACTGCAAAATTGCAAGATCTTTTTTCTTTTTTTAAAATTGCTATAATTGTATTTGACATTTTTTCCAATATCTCATTAGGTTTCACAGATACAATTAATTCAACTTGAAAATCAAATTGCTTGTACAATTCTCTCCATATTTCAGCTATAGTTGTTAACTATATATAAGTATAAAAAAAAAAAAGATCAAATATAATACATAATTCTTATTAATTATATAATTTATATATAATTAATTTATTTAATAATATAATAATACAAATTCCTACCTGAGCGTAATCTTCGGTAAATATACTGGAGAAAGGAAAAGTAATGATACTTTCAATTGTTTTAAAGTTATGTTCTATCAATGTGCCTTCATTAATATTTTGAGAATCTTCTATATATTTCTTCGCAATTCTAGCAAGGATACACCAGATTCTACACACTCCAACTCTGAAAACAAATTCAGCATGATTAATTGTTAAATTAAAAACGAAATTTTTAATAACAAATTAAATAAAATTAATGAATTTTTGTCTATGGAATTTTATATATTATATAGTAATTCTATGTATTAATTATTATATTCTATATATTAATAATATATATTATATAGAAGATTTACTTACGCATTCGAATTGACTTTTTTTGCATCCTCTAAAACCTGTAATATTACTTGCATTAATTCAATTGTTTGTAAATAATATCTATTTGAATTTCTTGGTTTAATCAATTGCCAAAGTAATGATTCGATATATCCATAATGATCACTAAAAGAATTCATACTTTATAATACCAAATTATTTATAATGATTTACTTTTAAACGTACTTGATAAAATACGAAAAGTTATCCACTTGCAAATATGTTTGTATGAGATCCTCTAACATGTTCTCGGTAAAATGAACACTACAAGAAATTACGTCGAACTGCTTTAATATGTAGAATAAGAAATCTCTTATAAAGACTACTTTGTGATAACGATTTTTTATCAATTCAATAATGACATTCATAACTTCTTTGTACATTGATGTCTAAAAGAAAAAAATTCCAATATATAAGCTATTAGAAGCATTTATAAAAATAAATACGTACATATATATATTTATTTATACATAAATACGTAATCATATATTATTTTAGCTTTTCAATGTAATTTATTTTAATATCATTTTAGAAATACGGTTGTAATTGTCTAAGATTTACCTTCATTTTATCGTACTCCTCAATTCGTTTAATTAAATTATTCCATAAAATTTGACAAATATTTGCTTTATTTTTAATATCTTCGTTTGGTATCGATCCCAAAATAAGTACAATTTCACCAAAACAATGAATGAAAATTTTATAAATAGCCTCGAAAACTGCATTATTTACTGAATCGGGTAGCTTCTCATTTATAACAGAGAATGATATATTTATTTGATCCTCTTTGCACACAATTAGCTGTTGAAAAGCATCGATAGCAAAAATTTGAGTTTTCATAAATTTTTTACCCAATGAAACATTATTATCAGTCTTTTGAATAAAAAGTGGTTTATCACCAAAGGGACCAAAGCACAAATTTAAGAATGGAATCAAAACTGTATCGGTGCACTCAGCTATACTGGGATAAACTTTGAAAATTAAATGCCACCAGACTTCCAATTTCGTAAGTACCATTAATTCTGTTTTACTATTTTTAGCATTTAAAGGTACACATAGTAGTTTTATGCGACGATTTGTTGCTAGTTCACGTTGATCCAAAGCAAAATTATCTATCAATAATTTCCAAGACAGAAAAGCTTGCCTAAAATATATTGTGGTTTTAAAAAAATTTGTATTTTTTTATTACCTGTCGCTTATTATACAGTAAAATAATTAAAATTGAATATTATTTATAACAGATTTTTCATTGACTTAAATTGACTTTTATTGCATATTCAATGTATGTTATTAAATTAGTGGAAAATGCATAAGATTTTAAATAATAATTTTAATATTCATACTTATTAAATATATAATTACATATGTTTTAATTAGTTTGTATTCGAATTAATATTAATTACATGTGAACCTTAACATTATTTTAAATCTAACTATAAATTTAAATTATAAATATGGACAATTATTAAAAAATTAATATTTATTATAATAATTATGCTAAATTATGAAGATTCTACTGACCTTCGATTTGGATCGGCTGACTTAAAAGCAAGTTCTTCGACCTTTAGGAGACTATTTACTAAGCCAGAACCTCTATGAAGATCAGTGCCAATGAAAGTAATACTTGTTTCCCATTGTGTAGCCCAATCTTGATCAGAAGCATTGACCAACAGGGTCATTCGTTTGCAATAAATATTTTGAAGAGTTGCCTTATATTTTTCCCAAATATCTCGATGAACCGATCGCACTCTTATGCCTAATTGATTTTTAACGGCTTGTTGTAAGACAATTAGAGCTTGAGTTCTCTGTTTGCGATGCCCTAGGTAGCCCATGACTATGATTTTATCCATTACTATTGCATCAAATTGTCGAATATTTAATCCTAATGCAGACAAATTATATAATCTACCAAGAAGCTGTAGAGTTTTTTCTACAATTTTTTCTTCGTATTCATCATTTTCATTCAAAACTCTATTCTCCACGTTTTTCAGTACAGTTACATTTTCTGCATTTTCCGACAAAAGCCAAGTCATTGATTTTGGCTGAATTGATTTCATACTATTATTTAAAAATTCTATTATTGACAATTTATTGGCAATTATTGCCATTGTTTCATCCTTTAAGATGCTTAAAGATACAAGTATCTTAAGTCTAAAAATGATCAAAACATACATATTGTAGATTTAAATTAATGTAGATATAATATAATAATTATTATGGCATTAAATTAATAATGTATTTGAAAAGGTGTTGAAAAGTTAGTCTAGTGAATTGTGGTGATGAATAATATTATGACAAACCTTTTTTTTCGATTAATTTGTAAAATTGACTGGAAGAAGTCAAAATTTCTCTTTTTTGTTTCTGGTAAAACAATATCAAGAGTACGACATGCCTCAATATATAATTTATCATCTTCTTTGACACTTGCATTAATAACTGAATTGCAAAGCTCGCAAAATTCTTCATCCTTCAATGCCTTTATAATTTTTTGATCTTCCAAACATGCTCTATAAAATTAAATATTTTTTAAATAAATAATTTTAAAAAATAATCACGCGATTTGCACTATCTTTTGCAAATAATTATTATAACTTATTTAAGTTTAGGATTCATTTTAAATTTGATATCAATTTTATTATAGATAAGTTTACTGTACCTAAGACTAGTGTAAGCATAATAAAAAAAAAAAAATGTTATCAAGACAAATAAAGTTAAGTTTTATCATTATTTGATTTTATTTAGTAGAATTTTCTTACTATTTATACAGTTGTTATTAAAAAAAAAAAAAAGGATGATAATTTTAAAATGGTAGGAAAAAATATAGAAATGTGCATAATATACAATAAAGCTTATAGATAATAATTCAGAAAGAAAAAACTTTTCTTCAATACGGATCAATACAGATGGCTGATAGTTAAATAATAAGAAAAGTGAATAAATTTTAATTATAAATAGAAAACAAAGAATTAAAGCATTCTCATCGCAAATTAATATTATTAAAGAGAATTTTTTGTATAAGCATAATATTATTCGTTAGTATTTATTAATAACAATTAAATCTGTAAGTACATAATCATAAAATTTAAGAACCAAAGGCTTTTATTAAGACCATAAAAACAAAAGATATATATATATATATAATTTATATTTAAAATATAAATTTTCTATGACTGCTCCATAAATTTTACATTAGGCAATGACACTTAACAACTGAATAATTTAAATCACGTTCTAGTAATATTTATTATATTTTATCTTTAAATATTTCATTTCCTCAATGAAATAATAATTACATAATAATTAAAACGAAAGAAATTCATACATTACTTTATATTTATTACAATGTAATATATATATATATATATATATATATATATATATGCATGCATGTATGCATGTGTGTATTTATGCATGCATATATGCATGCACACATATATATTCATAGGCATATATATGTGTATATATATATATATATATATATATAGAGAGAGAGAGAGAGAGAGAGAGAGAAATTCTATTCAAGGTATGGTATATTCATGGAAATGTAAGTAATTCGCGAGTAAATTAACTAATAATTAATGCAGCATAATATTGTATGATCTTTCGCCTAGAATGTATTTTACACAAAAGTATTTATGCATAATTTGTTAAGCTAATAATCCATTACTATAACTATTCCGAAAGTGCAAAATCGATTGGCAATCGGTGATAGAAAGTGATGAAAAACAGTGAAAGGCATTGCGTGATATATAGTAGTATTGTAAATGATTAAAAGTTTAACATCAACTCCGAACTGTTTCTGCCGAAAAATGATGTTATTGTCTCTTAGAAATTGTAATGCATGGTTTTACAACAGGGCGATAGAATTAAGGAATTTCGTAAGACTTAAATAGCAGTGTTGGAGGAAGGAAGGATGAAAGAGTGCTGCAATCGTAAGCCCATCCGCATTCGCATTTTCTTGCGCACAACAAGCTTAATAAAAAAAAATCTTAGGGACAAAGGAGTCTTTTAGCACATACCTTCGCAAAGAGGTTAGGGCTTGAATCTTGGAATCCGAGGAGCTCTCTTCCTTAAGCATTTTTATCATTTTTTGGAAATTCGCCGCTGACGCCATGTCAACGTCCCCGTGGCTCCGATATTCTTAAACGCGCGGGAAATTTTCTGCTTTTCAGTGGCACTACTCCAGTTTGCGTTCTCAAAAGAAGCAGTAGTAATGTAGCATACAGCACCTGCGTATTCACTCGCTTAGGGGAAGGGATGAAAATCTTCCCTCTTTTTTTAACTTTTATCGCAAGATCGAATTGGACGGTGGAGGGGGTAGGGATACGAGGTGTATAAAATATACGCGGGAACGAGGAAGCCAGACTCGACTGGGCAATCGTTGCTTTCCGCGAATTTCTCGCGCAGAATCTATATTTACGAGACTGTAGGCGCGTTTACATAGCGACAGTTTCTATTCGCATGCTGCTGATTTTATTGGGTTAAATGTACCGACGTTTAAACATTCTATATTCTTAATCAATAACTCCGCACTCAAGTTTATCGATAGTTATTTTATAAAATATTCGCTTCGCTCACGTCCGTCTCAATTTTCTTTAGCGAATCGCGGCAGACTTTTTGAATAATAAAATGAGTTTCAGAAATAATGTACTTTGGGCTTACTATTGGTTAGCTTTAGGAGCCAATTTATTAGTTCAATGGTACAATGATCAAAGACCGATTTTGACTGATGGAAATTATTGAGCTTAAAAATTACCAAACGGTACCATGATTTTTTATAGCCGACCTATGGTAACTCGCCAATTATTTTCTCATTATTACCTGCGTGACGTATTGTATGCTTTCGCAATTAATCACATTATTGATATTTATATTTACACAAAATGAAATGTCAAAGGCACAAAGATACGAAGATACGAAGAACTTGAGCCCAGCATGCAGCATATTCCTGTCATGTTAAAAAAATTTCATAAATTCAGGCGCGTTTATTTATAATTCACACGTTAATAAGTATGTTAAAAAGCCCTTTTTCTTTTGTTTTCTTTTTTTTGCTTTTAATATTTTAATGCAACAATTATTTGATAAGACCATGGCATTTAAAAAACAACTTGAAAATTGCTTTTATTTTTTTTTTATTTAAGTTTCATTATTGATCAGTAAATTTCATCTTTAGTTGCAATTTTAGTTTCGGGTAAGTTAATTTATATTATAAACAGTAGCAATGACAAGGATCGATGATTATTCAACTATCATAATTTATAAGTTCTCATTGCAGTTGCTTTTTACATGATTTCAGAAATTCACAAGTTCTTGTATTTTTATCAAACAAATGTATTATGATAGTCGTTATTTTACGCATAAAAACAATAGCTATTAAATTAAATACATTCCATTTTCATTATTATTTATTATATATTTTAATTGTATAAAAAATATTTACATATTATAAACTTATACCTTATAAATGACATCAGCATTAAAAGTATTGAAAGACCACATATGTTTCAAAAGGGATACTTTATTTTCAATAAAAAAAAAAAAAAAAAAAAAAAAAAAAAAAAAAAAAAAATTCATCATTCGTAACAATATAAATTCACAAGTTTTAGAAAGGCACTAGTTACTTTACTTATTCTGGTAACAAAGGATGACTCTTATTGATGAGATATTCAAAGAGTTTTCTTACATTACGTTAAAATTAGACTTTGGTTCCATAATTTAGTAGAGCGATGTTTGTATTTGCCTTTTCGCTGACATTCACTTACTGTCAAATTCCACAATAATCAGTCGTAGATACAAGTTATTGATGTGTCTCAATTATTATACATTTATTTACACAATTAGTCAATAATAATTTAGTGAATTCAAATTTATTCCAATAACAGTTTCAACTTGATTTAAAATTATTGTTGCTTTGTTCAGGTACAGTTAGATGCAGATTCTGTTGAATGCTATTAAATCGACGAAGATAGGGATCATGAGAAAAACCGCTAAGTCCACTGAAAAAAAATTTCTTATGTAAAATTGTAATGGTACATTAAAAATCGTTCCGTAGCAATTAAAGTTTTTTTTTTTTTTTTTAAGTTAAACGACAAAGTTTTCCGAAATTATAATTCTTAAGATATGAAATACAAAAAAGATATATTATATATCTTCTCTTTCTTATAGAATATATTATACATAAGAAATTTTATACCATATTTTACATTATACTAAATTCGAAATAAAATCAATTATAATATTTATTATATTATATTATTTAACAATTAAGCGTATGATATTCATAATATTTTTTTTGTTCAGACACGTGTATTGTATGTGCGCAAACTTAGCTTTTTAAACAATTTTTATAATTTATAGCAACAACATGATCTAGTAAAAACTTTATTGAAAAGTTTTATAAAGCAGGGCGACTTACTCATAGTGTCTATCCCTTATGGGTGGTGAGCGCTCAGTCGTTCCTACATTCCTATATCTCGGTTGCGAAATTAATTGTGATTCTATATTAAGGACTACGTTTGCTCCAACCCTCAAACCTGTCCTCCAACGCAAAACTAGCCATTTCATTCTCTGAATAGCTACGAGAAACAAAACTACAGTACGAAATCTAATTCGAGGATTGTATCGATGGTGTGTTCCTCCACGACTAATTTCACGCTGTTTATCCGTTAATTGGGCTAATGTAGCTAAGGAATTCTCTTCAATGCGTTCGAAACTCACGAGTATACAAAGTAGATATTTCTTTTGATAAATTAATGATTTGATACGACTTTCGAACCTCAAATACTTGCCGTAGAAGTATTGCATCTGAAAATAATAATGTTTTTTATATTATTCATTTTAGGCATACTTGTGAATAAGAAATTTTTTCATTTTTAATTCATCTATCAATGTCTATGACTATCTCTCTATCTCAATTACTTTCAGAAATGACAGATAATGGAACATCACATCATAGAATTATTAGTAAATTATTAAGTATCGTTAGATTATCATTATAAAACTCAACAGATATTAAACTACTGAACTATTGAATTATTCAAAATTTACGTGAGAATTTGCAATTGAAATGCAATCTTTTCAAATTTATATGAAAAAAATGTATAAATTATTGTGTAAAACTTACTCTTTCTTGTACGTCACTTTTGCTGCTGCATTGGTTATTACGATGCATTTGTGATAATTGAGCCTCTAAAACTCGTATTTGATCCAATTGCCTATCCTTTTCTTCTTTTAAACACATTTTATCGTGAGACAATTTCTCAATACTTGCGGTAAGATCCTAATTATATAAACGAATACATTTTCATTACATATTATTATCACTGATACACATAATTTTTGTTTTTAAATTTTAAATAACTTTTAACTTGATTTTTAACTCGATATTTTAACTGATTAATCCGAGTGAATGGTTTTTAAAGAAATTAAAATCGACGAAAATTGTTAAATATTAAAGAAAATAACATTTGTTATATAAAAATATTTAATGTAATCCTGGGAGTTTTTTTCTTCTTTTTATTTTGTTTTGTTTTGTATTTTTAACTATATACAACAAGTAGTCGTTTTTCTATATTCGGTAAAGTATGTGATGCACAATATTTAAATGAAAAATAATTTCATATGTATTGTTATGTATTATAAAAATAAATGAGACCTGCATATATGAGCTACAAATATGGTTTTGGTAAAATTGTTTGGATATTAGGACTTACTTTTGCATTCTGGAAAATTTTACTTGGAGAACTGAACTTATCAGGGAACGATCTTTCTTTCTTCAACTCTTCGGTAAGGTCGATCTCTCTTCTTAAATACATTTTTATTTCATTCTTTTGATCTACAATTATACTCTTCAATTTTTTATTTTCTTTCTTAATGGCATTTAGTTGTTCGGTAAGTTCCGTTTCTTTATCCATTAATGACTCAACACGACGTGATAATTGAGATTCTCGTTCACCGGACTCGGATAACTGTTTATTCAGTGTCTTCATGTCGATTTGAAAATCAAGCTAGAAAAAATTTATTTTTAATTTATAATAAAATTATAAATAATTTATACGATGTATACGACACTTTGGCACGATTTAAACTATTTAATCAAAATAATATACATTATTTTAACTGAATTAATAATTTCATGCGCTTTTTAATACTAAATCTAGGATTTATTCTAGAATTCTATATATTCTTTATTAGCAACTATATATAATTATTGCTTTATGTATCATAAATTATTTAATATTCTATGAATATAATTAAAAATGAATCTTTGGTTAAATAAAAATTAATTAAATCCCAAATAATATAATAATGTCCAAGTGTAAATATAATACTACGGATTTGTTTTTTTTTTCTTCAATTTTGAAAACAGTTATGCTTTATTTATTATGTACAATATTTTTTAAAGCTTTTATTATATTATTAATATTGTGCTTGTTTTTATGAATTAAATAACCACGTTTATTTTTTATACATTTATTATTTTGCCCGAGTGTATTTCCAAGAGCAATAATTAATTTTAAAGTAGTTTATAGTTTTAAATATAGTGCTGCTAAAGCTAATTTTATTAAATATAATTTCATTTTTAACATTTTCATACACACCATAACTTCCTGCGCATTTTTCAATTCTCTCCTAAGACTTTTCAACTCGGAATGTTCGTTAGTTCTACGTTGATTTCTTTTATTATCAGCATCATTCATCGTTTTAAGTAATGACTTCTGCCAATTACATTCTTCATTTTTGGCCTTAAGTTCCTCTTTAGCTCTCTTCAAATCCGACTTCAATTGGTCTTTAAGTGAATCGGTAAATTCTATAGTGCTTGTAAGCTTCTTAATCTCAGCCTCCACTGTTTCGTATTGTTTTTGTCCATGTTCCTTCTCATTACTTAATTTCTGTAAGTTATCTCGCAATTCTTCACACTTGCGTTGTTCAATTTCTAACTTTTCTGTGAGAATCAGAAGTTCTTTTTTCAATTGATCTTGTAAATCTATTAAAAAAATATATATATAAATGATCATTTTTTTATTTAATACCATTAAAAAAAAAAAAAAAAAAAAAACAACAAAAAACTATATATATTTGACTTAAATAATATGTGAAGGGTAACTATGTAGTAATTACCGAATGAAAATTAAATTTTATTAACATATTTAAAACAGTAAATTTTTATTTAAAATATTTTTATTACCTGTCGAGCTATCTTTATCCAAATCTTTCATTGCATGCATCAGTTCAATATTTTTCTGTTCCATTACTAATCTATCCTTCACTTCCAAGGCCTCATCTAATTTAATTCTTAATTGACTAATCAATTCTGTATCTTTAAGCTTATCTTCTTCTACAATATTTTTCTCCCTTTGCAACTGCATTTGTAGAGACCTCACCAAGTGCCTTTCCTTAGATAAGTCTTCTTCTAATCTTACAATTTTTATCGCTTCTTCTTCTGCATCAGATTTTAGTTGCATTATTCGATTTTCATATTCACAAATCTGTCAAATATTACATTAATCTTAAACAATGTTCGCTAAGTATGAATTATTTAAACAGTAGGATATTCTTTTATCAAATTTATAACTTCGAAATAATTTGTTTAAAAATAGGATAATACCACAACATAAACATAATGTAGAAAAAAATATATCAATTTTTATTAAAAAATGTTATGGTATTTTTGCTTTTATTATTTGTTCGAAGCAGTATTTATTTTGTGCTTAATTTCATATAAATTCATCAAATATAATAAAATTAATTATATTTACTTGATTCTAAATTTTATACCTGTGATTTTAGCATCTCTCTCTCAATTTCTAAGTCATCCTTAAATCTATTAAGCTCATCGATTTCCTTCTTTGCTTGCTTCAAGTCTTCGCACTTTTGAAGCATATTTTCTGGCTCACCATCAATTACATTAAGTAATTGTTGGTCTAATCGTGCTGAAAGATTTAATTCTCTTTGCACCATTTCTGCAATATCATTGTCTTCTTCGGCTCGCCTAGAACTACTTAGCATCTCCACTTCAGTTTTTAGTTTAGCTATTTGTTCCGTTTTTGCGTAATTCTACAATATTGCCAGATTCTTTCATTTTGCTCTGAATGGTTTCTAGAGCACAGTGCAAGCTTTTGCTATCATCGCTCATTTGACGTATGACTTTATCCTTTTCCTGTAATTAAATTATAAGGTGATAATTTGAACAGTTGAAATAAATATTCAATCTGGTTCATTATCATTTTGATCCAAAAAATAAAATATCATAATACTTTATCATTTAATGGTTAATAAAAAAACTATGATATTCTTAAGGGTTTAGATTCTTTAAATAACATTTGTAATATAAATTAGCTTTTAAGATTGCTTTTATCGAGCATCGTCTTGATATTTCTCCTTTTAATAGTTAAGTTATTCAATATTTCGCATTACATGAACTAAGCTAATAAAATATTAATTATATATTTTATTTTTACAATCTTACTGTCACTTTTTTAAAAATTTATATTAAATAGAGCTAGAGATTCCGTGTTCTATAACTACGTTTTAAAAAATAGTATTTTGACAAACCTTGAGATACTCTTGTAAATGATAAATTTCTTGATCTTTTTCACTAGGGGATGATCCACCCGATAAGCTATTTCTTCTTGTAATTTCTTCTAATCTACGAATCATTTGATCACGACTATTTAAAGTATCACTCAGACGTTGTATTTCATTCTGGTATTCGAGAATCTCCTGTTCATAGGTATCAAATTTCCGTCGGTAATCATATAAATCTTTTATTTCTTTCTCGATCTGTGCATTACGGATCTGGAGATTTTCAATTGAAATATCTTTCTGAGCAAGAATTTCTCTAAGGTTTCCAATTTCTTTATAATTTTCTTGCAAAGTAGATTCACTGACCTTAGAGCGTTTTGTTTCCTTGTATAAAATCTGCTCGTTCATCTACAAAAATCATATATTACCTTTATTATTAAATAAATGTAAATAATTTAAATATACTTAAAGTAAAACCCATTTCGTTTATATTTATGATTAAAATATAGTGTAAAAATATATAAGTTAAAAGTAGGCATCAAAGTTTTTCATGTACTCCTTTAAGTGTATGTATTTTTATTTCTTCAAATTTTATATACTTTTGAAGAAGAAATAAAACCAATTTACCTGAATTTTTCCTTTAAATTCCTCTAGTTCTTCGGTCTTCTTCTTTAAAATATTTTCAACTTCTTCTAGATCCTTTTGTATTTTAGTCTCATTCATCTTAGCCATTTCATATTCAGCCTTGTAATATAATCTATCCTGATTAAGAGATTCAATGTTTTCTTGTAGTTGCTGAAGATTATTTTGTATTTCCAATAATTCTGCATCCCTTTGTTTCAAAATTATACTCTTATTTTCTAGCTCAGACTTGATTTCACTAAGAAACATTTCAAGATCTTTTAGACGTTTAACAGTCGTTAACTCCTGTTCTACTATTTCATTGTTATTTTTATTGACTTTATCATGACGAGGGCAGACAAAGTTATTGGGATCCTCTGAAATTTCTTCATGAATATCAGTATCAGTTTCAGCGGATGGGGATACCGGAGCTAGTGATATTTTTTCCCGAACGTACATTTGAAGAGACTCAATCTGGATCAACAATATTTAACTTTTGAATTAAACATATAATTTTGTATTATACATTTCTCGTGCATATAAATAAATTAATAAATTTGTTTATTAATAGGTAAATTATAAATAAATATAATTAAAATAATATAATTAAAATAATATAATTTAAAAATATGAAGATAAAAGAGGTCTATTATTAATTAATTTATCCTACTCGAATGACAGTTTATTAAAACATGCAAATATTATTTAAAGAAAGAATGATATAAATTAGCATCCGTATGAGAATTTAAAATAAATTATTACTTTATAACATCTTATTTATAATAGTAATTAACAAGCAAGAACATACCTCTTTTGAAATTTCTACTATATTTGAACTGACTCCATCTGAACTATAACTAATCGATTCCAAATTTAATCTTGGCACCTTAGGAGTTTCGACGATTTCTTGCGAGAAGTCTACGACGTCTTTCTTTGACTGCGAAACTACTGAATGTGCTATCGTATTTGGCATCTTTAAATTTGATGTATTCTGTAACTTGCTGAAATTTGGAGCTTCTCTTATTGCTTCGGATATCTCACAGTCAGATTTTATTGAAAGGATATCACTCAAAGTACGAGCACTATTTTTCTGCTCATTTTGATGCAGTAGTTCTCTAAGTTGTATTTCATCAAGTGATAGATAAATATCAAGTTGTTTTTCACGCTGAATAACTTGTTGTTTTAAATGTTCAATTTCTTCATTCTTTTCAGCAAGCATCGTGTCGATTAATTGTGGCAAGTTACTCTGATTTTTTTCTTGTATATTTAATTTGGCCTGGAAAAAATTAGCATTATGTAATTTGATTTATTCTTAAACATTTTTAAGCGTATATTTTTTTAATCTTAGTTACCTCGGACGTCAAGTGAATATTCTAAAATATTATTTAGGATATATCGGTTTTTATTAATTTTTTGACGATAAGAAAATAATGTTCAAAATTATTTTACATTATAATTTTTGCCAAAAAATCATTTTAAGTATTGAAATTTTTTATAATTCATTCATTTGTTAAGCAAATTTTGTTATGAGATTTCACTTTATTTTACACTATCTTAAATAAAAACAAATTTGCATATATGATTTAATATTCAATTTTAAATAATTTAATAATTTAATATCAATAATTAATAAATTATAAATAATTTCACAATTTAAATATCGAGATTGTATCAATTAATGCCATGTATAATAAAAAATGTTTAATTGCAAAATTTTTTCAGTTACTACCTTCATTATTCGTTTTTCTTCTTCAACAACTTCTAATTTATCTTTTAACTTTTGTATAATGTCATTTTCCGATTGAACAACATTTGCAATCTCAACCTCTTTTTCTGCAAGTATGCGGCTCATATGTTCAAGTTGATCCTTTGTTTCAGCTAACTATAATGTTATAAGATTATAAAATATTTTTAAGATATATGAATGAATTTTCTATAAACTTATTCAAGGAAAATAAATTTTTTTTTTTTCAAAATGTTTTATATTATCATTCGTACTCAATCCATGTCATCCATTATTTAGTTTTTCTTTTATTCTACTTCATTTATCGAAATTATTGAATTATATATCTGTTAATACATATTAATAAACAAAATAATAATTATAATAAATGATATATGATAGCCTTAGTTTCATACAATGTACAATAAATTTGAGATTATAACTATAAAATTGCTATCTCTCTTGAAAAAAAAAAAATTATATTTTATTTACTTCCTACATGAATAAGCTCAATATATAAATTACAAATAATAACTATTATTTTAAAGATTGCTATTATATATATATATATATATATATATATATATATCGGAAAAATTCTGTTACTTTTTAATATAAAAAAAATATGAATAATATATCAAATATATCAAATATATACCTCCATATCCTTTTCTACAAGGGCACGTTCGGTACTCTCCAGTTTGTCATTCATTTCATATAACTGCGACTCTAGTCTCGAAGTCGCCTGCCGTTGTGCAAATGGAGCATTCTGCTTCTGCTGTTCAAGTCTAGCACGCAATGTTTCAATTTGGAAAAGCTGTTCAGACGTTGTTTGTTGAAGTATTTCCTGCTCGGCTAATAGCTCCTCATTTTGCTTCTGCAGTATAAAAATTACATTATTATTATTAATCATCGATAGAATTTTATTTAACAAATTGTACAATTGGTCATTTTTTAAATAAATATATTATAACACACACACACACACATATAGTTGTATAACAACGAATATATAACAATATATATAATATATATAACAATATATATAATATATATATAACAATATATATAATATACAAAATATATAACAACAAATACATCGGATTGAAAAATTTTAGATGCCTTTATAAAAGCTATAAAGATTCGTTATCGCAGTTTAATAAGTTAGGTCATTCCGCTGTAATTATTATTACCTGAAGACTAGAATACTGAATATCTAAGTCCTTTAATCTTTTCAATGCCACATCTTCAGCTCTGAAATGTTTCAAGAGTGTTTCCTTCAACTTGAGCAAGTGATCGAGCGGCAAAACGAGCGGTAATGAAGGATCATCGGGAGTAGGACAACGAGTTGCCTCGATCTGTTCCCTAATAGACACATCTTCACTCGGTTGGCTCAAACTCAGACTCGAGCCACATACATGCAGTGACTCCAATTCTCGGGTTTTCCGATCGACTTGCGCTTGCATGTCGCGAATTTCAAGCCGAAGCTGTTTTAAAGCCGAGGAATTGGCTGTCAGCTGCTCGGAGCTGAGTTGGTGCTTCCGAAGTTCCTCCTATGAAATAATTGAAATAAGGAATAATATAATAATTAATTGAAATAAAGACAGATTGTAATACGATTTTCAAAATAATTTTTCTCATAATAATAATTGATAGAGTTGAGCTTTAATTTAAAAATTAAATAATAATTTTATATAATAATCGCTGGAATTGTGAAATATTTTATTGAAATTTGTTTACCTTACCATCATAAATTTACCAAATTTTTAAAATTTATTCATTTATCACGATACTATTAATAATTTAACATCAAACTCATTTAATAAACAAAATAAAAAATTTTAAATTTATAATTCATGTGATATTTACCTGTAAGTGTCCGATATGATTACTAAGCTGATTGCTTTCATTGCCAGATTTGACAACTTCAAGTTCCTGCACAAGTTTCTCCTGATTCCTTGTTTGTGAAATAATGATTTCTTTTAGATGCTCGATCTGATTGTTTAGAATATCTTCTTTTTCGGATCTCAACTGTACTTGCTGATCAAGATCGCATATAATCTCACGCAACTCCCAGATTTTGGTAACGGCAGTTTTTAATTCGTTTTCCGACTCTATCTTCTTCATTTCCATTTCTCGCAGTTGTGACGTTAAACCTTCCACCTGGATAAATCATTGACGATTATTTTTACAAATGATCGAAATCATTTTTGGCTTAGTAGATGAAATTATTGATTAAAAAGAATTATTTACAATTCTCAGAACTGCCACAAATAAAGCATTTACATTATTCATGTGAATTAATAATTCAAGCATTAGATGTGTGAAATATGCAAATATAATTGTATTGTTACATGCATTATATTACATAATAAAACTCGTTTATGTATTACTGAATTTTATTACAATTAAAGCCATTTATTTATTTTATTATTTTTTTCTAAGCGTTTGAATTAATAATATCTAATTCTGTTGATTTTAATTATTAATAAAATTATATTATAATGTTCATTTTTAAAACATAATATTTTATAAAGTAAATATTATTGCTTTCAAAAATAATCATTGGGTAAATTCACGTAAATTTGAGAGTAAATGAAATAAAAACCTAATTCAATCAACTTTAATGATTGAATATTAATAATGAAATATATCATTTTTCAAGTGAACATAATACAGTTTGTTATATGTTGAATTAATAAACTTTTAATAACATATTATAATAATAAATTTTATAATGATTTTATATTTCTATATATAAAACGTTGTTCCAAATGGTTTAAAATACATTTTATGGTCATTTATGTTATAAGTTTATGTAATTAAACGTTGTATTTTTATTTGCATTTATAGAAAACGTAGATTGATCCTGAAGCGTAATTATTAATTTTTTTGTTTAAAAATATTTTCAGCTTTAAAATTAGTTCTAAAAATAGATAATTGTATTATCAAGATACTATAAGATACTATACTGCAAGGATTTTTATGCCATATTAAATTAAGACTTTTATCAAATAAATCTATGGATTTAAAAATGTTATGTTCTTTAAACAAAAACTGAATTTAATATAAAATATTCTTGATATACATTAAAACTAAATTTCAATTTGGAATTGTTTCAAACTCTTATATAAAGTTTGTTTCTTTTATTTCACGATCTTAGGATATAATTAATTGGCTCATATCCCAAAAAAACTTAAATATTTATCTGTTTTAAAAGAATTATAGTAAATATTAGTAATACGTGAATTTATCCTACTAGCGCAGATTTTTTTTTTTTATGTACTTTAAAAGTGTGTCGAAGTCATTACAAATTTTTTTTTAATAATGTTTAAATAATAAATATTTTTTAAATAATTTCTTAATAAATGAACATATTTTAGACAAATTTTACATATTACACAACATCTGTGTAAGAAATTAAAATATTAATAAAATCAATTTTGTCAAAAACTCAATCAAAAACTTTTGGCATTTATTTTACAAACGTCTTCAAAAAGTAAAATTATATAATTTTATCACAAATATAATCTATTGATATTTGAAAATTTTTAAAATATATTTACTGTTTATAAATAAGAATTAAACATAAATGATTAATCAAACTTGTATGCAACATATGCGCATAAATGCGGATTAGCTAAACGAAGAAAAAGTCGTTTGCAGTATCTTAATAATAATTTGATATTATTTAATTACTAATTTGATTTTTATTTATCACAATTTATATATGAAACCGTAAAATATTTATTTGTAAATAAAATATTATAATTTATTAGATGAAATAAAAAACACATATTCAATTAAATAAGTGTTAGGTAAGGCATTGATTTTTGGATTAATCAAGGCTTCATTGAAAAATTAAAAACTTTCACAATCCGTTAATAATTGACGTTGTGCAATTACGTTCATGCTTGATCATGAGTAGATAAACCTGAAGTGAAACTCACTGATACATCGATCTCTGATTCATCGATCTGTCGAAGCGTGGAGTTGCCTGTGGAGGATGAGGCAGGCGATAGCGAAGACTGCTTTTGTGTGTGTGTGTAGGTGCAACAAACAGAGAAAAAACCAAAACCACAGTGCATAGAGAAAAAAACTTCTTGTTTTAAGGGGATGCGCTACCTAATTTATTATGATTATTTGCCTTCATACTTTTCCTTCAATATTTATTCAAAAAAATAAAAAATCCTTATAAAACAACATAATTATTTTGCAATACTTAATGCTTCAATTCAAGCTTCTTTCAAAATAAGTTTTTAGTGGATTTTGAAAACTATAGAATCAAAAATTCTCCGTTAATATTTGCTAAAAATATACTGTACAATGTATATTTATTTATGATTATCAAATATAAATTTAGCATATTCTCATATTAATTCATGTTAATGCACTAAATAAAATAGATTTTTAATATAATTATAAAAAATACTTTCTAAATAATTATTAAATACACATTTATATTCGTCTTTTTTATTATCATTTTTTGAACAAATATTAAATATAAAGGAAAAACTACCCAAAATTCATAAAAATAAGAAATAAATGTCATAAATTTTATTAGTAAAGTAGCATCATTACATCCCCTTATCAATATGTGTTAATACGATAATTCAGCAGTGATATGTTATAAGCTAACCTATATTACATTAACTTTTAATTATTAGATACAAAATAAAATAGTTATCCACCGATTTTTTTTTTTTTTTTTTTTTTTTTTTTTTTTTTGTTAATTACTCGTTTTTATCTCACAGCACCGTTGTTGCGTTGTTTATTTTATATATAAAAAATTAAATAAAAAATTAATACAATGTGTTAAATATCCTACCACCAATGTGCTTTTTAAAAATTATTAAGATCCAAGAATCATCAATTGTATTAATAAAATGTAAAATTGTCAACTATTTAACATTGAATCATATTTCATGTAAACTTATCTATATAAATATATATCTCCATACGTACATACATAAATACACATTCGCGCACGCACGCACGCACGCACACACACACAAAACTTATTATTCTTTATAAAAGTAACACTTTCATTCTTGTAATAAACATTTTAAATAATTCTAAATACGGAATTTATTGCTTTCTTTCAATTAAAATTTTTATTAAATCATTGTAAAATATTAACTGTAGCAAGGCAATAATTGGTAAAAAGAATTCTGTAAGAATATGTAATAAAAAACTATAATTTATTATTAATATCTATCTAGTAATATATTGTTTACTTCTCACTGTTTTCAGTCTGTAAATCCGTGACCTATTACTAAACCCTATTCTCACTTTGTTATTTAAAAATAATTAATTAATTTTCGAATTGAAAATGTTAGACAAATTAAATATTTGTATTTTTGTATTGTATCATCAAATGTAATTTCATAAATAATAGATGAAATTGAATATTTAAATAGCCTAAGCTTGTATTTGACCTTCATTTGTTTTTCATCTTATTATTAAGCTATTTACATTATTCGAGTTTCAAAATGAAAAATGCACGTAAGTTAAAATTTTAATTTACGTTAAACAGAAATTGGATCAAATATTAACCCAAATAGGCAATTTATTACAAATTTATCAACAATAGAATGAAAGTTCACCATCTGCTCGCGGAACAGCCACATCCATACAAAACAAATTTCATAGACAATAATGGAATATAAGTCCGTAATTGATGATTCTTAGAAATTAATCTGATCCAAGTAAATACTCGTGTATTGTACATAGATTAAAAAAATAAAATAAAATAATTAACAAATGAGAGAGAGAGAGAGTTGAGAAGAGATAAGAGTGAGAGAAATAGTAAATAATAAGTAATGAGAAAGACGAAGCTTCTTGTAAGAGCCTCTGTGTCTGGAATACCTCGGCGGAGGTAATGCGATAATCGCGATCCTTCTCACGTTCTCGTTCTCTCAGCCTCTCTTGGAGCTGCTGAATCTGTTTTGTCGCTTCGTCGCGTTCCGCCTCGCGTTCGACCGCCTGCTCCTCCTGGAACTTCCGGGTCGAGCGCAACTGCTTATCCGCAGCCTCGATCTAATTTAGGGGGGGGGGACGTAGTCATTTAAGTCACAATTTTTATCTTATATATATTTTAATCGATTGTTTGTGTATATAAAATGTGGCGGTGTTTTCGTTCATTAATGCTACAATTTTTCAATGACAATCGACTAAGCATTTTCCAGCTCAATTACAATTTAACGAATATTAAATTAATATGAAGAGTTCATTGCAGCTAACATTAATATATTTAAAAAATGATTGACGACTACTAATATTGTGAATTTTCTGTATTATGTCATTCCTGATAAATATATCATAAACATATGATGAAATAGAGATTATGCGAGTTGTTATAGCTTACTTTTTTGTAAAACAGTAAAAACAATTCATTTTACATTAATTCTTAAAAAAAAAAAAAAAAAAAAAAAAAAAAAAAAAAAAAAAAAATGTTGTTTCTTCTTTTATCTGTTATTTTATAAAAAGGAATACAATGTATACAATTGATCTTAAACAATATTCGAGTTAAAACTTTTATATAAATATGAAAATATTCTAAAAATAGCATTTCTATCTTACTTATTAATCGTTGGCATTTAATTAATTATCAAACTCGTCATATAATGTATGTAGTGTTCAAATTAAATTTGACAATTTTGATCTAATTACGTTAAATATCTACGGAAACTATACTATCAAGTGCCATAAATTAAATTGTCAAGATTATTAAAACATTGCGTATTGTGTTAAAAAAAAAGTACCAAAAAGCTATCAGGAGTAAGCAAAAATGGTGATATATGCATGCTTGGTTTTTCGAACGAAGCTTTGACATAACTTTCAACTTAATAAAGAATTTGCTAATTTACAATACTGTCAATTTCTTTAGTAAATACTGTCTATATGAGAGTATATATATTTTAAATGTTCAATAATTATTAAGTTTGACCGGTTATGTAAAGCTTGAACTTTATCGTCATTTATAGTCACATATGCTTATACATATTCAATATAAAATTAATAGATATTTTCTATTATACTTTAATACTCAGTCAAATATCCTAATAATAATAAGCATTTTAGCGCAGAGCTACGCATTAAAAATGTTGACATTATACAATTAAAATATTGTCGAAATAAAATTCAAAAAATAAAGCTGCCTTAATTTTTTCAATTTAAATTTGTTAAAGCAATACGAATAGTGAATATAGTAATTGTGCCTTCTTATTTTAATTTGTAAGTAAACTAACGATGAAACCTGTCTTGTGCTACAAAATTAGAACAAAGTTTCATTTTAAAGCCATTCCAATGATCAAGGCTTCACTAATATTCATTAAAATCATATTCAATCGCTCAAAATAACACGTAAAATCAAAATCTAGCGTGCAATTGTTATAGAAAATTAAAACTTATCAATTATTTTAAAACATATTCCCGTTCTTTATAATTTTAATTTTATTTACCTCAAAAACTATACGTTTTTTCATAGTAATTTATAAAAATGCCCTTCAAAGTTAAATTAGTCAACGAGATAGAAGCATTCTATTATATTAATATTAATAATACTGGGGACAAAATTGAAATTAGTATTTATTTACCTTTATACAGCGAACCCTGTGAATATTTTGGGGAGGAGTAGGAACTAATGAGATCTGCCGACAAGATAACAAAACGCCAATCACAATCCTTCCATCCTTTGTCAATCAGTAGTTTCTTTTCTTTTTATTATAACTCACAAATAAATGCAAATGTAAAATTATAATTAAAAAAAGTTGATTAGTTCAATTTTATAAAAGTAACAATTCGATGGTTTTTAAATAGTTAAATTTTGAAATTGGCTTAAATCTATTTCGTTTATTAATATTATTTTTAAAACGTCGTCATGCTTTTACCCCATTTTTAAAAATCTGATTTGTAAAAGTAAATGATAATTACATTTAAAAAAATTTTTTTTTTAATTTTTTTTTTTTTTTTTTAAATAAAAATTTATAATTGTCGTTTAATAGTAATAAAAACTTAATTCTCAAATAAAGTCTAATTGAAACAAGAAATTGCAAATAAATTATACGACAGGATTGGGAAGAGAAGGAGTCGCACAATATATAATTAATTAAAAATATAAAAAAGCACTTTCATGACATTAATTATAAAAAAAGCACAAATGAAAATAAAGCATATTGTGGATATTCATAACGTGTTATTTAAAAACATGATAACAAAAAGCTAACTTTTATGTGTATTGCTCTAATTAATAATTTGAAACACAAGATAGTAAGAATATCCAATCTACTTGAATAGTTCAATCATATGCTAAGATTTTTTAATGTGATAAGAGTATCATTTTTTTTTTTTTTTTTTTTTTTTTATATAATTAATTATCATAAAAGTATCGACTTTACAATGCATGTAAAATGAAAAAGTGCAATGTGCATTCACCGTGACTACGACATATTCAATAAGAAAAATTCACAAGGAAAAGTGATAACCATCATGCAACAAATAAGTTATATACTACGTGTTTATAAAAATAACGATCATCTACGAAACGACAATTTTTAAGTGCTGAAGGTATTCAACTAATGATAAGTGTAAAATATTGACATTACTTGATGCTGCAAGTCTTCTTTCTCCCTTTTCATATCTTCTGAAATCTTATCGGCATGTTTGTATAGTTCCTCGATTAACTGAATGAGATAGCCCGTATCGTTGCTACCATTCGACACGACATATTTGGCACGGTCTTGAAGCTCAGAAAAGTCCTCTTGCAATTCCTTACATCCCGTCTCATCTTGCACGCCATATCCTTCTGATATCACTTCTTTTTTACTTTCAGCAAGTAGTAAACGTTGTTGTAAATCGATTATCTTTACTTTTAGATGTTCGTTCTCTTCCTGGAAGTTGGCAAGTAACTTCTCAACCTCCATCAATTTGTCGACTGGATTATCACTATTGGATAATAAAAAAAAATCAATAAATTAATCCATAGTTTCGTAAAGATTTTTAATCGTCACAAAGCAAATGCATTTGCATTAAGTATTTTACAAAAATTGTGTAATATATTATTAGAAAATTATTAGAACATTTTAATTTAAAAGTACTATTAAATATAAAATTTGAATATCTTCTAATAATTACACAATAAACAATCATAGTAATAAAAAAAAAATAAAATATATATATATATATAATATACCTAGGTCCAGTCGACCAAGACTCAGAATCAGAATATGACACATTTAAAATCTTGGCACTATCAGTTTTAAGCCGCTGTAAGCAAGCATCTAAATCAGACTGCAATAATTTTTTAATATCTTGTTCCCTATTAACCAAATTTTGTAAATTATTGTCGCTGCCAATTATCGAAGCAATCTCGTCAGATTGTGGTGCAAAATGTACTCTCTTAGACTTTGAAATTTGATCCGCATCAAAGGGTAAATTACTATCTGAGCGAATTATAAATTGCTTTTTAAGAACTTCATTTATCAATGTACTGTTTAGCTCCTCCTCGCATTCATTGAAATAAGCAATGAGTTGTGAAACTAAATCCTTCAGAGTTACGCAAGTTTTCTGCAATATATCCCTGATAGAAAATGAATTTTTGCAATTATTCTCCATTGAAAAATTAATATTTTATTTTGTACAAATGTAATAACATCTAATATATATTATACTTTGATAATTACAATCTTGTGACTTTATTATTTATTTATTAATTGATTTTTGGAGTTTAAAATACCTTTCCTGGATTAAATTACTCTGTAAAGATTCATGAGTTTCTGTTTTAAGTCGCTTAATTTCCTCTTGCAAATCATGAATAATTTTATTATTTCCTTCTTTCAAACGTTTAATTTCCTGCCCGTGCCGTTCTTTCAAAGTTTGAAATTTTCTTTCCGCGTTACTTGTGAATTTGTTTCGTAGCTCAAGTAATTCTGTCGGCCAATTTTCATCGGACTCAGATTCAACAGTTATTAAGGCCTAAAACATATATTTACCATTTAATATTAAGCATAATATATTACGGATTTATCAAATGCGCTCGGTCAATAAATAAATTTGTTAAATTAATTGAGTAACATAATTGAATTGATTCAATTAAAGTTAAATTATTATTAATCAATCGTTAAAAATTTTATTTGAAATTGAAGCTTCGAAAGTAGCGCATTACATTATTCAATATTCATTTTATAATAACTATTTGTTTTAGATAAATTTAACATATTTATAAATATTATTAGAATTATATGCATTTTTAAATTAACCTCCATCAATAATAAAATTTTAATTGAATGAAAGCATTTATTTCTTTATTTATGACATTTTAAACAATGAATTAAAGCAAATAGCATGCACGCGACAACTACCTCAATCTGTTCTTGAAGGGCATTGATGATGTCAATACGAGCAAGTCCTACTTGCTCTTTGAGTTGTCGATTGTAATCCGCTCGTAATTCATTCAACTCGTTACTCTCCACTCCAGTTGTACAGCTTTGCTCGGTTTGACAAAACTACATGCAGTTTTAAGTATGAAGACAATTAAGTTAGTCACAAGCACAAGTTAAAAACAATAATTGTTTCTTTATTTAATCCCTTTATTTTATAATGAAATTACTTTTACGTTAATTCATCTTTTATATCTTTTATAATGAATTAAATTACTAAAACGAAAATCCTGCATATGATAATGGAACAGAAACGTATGGTAAAGAAAATATTATATTTATAAATTTTGAATTTTTAATTTCGAATTGAAAATATTTACGAGGCATTTTAATTAATTTTATTAATTTTTTTATTTTTTATTTACTACCACATAAATAAAGATCAAATATCTTCCTTATTCTAAATACCATTTAACTTTATTATTAAATATTTTTATCAAGATAGTCTACTATTTCGAAGCTACTAACAAAAAAGTTTCACAACTTTTATAATAATTTATTGAAAAAATTTCTAGAAAATAACATTGAAAATACAAATGCTTAATTGCTTTAAAATTAACTTCTAATATTGCTTCGTTTTTATTTTAGACAAATAAAATTAGATTTTTAAGAATAATTATATGTTTATACAAAATCTATTATGCACTTTCAATGCTCTGATGTTTCTTACTCTGAAACTATGTAAATATGATAATTATATATATATATATAAAAAAAAAAAAAAATAAAAAAAAAAAATATGTTATAATAATTAAAAATAACTCTTCGATACGATTAAATAAATCCGTTCTTTTGTAAGCCATATCCAGCACCATAAAACATCGAAAATGAACAAAAGAAACGAACCATATAAAATAAAGAGTACATTGATATACCTGATTTACAGCTTTTACTAAAATGGTACGTCCGGGTTTATCCTTGACCTCCTGTAATTGTTTCCGAAGGTTTTCCAATTTTTCTTCATAATCGCTTATAATCCGTTCGTTGAAACTATTTTTCTGTTCTTCACTGTTGAAGGCTGTTGAAAGCACTGTTGACAAATGATCAGCTTTCATTTCCTTCTCTAATACACCTAAAAGGCGTATTCAGTGCAAATGATTAAATAATTACTAATAAACGCAAATTTAGATTTCCACTTTTGTTTTTGATTTGATTTATTTTTAAATGGATATAAATGAAGATACTATTTTGATTTTATTTTTCTATATAAGTTATATAAGAAATTTGTTTATATTTTGGGTGTATACATTTGCACTGATAAATATTACATTTATTGCTTGAAAATTGAAATAAAAATATATAGTTTTTAAAGTTAATATGTTAATTTATCAAAAAATGATAGTACTATATATAAATTAGTTTCATTTTAACGAATAGTGAAAAGTTTTCTTTATATTAGTTGATTATAAGCACAGCACGCGCTTTCACATACACATAATTTTATAATAATACAACAATTTACTTTTTCATACCTAGGGCATCGCCACCACCTCCTAAACAATTGACAGTGCTGCCTCCAACATATAAATCTTCCGTCAAATCTTCAATTTCACTATCGTTATCCGACATCTTTCTTGATTGCAAACTGAAAACCTCTTCAGAGTACTGTTTCTCCATATGCAAACATTTTTGTTCAAAGTACTTTCGCAACTCTTCCACCTCTTGAGTATGCTTTATCTCCATGTCCGCTATCGACTGCTTCAATCTAATTTCTCTCTCCTCAAAACTTAAAAGTAATTGTTCAAATCTTTGAGATTCAGTGGAAGCTTCCATTTTTAATAACTTGATTTCTTCACGATAATCTTCTTCTTTTTGTTGTGCTTTTTCTAATTAGACATATAAACAAAACAAAAAAACTTTTTATTTCTATATATATATCATATATATATATATATATTTCTATATATATAAAAATATATCAATGTGACTATTACCGTACACATTTTAATAGTATTTCATAATCAAAGTAAAAGAAGTTTTAATAATCGTACGCATAAATAATTTTATATTATAATGAAATATAATATTTGAATCGGATATAATTTGTTATAAGCAAATAGAATATAAATAAAATAAATAATGATGCCATTCTATCTAATTAAATAAAAAATTAATTTCAAATACTTGATTATAAGAATTACATTAAATGTACCTTTTATATACTTTTATATATATTATTCTTTTTATATAATTACACTGTGTATTTATTACTCTACACATTCTTTGAATGCCAATTTCTCACATACATTAGCTTTATTAATTATAATTTTTAATAAATTACTTCATTATTATTTGTTTTATAATAAAAGATATCGAGAATTATTAGCTTATTTTATTACTACGTACGTGGAAATTTTTAAAAATATTTATGTTTATTTAAAATTACATTGCATAATGTAATGTAATAAAAATATTTAAAAGATTTTAAATGATTTTAAAATGAAATTAAAGTTATAATCTTAATAATTTGAGTTTTTTTAATGCAGTATTACATATTCGTAATAATAAAAATCCTAGTAAAAAGACAATAATAATAGTATATGCTAAATTCTAAAAATAGTACTGTTTTTTTTTTTTTTTTATTACTTTTAACATCATATTTTAAATCTTGTTTTGAATAAAACAAGTCTATTTCTGCAACTTTAAAAATAAACTATAAATAATCTACATTGTAATAAATGAAGGCATTAAAAATAAATATATTTTTAGATAAAATAATTTACGTAAGAGTTCCTTCTGGTCATTTGTTTTTGTTTCAATCTCGTGTAGTAACTCACTCCTCTCTTTTTCATAATTCTCAAATTGTTGCCGACATGAATCTAGTTTCTGTAGCACTTTGTTGTAATTGGTTTGCTTATGCAAAAGTTCTTCAAGATTCAAAGTAGACGAGTCCGGAGATCCAGTTTGGTCTATTAACATTGTTGAATCACCTAATTTTGTTTCTCCAAAACCTAATGTTTCATCTAATTTTTCTTCAATAACAGCACATTCGGCATAAGCACTTGCTAAACCAGCTTTTAACTTATTACTTTCTTCTACCAGTTTCTGATTAATCTCACTAAATTTATCTAACTTTTTAATATAATTTGCAACTGTCTCATCGCGAGCTTCAATTATTTTTTTAAGTGCGTTAATCTCCTGTTCAAACGCACAGCTTGGCATCTGTGCAACGTCGAGACTATCGGCGGAAAATCGTTGCTGCTGTTGGTCTACTTCCACGTTGGAACCAGTCTTATTCTTCAACTGATCACACGTATTTTTTAAATCCTTAATTTGTTTTTCGTAGCCTTCCTTAGCTTCTTCCATTTTAGCGACTAGCTTGTCATAGTTGTCAATTTTGTCTATTAATTCTTTTTCTAAGTTAGCTTTCTCATCTAAAGAATTAAAGATCGTTAATTTTTATTTGTTATAAAATTTGAAATTTTAAATACAATCAAACAACTACAATAAATATTGTATTAAAAATAAACTACGAAATTAAATAAGAAAAAAAAAAAAAATTGATTAAATGTTTAATGTCAGATTTTTCTAAATTTAAATTCATTTCAAGTAATGAAAAATATAAATAAATGTAAGGAATATAATCTAAAGAAATATAAAATTAACAACATTATGTAGTGAAAAATAAAATCATTATTTTTCAAATTTTTTTTTCACATGATTAAAATAATAGTTTTAATTTCATTTATAAATTATCTATATTTATTTAATATTGACGTTAATAAGCTGATTTTCTTAAATCACTTTGTAATATACCCAAATGCAATTCCATATTACAATATTTACAAATCAAATGTTTAACCTATATATAGAATTTGTTTAAATATTGTTTTTTATATTATAAAAACAATCATTTTTCTTACCTAATATCTGTTTTGCCATTTGATTCTGAAAAGCCATCTCGTCAATACTTTGATATGCTGTTTCATCCATTTCTGTAAGACTAACTCTGCTAAGTGCGGATGAAGACTTTCTCATAGAGAATATTTTATTACTTAAATTCCTCTCTTGTATTTGACCACTTTTTATTAAATTTTGTGCATCTAAATATCTAGACATTAGATCATCTAACTTAAACTGAAAATAAAATTTTATATTTTATATTTTATTAAATATATTTATTTAACTTATATAAAGAAATAAAATATTTGTTAATCTACTTTTATACATCACACACACACACACACACACACACACACACACACACACACACACACACATATGCAAAACTACAAACATTATTCTAAATAGAAATATGAAAATGTAAATAAGTAAAAATATTACGTTCTAATCCTACCTTAAGGGACTCTTTCTCTGCCTTCAATATATTAGCATCATTTAACGCTTGATCTAAAGAGAACTCGATACTTTCCTTTGAATCAAGAACAGAAGCAGTTGCTACATATTTTGTTGTCATATCCTCAAGCTGGAGCTTATGTAATTTAATTTGTTCGTTAAGCAACTCCTTTTCTACGGTGTGTGACTCTTTAATATTAATTAAATCGAATTTAAGAGATTCGATATTATGTTGGTACTCAATTATTTGCGACTGAAAATCAGATAATTTCTTGCTATAACAATGTTCATTCTCCTCGTTTTTGTCTCTCAGCTTTTGCAGTTCCACCTCGTGTTTTGCCATTAATTCCTATATATAAAAATATTATTTAAATTGATAGAACTATGTTTTGGTTAATTTCCTAAAATATTTACTTGAAATAACCATATTTTAACTATTTCTTAATGATTCAAATAATTATTTTAATAACAAAATGTTTTACTATCTGGTTAAACTATTATTGTATAAAAATTCCTGCTTATCATTCATAATAAAATATTATTAATGTTAACAAAAAATATTGTTAAAATATTATAAAATGAAAATGTATGGAAATTATATATGATTTCTTTATAAAAATCATAAATATTTAATGTTTCGTTATTAATAATTCTTAATAATTTCTTTATCTGAATTTCTATAATTTGACATTTGATTCTTCGATTCTTATTTCAGCCCTTCAAATATTATAACTTAAAACACTTCGTTATTTTTTTTCGACAATAAAAAAAATATATACATATAGCTTAAGAATCATAAATATAAAATATAAATATGTATATATTTATTAAATATTTATAAAGTTAAAATAATAAAACACAGTTAAAAAGAAATATGTTCTTTACAGTAAAATCGAATATTAACTTGCTTTAAGTAGTTCTGATTAATATTACAAAATTATATGCATAACAAATTATTAATCTTTTAATAAATGATACATATTTGTAATATTATATTAAACGAAATATATTACATATGAATTATCTTTACTATCAATTGTAAATAGAATTTACATCGAATTAAGCAATTTTAATAAAATAATATTATTGTTGTTTAATTATAAAGAAAATTGAAATTATACTAACTTGAATCTCATTTTCATGCTTTAGATTATTTGTATTCGTTTCAGTTACAAACTTTTCAATAATTAATTTTGTTTCCTTTTTTATTTTTTCAACTTGTTCCTCACATTGTTTTTGTAATTGGTTAGTTCCAAAGTTGTTAGTATTTTCCATTGAATTTGTGTTCATCTCTTTTTCACTGTACGAAGTATTTGTAATTGCAGAATCCTAAATAGATACAATTGATTTAATACAGTAGTTATGGACTTTTAAGGCAATTTTGAAGCAAAGTTTAAAATAAATATATATGTAAATCTAAAGCATATTGTAGTTTTTAATTGCAGAACAGAATAACCGTTACCTTTCCATCATAAGCATTTTCTCCATTAGAAATTCCTAGTTGAGTCGAATTTAAAATACTAATCTGAGAAAGTAAACCATCTCTAGAAGCTATTGCTTGTTTTAATGATGTCGTCAAGTCTTCAATTAAATTATCTCGCTGATTTATTGCTCGCTCAAACTCTTGAAACTTTCCAGTGAAATTGAATGATATTGAATTTATTTACACATAGTTTTAGATATTAGTTTAGTTTTGTTTTGTTTTGTTTTGTTTGTTTTTTTTTCTTTTTTTAAATATTACTACTTTCAGATAGATGTCTCAATTATAAATATAATTTATGCTTACATTGAAGTATTAAAATTTAATAAAATCAAATTTTAATTTATTTACAGCTCAATTGAATACAAATATTGAAAGAATTTTTAAAATACAGTAAAACCTAACTCGTTTCTCTTTGATAACATTTTTCACAACAAGATATATTAATTTTAGTGGATGTTTGAAATTATGAAATTTGTGTCTTGAAATATTAATAATGTAAAAAATTTTAAATCTAACCTTGTTGCGATAGGTTTCAATGATGTTCTTGTTAGGGATATTACTGTTTTGACTGTGAGACGATGTCGGAGAAGATACATCGGTTTCTAAGTGATCGAACTCTGCGTGAAGTTCTTCAAAAACAGCTTCTTTTCCCTGAAGTATTTCATTTAATTCAGTAACCCTTCCAGTTAATCCTTCCAAGTCACCATCACCTTCTCCTTCGCTCATGCTAATACTGCTGTAGGTTATGTCTCTTGATAATGCACTTTCATTAATCTGAATAGATTAAAAATTATATTTTAATAAATCACTAATTTAATCGCTATTTTTTAATTATCAAGATGATTATAGTTTAAATTTAGCGGTATTTAAAAAAATCTAATTTAAGTGTTTATCAAACTTTGTACTTACATAAGTTAGTTTTAAAATAATTGTAAAACTAATAACAATATAATAAAACTTACATCAATACTTCTTAAATCGATAGATCGATTTTCAGTTTCATTACTATTTGACTCTTCATCCGAAGCTTGTTCTACACTTTTGCTTAATTTTTTATTAGCACGTTTTAATTTATAAATTTCCAACTGTTAATAAAAAAAGTAAAAACAATAAATTCTTTTTATAATATATAATTATTAATTATAATATTTACAATATAAACATTGTGAAACAAGATTTATGTTATTCTAAGTTGAAATAAATATTTAAAAAACGTTTACATCGATTACCATTATTATCGTAATAATTTATCAATGAAATATAAGGGTAATGTTTATTGAATACAATTTATCAAAAACTTAATATAAAAAGATTCATAAGCATTATATACAACTTATGATCGAATTCATTTATTATATATACTCTTATTATATTTTATATTTTATGATAATAGTTAAAATATCACTAATATTAATCAATAAAATTATCATAAATTTATAAGATAGCAACGAGACATTTAAATTAGTAATTAATATTTATTATGAAGATAAATAAAAAGAACGAACAGCATACTACTGTATTTCTTAAAATTGACAATCACATAACATACGATTATTGTTCAATCAAAATACATAATTAATAAAATAAATAAAAGCTTAACAATTATTGCCCAAATGGAAAATAATTAATAAATTATTTAATTTTAATAAATACGAAATCTAATTTAAAAAGGTTGTTTAAAAATGAGGAAAATGCCCTTGCAAAGTATGTAATGCGGATAGAGACTACTTTCTCTAAAATGCATACAACTGCTTCTCGGAGTAAAATCAAAGATAAAAATAGTCCGAGTGCTATTACATTTTAAGAGCCCTTAAATTCAGTATCTATCTTTATCATTCTTACCATTTCCCTGCCAGTCTCCAAAGCCTGCCTTCTACGCTTTTCGTCATCCATTCTCAAATTTCTCGATGCCTTGATGAATAATCTCACGATTTTTGTTTCATCTTCGCAGCTTCATTTAATAACAATGCACCATTTTATCTCTATTACAAATGACAATCGTACAATTGTGTTGCTACATCTTCACTTCCTTCAACTTTAATAAAAGAAAAAGACGGAGATATTATGCTCTAACAGTTCAACACTCTAACCGCCCAATTCGATTTCGACTCTCTGTCTCTATCTCTTACACGCGTTCTACCCCACTTTGGTTTGGCAGTTAAGGCAACATATTTATTTTATACAACTGTAATCGCAAAGTAAACGAAAAAATTTATGCATTCTTACAGGGTAGTACAAATCATTGCCTTTAAATAATATTTAATAATTTTATTGTTCCTTTGTCGTTAGATTATTGTCAATAAAGTATCGATAAGTCTACATTAAACCAACTCCAGATTTTAAACTGCGGGCGATATCAAGATGGTGGGGACTTGAAAGTTCAATATAAATATATTAAGCGTTCGTAATTAATGAAATGATTCCCCAAATACCAAGGTCACGGCGTGTAACTTTTTAACGGTTATACCTTTATACAAATAAATAAACATTCTTATAAGCATTATAAAAATGTAAGTAATTGTATAGCGTATTAATGTGTCAAGCGAAATTTAATATAAAGTATTATTGAATGTTGTATTGAATAATAGGAGACCATTTTAGAATAGAAAATGCAATTTTACATCGAATAGACACGTCTAATAATATCAAATGTTATACATGAATAAAATTAACATTTTTATGTATTGTTTATATATTTCTTATTATATATATATATATATATATATATATATATATATGTATATAAGCCTATTAATGCTTGTGTATGTTGTATTGTATGCATCGAGAAATATTAACAATGTCAAATGTGACATTTCATTTAGAACAAATCAAACATATGATGCAATTTAATTTAAATAAACAAGCGCATATAAGTATAATAAAACGAATTATGAATTAGAATGCCATTTATATATAAGCTTTTTCGCAGCTTTCTCCAAATGATGAAACGACGCCAATCATTAAATTTTAGTCAAATAAACTTATGATAATAATAGCTTCTCAACAAGCGATAATATTATATTTTTTATTAATTTTCATAATAATATGATACTTAAACAACACTATAATTTATGATTTTGAGAATAATTTAGGAGTCGTGTAGCAAGATACGCATTCTTTAACTGTAGAGAACTTTTAATTTCCATTTGTAATTTTGTTTGTTCTTTTGGTTTTGTTACATATATTTAATAATCTATAGTTTTCCAATAAATGTAACGTACAAAGGGACGACGCGTAAGAGTATTAAGAATTAATAGAAACTTATACAACTCTTCGTGGATCGCTCATAATTGCTGCAAATGTATAATAATCTAAGAATCGGTTCAATTGGTTCAGCGTGAAAATTAGAGGCGCATGCGCAAAAAATCATTCATCCCTCTAGCGGCGCTCTCACGAGTTCGTTGATTCAATCGAACTTGGTGATTATGATAGTTCGTTACGACTTTCAAATAAAAACAACAGGAAAAAGCAGTTTGCAACGGGCGCGCGTATGATATACGTCGGAGAGGCTCGCTTGAGGCAAAATCAACACGTTTTAACGTGTTTTTTGTCCGTCCGGTCATTAACCGTGACAACAAACAGACCAGCAAACAATTATCAAACACATATAATAATAGAACATAAAAACGTGAGATAATGGATTTTCGGGAGCGATACAAGAGGATCGGCTTCGGCCGCGAAGATATTGAGATTAACCGGGCGCTTAGAAGTCAACGTCGCGATGAGGCTCGTCGCGAAATGCGCAACGAATGTTTCAATATAAAACGGGGCATGAATTGTAATTGGGACGATAGTTTGGAGCGAAAAAAAGAGAATATGAACAAAACGAAACCGATGAATCCTGAAGAAGAGGCGAAGAAAAAAGCTGCTGCAGGTTTGTTCTATATCATCCAAACGGAGCTAGTTTACCCTTACGTTGTATTTCATTACCGCCACTTTTTCAATTGAAAATGAATGAAAACTACCTAAGCAGGCTTATCAATTTTCCCAAATAACAAATCCCAACTAGCATCACCCTTATGCATAATAAATATTATATTATCTTTATAAATGGATAATCATTTAAACTATATATAAATAGATATAACTATAAGTCAGAGTAATTATGTTTAAAAAAGAATGTCGATAAATTCATTGAATCATGAAGAGGTATAGTTTATTTTGAAATATAAATTTCTTATATAAAGTAACTCTTTTATTTATAAAAGAAATTCTGTATATATTTTAAATTTTCAAATGTATTTACACAAATTATAAAATTGACTGGTTTAACATGTTTCTCTGATAACTACACATACTTTCAAAAATATATCTTCAGACTTTTTGACTTTTTGTATCTTAAGATAAAATTGTTTTAATCAACGATTAAAGCTACTCTTTACATTTATTTTCTATTTTGTTATGAATTACATTAGTCTCAAATTTATATTTTAAATTAAAGTTATTCTTAAATTTATTATTAAAATATACTAACAAATCCATATACTGTTCAATTATTATAAATCATTTTATAATTAAAATGTCGTTTTAAAATGGTGCAAACGCTTTTTGTCAATATAAAATAATATAGTATATTTAACAAATATTATTTAACAGTTCATTAGTTAATTTTGATAAAATGTATTACAGATTTGGAAGCCGCAGTTCAGAAACGTTTCCAGCAGTTAATGAAATGGCGCGAAGAAAGGAATCGACGAAGGATTCAAGAAAAAAAACGAGCTAAACCTGTATTTAAAGTTGGAGTTGTTCATCATCGTATGTACTCTCCACCATTGACCAAAAATTCAACAGCTACACCAATAACAAAACTTTGTAGAAATAAAGAAAATCAACCAGAAGTACTGCCAAAAAGGGTGACTAGAGCAACTGAAAAACGTTTAGCTATAAAATCTGTAACAAATCATCAAAAACGTGAAAATTTGAAAACTAAAAAAACGACTGTCAAGGTATATTATAATAAATATATTTAATGTTAAATAAATTATTAAAATTACTAAGATTTTATCAATACAAATGCGTGCAAGTGTTTATCATTATAACATTAATAATTTTATTAATGTGTGGAAATTTTCAGATGTAAAATTGTAAATATTTTAAATATTCTAATTATTTAATTATTTACGATTTAATAATCAAAAATAAGAGCGTATTAATAAATTACTTAAAAAAAAAAATTAATTACATTATTGAGATAATTTAAAAGAATGTATAATAATAATATAATTTAATTTATTTTAAAAATTAATATTTCCCTCTTTCATTATGTTACTGATATTAACTGCGTTCACTTTTTTCATAACCACAAGATTACAGAGGAGATACCTGTTATACCAAAGGACCACCAATTTAAAGCTCCCATTGGAATCATACCACTTCCAATGTTTGGTCGTCATGCTTTGGAAAGTACCAATGAAAATATGGAATTAGATTTAAATTTGAATACATCGTTCAGTAACAGCGAGGCTTGCCAAAACTCATCTTATAATTCAAACCACATATTTTCATCTACCACTCACTCATCGATCTTACCTACATTGACGGATACATGCTTAAATCAAAATTATAATACCGATCCCTGTGAAAAGTCAAATCAAAGTTTGAACGATTCGATGAATAATTCATCCGTGGAAGCAATATCTCTAAAAATTTCATTCGACGATCAGGAAATTCTAAAAAATGAGCAAAATACTAATACTGATTGTAAAATAGATACTAGTTTAAAAAAAAATACAAGGTCAACGACGAATAAAAAGAATTCCTTAAACAATATGGATTCAACTATAGAGCGGATGACACATTCTATGGAGAGTAAAGAAATTGTGAAGGATCAAAATAATGTTACCTCCAACCTATCAAAAAAGAGTGAAATGGTAAGTAAAAGATCTACAAGACTTACAAATAGAGCTGCTGGTTCTACAAGCCAAACAGATGATGTTCATTCTATTGTGGAAAATCGAAAAGGAACAAATACTCAGAAAAATATCCATTCAACTTGTAAAAGCCCCAAATTGAATTCTAGCTTTTCGAAACAAAAGAAGACGAAATTATTAACAAATAGAAAGAAATCTAATAAAATATCTACCGATGAAACTGTTAGCATTAATAATGCAGAGATGGAAAGCAGTTTTCCTTTAGAGAATCAGAAATTGAATAATAATTCAGATTCGACTAAAAATGCTAGCCCAATAGATTCCGCTAACTTAAACAAAAAGAAAAGTAAATTATCAAAAATATCCAATAGAAAGTCTCTTATCGAAGATAAAAGCATTAATGATTCTGTAAAGCAATCAGATTTTATTTTGGACTATCAAGAAACGTCAGAAGAGCAATTGAATGCTGATTCTAAAGGGTTAAACCTTATGGATTCAAGTATCACTGATCAACAAAAAATGAAATCACATGGTAGAAAAAAAGTAACGAAAGTAGCCAATGAAGCTCAAAAGTACATTAACGAATTGCAAGATGAATCCTTGATAAAGTTTTCTCCGCGTCGTTCGCTAAGACAACAAACTGAAAAGGCTTCAAAATCAGCAAGTTCCATGGTAGTAGAAACGAGTCCAAAATTACTGCCTAACGATCAAACGAATTTTTCATGGTTGGCAGAGTCATTGAATGTATCAACTATTTCTGAACCAGTGAAACGAAAAACATTGGATAAGAAAGACGACAGTTTGCAAAATTTTAGTTTAAATTTATCGATTACTAAAGAATCACTTTTGGATAAACCACCTGCGTACTTTTCACCTTACATAGTAACGAGTCGAGGTAAAAGTAGTGTTCGTAAGGAAATTCAGCGCCACTGTTTGAATCAATCTTCACCCACGGAAATTCCAACGAAGGACACGGTCATGCAGAGTCTCAACATATCTGTAGAAGAAGAGGAGCGGACAGCTCAAGTAAGAATATTTTAATCATTTTCAACGCCAAAAACATTTATTAAAATTATTATTTCAAATTCATATATGGTCCAATAATGTTATCTCCATATGAAATTTCATTATTTGAGTTTTTTTTTTTTTTTTTTAATTTTTAAATAAGAAATTCGTGTTTCAAGTAAGCCTAAATATAGAATTCAAATTACAATTTTACGATACGAAACATAAAATAATAAAATTTCAACCCAAGCTTCATTTATTAGAACAACGACAAAAATGTGCGCCTGGTTATTATTCCGAATGAAAATTTATTTGCAAAATTAAGATCGATCTTCAATTTGCGGCAATACATAATGTGCAGAATTATACAATACCAATTCAAGGAACTAGCTTTTTAATAACTAATTAATTAAAAAAAGTATAGTTTTCATGAAAAATATTTATTATTTAATCTAATCAAAAAGCTCATTAAGATTTATCTTTTATATTAAGCCCTTAATTTTATTAATACATCATAATTTTAAACAAGATAATTCCCTATTAAAAATCGATGTATATATCAACATAAACATAAACAATAATTTATCATTTATTATGAAAAGATGCTTATTGATTTTTTGTCATTTATATACATACGAAAGGGAATGAAATTTTGCAATACTTTTTAATGGATGTATATATGCGTATGTTTGTGCATGTGCTATTATAATAATATGTAGTTTACAATCTATAATAATAAGAATATTTACAATTTTTGTTACAGTACTACAAGTACATTCTTAATCAAGAAATTGATCGACTAAATGAGCGCTGCGACTTTTGGAATGTAGTAAAAGAAGATGATACTACCCCTGAAGAGATCCGCGATGTGATACAAGCAGCAGTTGGCCAAACGAAACTGCTTATTAACAAAAAGTTTGAGCGCTTTCGTAGTCTGGTACTTGATTGCGAAACCGGCAAAGGTGAAATGCTTGTAACGTGTAAAGATCTTCAAGGATTTTGGGACATGATGTATATGGAAATCAAAGACTGCGACAATCGATTCAACAAACTTGAGGAGCTAAAGCGCATGAATTGGATAGACAAGGAGTCGCAGAAGGTCAAGGACACACAACAATTACATAAAAAGAAATCTGTAGCGGCAAAGAGGATAGTTAATAAAAAAAAAACTTTATCTACAAAGCCAAGTTCACTCAGGGCTCATATTATGGCTGCAAGAAAGAAACAGATTGGGGGTGGAGATATCGATGTTGATGTCGAGATGCACAAGTAAGCTAATAATTTCGAAAAACATTTTTTTAATTTATATTAACGTCAATTTTAATAATCTAGTGTATGTAGGTATGAATGATAAAAAAAGAAAGAAAAAAAAAAGAAACGTTCATTTCTAAACTCATAAAGAAATTAAATATCATTTTTATTTATTTGATTATAAATATGATAACAATGGTGTAAACAAATAATAAACGATATATTTTAACAAAATATTGATTATTTAATCTAATTAAAAAGTAGATGGAAGTAGATAAAATAAAATAAAAGAATATATAAATAACAGGGTATTGGGAATCTGTTTAAGAAAAATATATTTACGATATTTCACAATTTATAATTATGATCGTTGGTATTTTTTATTAATAAATTATTTTCTAAAATTGAATTTATTGAAATAATAACAAATAACTTCTATATATTATACTTCAAAATTATTTATATACAAGTAACATAACTGTGAATTTTTTACTTTAAATTTTATAGAGATAAAAATCTTAACTTTCACGGAGAAAAACACTCTAGAAATTCAAGCGTCAAAAGTGCAAAAAAAATCGCTCGTCGAACTTCTACGCCAAAATCTTCAAATAAGTTACAGCCTCTAATAAAGAAATTGTCACAAAGCCAAAAAGCTACTACAAGTCCATTGATTGTAATGAAACTTAGTCAAATGTGTAAAACGCCGGAGATTCAGCTAGATGACTCGATCGTCTACGTCAATTCAGGTCGTACTCCAGCCAAAAGTATTCTCAAATCATCCAAGGATGATTTAATAGGCTTTACTGGAAAATCTTCAAATAAAGTCTTGTTTAAAGAGCAGCCTATGGAGTTTTACCAGTTAGAAAATAATAAAAGCAGTAATGGCGGTGAAAATTTTACATTAATTGGCTATTTATAATATACTATTGACATTATTGAAAAGAAAAATTTCATTGTCAAAATATTTTGGAAACATTATAAATTTTATTTTAAAATAAATTAAACTCAATTACTTTTTTCTTTTAAAAAATATATTTTTAAAGAATATTATTTTAACATTGATAAATTTTTTCATATTTAATAATAATTGAGATATAATCGAAGGAATAAAATCTTTATTATTTACAATAAAAATATTCAGAAATCCAAATTATTTTAACGTATTTGTTAATTTTATTATATTAATATTTTTATTTTATTTTATTTTATTTTTTTTTTTTTTCATAAATTATAATTTATAATTGTAGATCAAATTAATAAATGCGTAGAGCCAATTGAACGGAAATTGAATTTTGAAAGCGACAGCTTTAACACCTCTCATACAGAAGATGAAGAAGAAAGTAATAATTTAATAAATTTTTCACATCAAAGTGAAAAAAATATTGTAAAAAATACTCCTCGTAAACGTAGAAATCCTAAAATCATAATTCGTGAAGAAAGTAATCCCTTGTCTCCAATGGATACAACAGCTGAGAATTCATCTACCAAATATTTAAGTATTCCGAAATCTGCAATAAGGGATGAAAGTATTATGCTCTCTGTGTCGCCTTTGACTTTAATGGACAGCAAAGTCGAAGATTCTAGTAAAAAAGCGACGAAAACGAAAAAACAGATTTCGTTCAAAGAAGATTTAAATGAAAGTTATTCGCGAAATCTTAGAAGTAGAAACTTTACAGTGCCATTAACACCGAGATTAAATTTAAAAAGCTCTATGGTATGCTAATTTATGCATTATAATTATTATTGTTATTATTAGATTATATGCTGTAATCGAACTCTCGTAAATGCAGATTTGATTTAAAACTTTTTTAAAAAATTCTGAGTTATGAATGATTAATTTTTAATTTATTTCAATTGTTATTTTAATAACATAGGGAATGTTTAAAAAAATTTAAGATCAATAAATATTATAAGATAATTATTTATAATATACGATAATTTATAAGTATGTATTATGTAGAAAAAGGTTGATGAAGATTTAAGTATGGAAGTGAATGACAGTATACAGGAATATACAGACAACTCACCTTGCTCTACTGAACGAAACAATCAGTTAAAGGTAATCATATTTTTTTTATGCTATATTATAAAAAATTGGTAATAAAATGCTTCACTAATTTTATTTAAGATTAAATAATTATTTTATGTATAAAATTATTACTGTATTTTTAAACATCATTTTTATTTCCAAAATTAGGAATTATATTTGAATGCAGATGGAATCATATGTCAAAGAAGTATTGTAAAAAAAAAAAATATCTTAAACACACCAAAACTAAAGCGAAGCAATTCTGATGTAAGATACTATTATTATTAATACTACATTGTACATATGATAACATTTATTAGTTTATACTGCATAATTGAGATTTTCTTCCTTTTTGTACAGGCTTCATTTAAAAGTACATACTACTATATAAAAAAAAAAAAATTAAATACACCAAAACTTAATCAAAGAAATAAACATATATACTTACCTTATTTAACTTATTTGATCCTTGCTTTTAATATTAAAATGTTATGATTAATTTATTTTAAGTATGTTTAATTAAGTATAAATAATTTTTTTATGTAAGATTTTATCATATTAATATTCTGAATGTTTTTGTGTTTAGATACAAGAAATAGTTTCTCCAGTGATTGAAATTGCTAATGAAAATAAAAAGTCATCAACAACTCCTAGAGTTAGGAGAAATACAAAAGTAATTTAATTTATCTAATATTTATTAATCTACGGACGCATTAATAAAATTGTTACATTTTTCTGTAGAAATCGCTTATCGGTACAGAGTTAAGGGAAGATAACGCAAACATATCTGTCGAAGAAATCGCTAAAATAACGTTGAATAGGACAACAAAAGTTCTCAATTCAACAAATAATATAAACAAAATTGATAATATTGAATATGAGAAAAATAATATTAAAAAAACCAGCTCGACACCAATAAATAGAAAATTAAGCTTAAAGAACATTTCAAAACAGATTGTAACTCCAAATTCAAAAAGAAGAAATTCAAAGGTATATTATTTATATTGATAAGTCGTTTTTTTTTTTTTTTTTTTTTTTTTTTTTTTTTTAATATAAAGAATACAGAAAATTGTAGCTTAACCAAATTTTAATGAAAATAAGTTAGCAAGTATACCAAGTTTAAAAAAATACTCCTCCAAAGTATATTTAACGAATTTAATTAAGTGTTATAAAATTAAAATAAACGAACTATACTGATATAATTTTTTTAGAGATTTACAGAGAATTTGGAAGGAGACATACAGCAGACTGATTTAAATAATACAATAGGTGAAACATTAACACCGAATAGACGAAAAAGTTTACGGGTAATTAATTAATGTAATTATATTTATTTAAAATATTAAATATTACCGATTATAAAAATTAATGCTAATAGGATTTTTAATATATATACATTTTATATAATGACTTGTGGATACGAATCAAATTAATTTTTATTTTTTTAATTTGATATTCACGTACTATAAATGCTTTATGTTACAGATAGCACGAGTAAACACAAAGAAAGAAGATTAAAATTAGTAATAGGAATACATTTATTACTTATTACTGATTTGTGTATTAAAGATAAAAATGTATGTAAGAGCATGAGATTAACAATAAATCTTGATTTAATTTTATACCTACTTAAAAAAAAAAACAAAAAAAAAACAAAAAGGAAATCATATAACAGATTTTACTTATATTTGCTTTGAAATCTATTGATAGACTATTATATTACACCAGCTGAATCTGTTTGTTGTATATTTAATTATTAATCTATAATTCTATTGAATATCTTAAAAAAAAATGTTGATCTCATGATCTTTGATAATAATTTTATACATAATTATTATAAGATTACTTTTATAATCTGAATCTGTTGTATAAAAATAATATAATTAAAATATTTTATTATATGATAAAGTTAAACTGTTTGCAAAAAAAAAAAAAAAAAACTTATTTTCATGTATTTATAGAAAATAAATTTACAAGTTTCATTATTTGTACATTTTTTATCAACTATTGCCTAACCAATAAAGACGTACACTATTATCACGATATTTGTTTTCTTCATTATCGTAAATTCTACTACCAGTACAAACTGATAGTATAGGTAAATTTTTATGTAAATCCACTCCATTAATACAATCAGTTGATATTTGAATATTACAATGTGGGTTTAACTCTTCATCAATTTGAAGATTATCGGGAATTTGCCATATCCTTACTGCACCGTCAGTTCCCCCTAAAACGTGCATAATAAATTATACGATTGATTAATATTTTTGGAAGGAAAAAAATATTTGTTGAAAATTAATAATCACCTGAAATAATTTCTTTTCCACTATAAGAAAGTGAAAAATGTATTCGTTGGTTGGTATCGGATTGACGATTTTGCAAGGAATATAAAACAGTGCCAGGATTTCGAAGATCCCAACATAAAAATTCACTACCTCGGCGAACAGACGAGTAAAGTTTTGTACCGCAAGGACTGAATTCAATTTGCGTGACCCCACTACTTGTTTGAAAAGAGCAAAGTGGTCCATCTTTGTATAAACCTAATATATATATATATATATATATATAAATAAACATAAATTAAATAATATATTTGTTATATTATAATAATTAATATTAAATATTAATTTATATTACCAATATATTTAGAGTATGTCCCAAAAGCAATTAGCCCTGTCATTCCAGGATTTTCACGAATGCATGAAACTAATCCTGTAATATTAGGAAAATCTTTTTTTAAGTAAATAGAATCTATTTGACGTCCAGGATGATTAGTATCGAATGTTCTTAAGACATTTTTAAATCCACTCCAAATGTGTTTACCAAAATTAGTAAATCGAACGCTTATAGCAGCTTCTACTTCATCTACTCTAAAAGAATAAAAAATGACATAATCTTTCATGCAATATAATTTCTTTTTAATCACAATCTAACGATTATAAAGGATATATTTCGTTTTAATTTATTTCATTTTCATATAATAAACATTGTTGGTATGCTAACTGATTGTATGCACGGTAAGTCGCTCGAAGTTGCCCTGTAAAAGCATCCCAAAGATGTATAGGGCTGCCTTGACTTGTACTTAAGAAACAACATGTGGAGGGATCCCAAGAGCTCATGTATGGAAACCAGCAACTATCGTATATCAGTCCACCTTCTTTAACTTTTAACGATGATTCAAAAGAAGATACGTGAAAATTTTTTGGCAGATTTCCAGAATACAGTTCACGAGGTAATTCAAATACATGAAGTTTAAAATTTTCAGCTGGTACCAAAATACAAGTACCATCTGGTGACCAATAACAACCCTTTGTAAAATTTTCATTCGTGTCTGTCGGTTTGAAGTCATTTACTGCTGAGCATATCAAAGTAGGTGTTTCCCAATTATATAATACTTGCAAATACTCTTGACCTTCATTGTTTGTATGATCTATATTTTGAATATCATTATTAAAGGTTTCACCATTGACAAGATTATCCTGAAAATATAAGAAATATAAAAAATTATTTAATAATCACTTTTATAATATTCTTAATGTATTAAATTTTTATATATTAAATTATGATATTATTGAATAATAAGATTATTATATTTATTAATTTAAAGCATTTTTATAGCGATTCGAATATAGAATTTATAATAAAAGTTTGCTTATTATATTTAAAGATTAGAATAAAATATTTGTATGATACGGTTCGTATATATTGATAATATTATATTATATTTACTTATTTTTCAAAAATTATTGAAACTACAAAAATATTACTCGAATCTTTGATTTCCTTTTATAATTTATTAAAGTTAAAATAATTATGGGTATGAAATAATTAAAAAAATGTGTCAAATAAAAGTCTTTAAATTACATTTTGCAATTTTTCTTTGACACTAACATCTTTTATTTTATTATTCAACAGGGATGAATTGTCATCAATTTCCATCTTATTGTTAATTAATTGTCCTTCTAATTCTTCGTTATCAAGCGATAAACTTCGATTGTTACATTTCGAATTATTTAAATTATTTTTACATCTATTCACAACATTTTTGTTTTTCTTATTGTCCGAGGAATCATTTGTTAAATCTGTTTTTCCATTATTTTCTTGTAATTGCGGTTGATTTTCGGAAAATCGTCGATCACTAATCGCACGATCATTCATCTTATTTTTTACAACTTCTCAATATTATTTACAACATTAAATTTTTTTTAATAGCAATACTTTGCGATACAATCCTAATATGATACATTATCAACATTATTATTACACCTTTTGCTAATGTAAACAAATCGCCCCGACCGGCAAACATTGACAAACTAAGGTAAAAGAGTAGAATGTTGCTCAACTACATGACATTCCTCATCTCTTACGCCATATCGCCGAATGAATGTTTAATCTGCCAATCGCGCCACTTTCAATTATAATTTATAATATACATACTGGAAAAATTAAAAATATAATAAAATATTATAATTAGATGTGTACATGGATATAATTATATATATATATATATAAGTTGATACTTTAGTAAATTTATTACTGTAGTTTAGATTTGGTAAATGCTATGTAAAAGTAGTGTAAAAGTTTGTTACAATTTTAAATAAAAATAATTATTGTTATAAGAAAGATTCGGAAGATATTGAAAATTATACATTAATGCTAGGATATTATATTTAGTTATGTATATACCTAAGTAATATAAATAACACCGTAAGGATTCTAACTACGAATAGTATATAATTAGTAAATAAAAATTCGTAAGTAAATAGAGGTCCAAACACGTCCAAAGATAAGCTTCTTTCATTCATGATTCTTATACGAAGTCTCTTGCAAATCCCATATCAAACAAATATTTGCGCTCGGGGAACTTGGAACTGGAATAGAAACAAAGGAGGTAAAGTGAATATGACGGTCACATTACCATGATTTTTATTTTAAAATATCAGATGAAATGCATAATATTCTTATTAAAAAGAAACATGAGAAAATAAATCAGTAATTGATATAACAGAAATATATATATATATATATATATATAAACGAAAATACAAAAGAAATATTTTATTTATTACCGAGTAATATCATGAAATCTTATATCTTCATAGTTTTATAAATTAGTTAACTAAATTTATCGTATATTCTAATGTATAGTAATAAAAGTACTGAATTGTTCGTTTTAATTATCATTATTGTGATGTCTTTGATCAACAGTGATGAACAAGTATGAAGTAATGTAATTTGTTGTATGATTAAAAATTGAAATTTGGTGAGTATATGGAACAATACAATGTAATATCAATCATTTTTATGATTTTATTAAAGTATTTATTGTTAAACTATTCTAATGCTTTGGAAAAAAAAAAAAAAAAAAAAAAATGATCTAAGACATATAAATTTTCAATACAAATGTATTGTAGCTTCACGGTGACATAAAGAAACTATAAAGATTAATAAACAAATTAAATCTATGCGTTTACATAATGTGTTCAAGCATTATACGATTGAAACTATTTTATGTGAATAAAACTAGTATAATAAACTATTTTGTATACTTTTTCTAAATATATATATATATATATATATATATATATATATATATATATATATACATAAAACTCTAAACGAGAGATAGATTGATATTATATTTCCCACCCTTGCGAATGCAAGAAGGAAAATGTTGACGCGTGACGGTCTTGTTACAGGCACCTCTCCTATTTCCTTCAACATAAAATGCATGAGAGGGTAGGAATAACAGTGAGCGAGTGAGCGAGTTGTCGAGAGAGAGAGAGAGAAAGAAAGAAAGAAGGAGCGCGAGAGTAAAAGATACTCGGCAATCTCTTCTACTGCATTTACGTGCGTGCGCATGTGAATGTGTCCGCGCTACGAAGTGTGGGTGATTTGCACACTCATATAACGAAGCGAGTCGCGAATTGTGGTCGGCCAAGGCATCGAGGTTCCCCAGTAGTTGGTTCGGTCGCGTCGTCGCGTTCTTAATAGATATTATCCGTCATCTTTGGGATTCTCGCGCGAGCTGCGAGACAAAGTGAGAGTGGGGGAGAGCGGAGTCGTGGAGACGCGCGTCGAAGACGAGCCGCTACTCAAGGCTCGATCCTCTGGCGTTGCTTGCCAAGTTACTGCTGCCCCTGAAGGAAGCGAACGGTGAGTCAACAGCTAAGTGATACGGCCTCTCCTCCATTTCGTCCAACGTCTGATCCTGTTCGCCTTTCAGCATCTTCCTATGTATCCGTTACATTCTCTCTCTCTCTCTCTCTCTCTCTCTCTCTCTCTCATTCGTGTTAACGTACCATGCGCTCGAGAGAGAAGGAAGCGATACAAATCTCGGAGTCTGCGTACCTTCTCGCCTCCATCGCCTATTTATGCCCCGTCGACGTGCTTAAACGCGGCTGTACATTCTTTTTTTATGAAACATGCCGTGGGTGTGTCTACTCTACGTATATCTTACCGATAAGCGCGTAATGGGTCAAAGAAATTTGGCTTGACACGGCGTCTTGGTTTTTACATTCTTCGCCCCCACTATCCCCCCCCCCCTCCGACACATATAAATTCTCTCTCTCTCTCTCTCTCTCTCTCTCTATCTCTCTCCTATAAATTCCTCTTTTTATTATTTCTTTTTACATTTGGTATGTATGGCTCCATAGGTGTACGACGTACCTACGTACGATGCCGTCGCAAAAGCGCATACACTCCATATGTACGCGAATACCACGCTCGCGCGCTTACTCACACATGTGCGTTGGCTTTTTCTTTCTCGCGGCTCGAGCAAACGAAAGAGAGGCTTGGGATTTGCGATTTTTTTTTTTCATAGACAGAGTCATTGATTACAAGTGCAAAGGAAACCGAGAGAGCGAGAAATGCGATGAGGGAGAGAGAGAGAGAGAGAGAGCGAGCGAGGGAGTGAGAGGAAGGGAGAAAGAGAGAGAGAGAGAGAGAGAGAGAGAGAGAGAGAGCGCGCAAGGCGAGCGTCTATGCTCTCTACATTCCGAGCCCTTTGTTGCGCGCCGCATCGCCGCTGCCAGAGCCTGTAACCGCCCACGCCTTATTCTTCTTCTTCCTTCTTCTTCGCAGGCAAAGAGCAGTGGTGGCGGAGTCTGGGGCCCTTCTCGTCCACACCGGGCAAACAGTCTACTCGCGCTCTTGCCGCGATTATAATCTTTCGACCGAGTGACGACGACCGTCTTATCGATATCCTCGACGAAATTCGTAAATGCGAGATATGGTATTTATGGATGTACTCGTTCGCCTAAGCTTTGCTCTACTCCTTCATCGAGCTCCTGTTTTTCATTATTCTCAGTGATCGGTACACGAATAGTCAGCTTGACTTCTCATCACATAGCAACATTCGTTTATTGTTATAAATTAACCATCGTATCGCGCGAACATTGTTCATACAAGATAAAGGAAATTGCTATATCAAATGGTAAAGTAGCTTTTAATAATACCTCATTTTAAACAATTGCCGTGCTTATTTGAAAGTATAAGTGTGTGCTAATCGACGTACGGTTATGTCGTCGACTTGTTTGAAGTTTGAACGCACATCTTTTAACCAGTGCTGATGAATATTTCCATTTTGCTGCAAATCCATATTCCTCGAGGCTTCCGACGATTATATCACAAAGTGTAGTTAAAATCGATTTTTCAGACGTCCCCGTCAATTTGTTTACATATTCATCAAAAAAAAAAAAAAAAAAAAAAAAAACAAACAAACAAACAAACTAACTAACAAACAAAAAAAGAAGAAAAAAAAATATAAAGCGTGAATATTTTTCGTTATACAAAGTTAATGAAATGAAATTTAATGTTTAAAGATGTCCTGACGTGTTTGACTGTCTGTTGTAAATATTTTCGAACATTTATAATGATATGTTGTTCTCTCGTAAATTAATTAAATCGAACGCATTAATGTAAATTTCTATATTTTCATCATTTATAAGTATTATTTGAAGAAATCCTTACCAATATTTTCGTTATCGTATAATCGTTAATATATAACCATTTTAAAAAGCACCGAGCCATTAACATTTATTAAAATAAATTGTATTCTAATAGAAATTTATGATCATTGACATTTTTAAATCTTGATTTATAAATTGTAAATAACCAACTTTCAATTGCGTATAATATGAAATAAGAATTTCTAAGTTTTTTTTTTTTTTTTACGAAATATTCAAATAATATAGCTAAATTGAGGTTGAGTTTTGACCTATTTTTTTCTTTTTGTTTTTCTTTCTTTTCTTTTTTTTTTTTTTTTTTTTTATGGTCATTCGTTCGTACTTTTGATATGTACCGTTTTACATTATAGATTTTTGATTGGAAAAGGTAATAAACGTAGAAACCCCAATGATCAATGCTCTCGCATACATTACTTTTCTTTACAGTGAATTTGAGTAACGCAAATGGATTCTTTAATAATTATTTATATATTATTTCTTTATGAAAATGAAAATAATATTTCAATAATGTTCTCTCAAAAGTCATAAATTTAAAGATAGTTGGGAGAGGATATGTTAATAATTATAGCTAATGAATGAAAGTTAATTAAAGACAACTTATCACGTGCTTAATACAATATAAATGTTTGAAAACGGCCAAGTATTAAAGCCTTTTGGCAAACGTAATAATGTAATTTTCAATTTTCTTACATTACATTCACTTCCCGTAATTCTTATTCTTTATTATATGGAGTGATAATAATAATAATAATAATAATAATAATAATAATAATAATAATAATAATATTTTTTGTTATGCTTTAATTCCTATCACAATGCACTATTAATAGACTGTAAAAATCGTGTAATATCAAATTATTAATTTATGAAGATAATTTAGATTTTTAAATAATAACCTAAAGAAATGTAAAATTCGTTCTTCTCTATTTTAAACACATAGATTTTGTGCTAACGTGGAAGCTACAATGCAGCTAAAAAACGTGATGTACAATTGTATTTTCACATTGGAATATAATGTTTGGAAAGTATAGTCGACTACAATCCATTCTCACTCGACAATTAGCACTTAAATTTTCGCCAATTGCAAATATATACATCCTAACAATACAAGTTATATGATAACGAAGGACACGATAAGTTAGATTAGCTTCACTATTTAGTAACTTCACTAAACTAACGTTTAGCATACATCTTTGTCATTAAGAATATAATATTCTAATAACTCATTAAGCAAGTAATTTCACATAAAAATTCCACAATATCACGCAATCGTAAAAATCTCGTGTAACCGCGAATTTATAAGAGTGATGAAAACTTTAGCAAGCAGGTGAATTTTTATACACATGCAGTTGGAAAGTAGGTTGTGGCCCTCTGGAATTTCAGTGAATTAGAGCTCAGCGGTGGTCTGAAAAGTCTCATTTGAAGTTTCGAACCGAAGAATTAAAAGTCCTTTTAAAGTGCGGACACACAATGGCGTTCCCTCGACAGCTTGGAATTCCGTCGGCGGGCCTTCGCGGAAGCTCCCTTCCTTCTCCCATACTCGTGCATAAAAATGTCGGCGTCGATGACAAGGGTACGCCCCCTCCCTCTCCCATCCCTCAATCCCCACTCCCATTCATCTCCTCGACATTTTTCTCCACCTCCGCCGCCACTTCCCCTTCGCAATTGCGTTGCGACCCCTTGTTTTCCCTTTGACGCGCCATGTACCCCCCGCTGTTACCTGCTACTTTCCTTCATTTTGTTGGTGGCTTTTTACCTGCAAAGCCGACGGGAAGATTTTTCTCCTCTGCCTTCCCAATCGGTTATATTTCAAGATTGCGTTGCGCCGTATCTCTAGCGCCGGCAAAAACGAGATTTTATCATTTTCTAATCGGAAATTAATTCGACCTATGTAGAGTGGCCGAAGGTATTTTACGGCAAGTTTTTCTCCCAATTGCTGCATTTGCTATAACTATAAACAAAACGAATAAAAGTCGATAGGTGGATGGTATTTCAAATAACCATCAAACCATATTATGATCATCATCCTTTCGATTATCATTTTTCAATTCATAATTATTCATCTACAATCCTCTATACGAAGTATTAAATTATGCAAGATAACAAACTTTGCTTTATCTCGCTCATCAAAAATAACGCGTTTGTCATTGATTGTAGGTAAATTAAAAAGATAATTTGAAGCTCATTTTAAACTAGTAAACTAACAATATCTTTCTTACGTTATCGAAGCTTGAAATGCTAGAACATAAAGAAATGCCAATTAAAACCTTAGCATAAGTTGTTTGAATAATTTCCATAACATAGATTATAACAATTAATATATATATATATACGTTTTTTATAAAAAAATTAAATTTAATATTAATTTTGATGTGCCTGTATTTAGTATACAAATAGAAAAGTTTTATATAACCAAAATAAATTCAATTCGTTTTATTTGAATATTTTTCATTAATATTAATATCATTATATTCATTCTATGGCTTTAATTTATAAATATTAGTTATAAATTGCATGTACATGATTTAAGGATTAAATTTAAATTAAATTTAAGGAATTTTATAGAAAGTATCGAATTATTGACATAAATAATTCGGTGTAGCGTTTAACATAAATTTATCAGTTGAGAATTACACGATTTATCAATATATTTCATAAATTTCATTTTCGAAATTTGAACGTACACATTAGGATTTTTTATTTACATATAAATGCTTGTTGTTATTCTTTGTCGTACTTTCATTTGCGTCACGCGCCTTCGAGGAATTTGTACACATACACTGCTATTCTAAAACACGTACTTTGTAGTATAAAGTTTATAATAACAATATGCGCACTCGGTGTATAAAATTTCAAATTCGATGGAACATTTAATGCATCTAATGAATTAGATAGTTTATCCATTAATATTACGGTGTGCAAATGAATGGAAAACAAATATGTCTATACCTTTATCTAAATAAATCTATATTTATACATAAACTATTTAGGTATAAATGTAGAAAAAAAAAAAAAAAAAAAAAAAAAAAAAAAAAAGTAAAAGTTAAATTAATATATTCAATACTTATTTTAGTAAAAGCACTTTCAAATACATTAAAGTTATTCATCCCAAACAATTTTTCTATAGATAATATAATATTTGTATAATATTGTGTTGAAAGCATGCTTGAGGCATTCCTATAATAAATCCCATTCAATATTGAATTTAGTTTTGCTAGAATTGTCTCTATTCTAATACATAATTTTTTTTAATTACAATTTTATAAACAAATAGTAATAAAACACATGCACTATTAGCTCATATTTTACTTTGTTTTGTACATAAAGTCTTTACTGTTAACTGTATTGTTTATTATAATCGCGTAAATTTTAATACGCAAAAAATATTAAATAGACAATTTTTGTTTTGTTTTGTTTTATTCTGTTCATAAATAACAGTTTATTTGAATGATTGCAAATATAATTGAAATTAGAAGTAAAAGAAATTAGAACACGAGAACTTTAAGAAAACATTCCAATTCAGTATTTGGGCATTAAAGTGAAATATTATCATTCATTAGTCATTGTATTTGTAATACTTGATTCTCAATAATTTCGTCTTTTTTATTTAGTTATTGCATTGTTTTTAGGTGCTGTTAAGTCACGACGAAGACATGAGCTATCAATCCAGGCCAAGTAAGTACCATTTTTTTTTTTGTCGTAATACTTAGATTATATAGAAATTTTTATTTAAAAATATTATTTGAATAAAAATAGCTAATTAAGAAAATCAGCTTAGAATTTATGTTCGCGACTTTACCGAAGACGAATCGAATGTCTTCCTCTCATACGAATATTACTTAAGTCTGAAAAATGTTAATCCTTTATGAGGACATTCTTTAATCGTTTTTTAAGTAATTAACGCAAAATATCTGGTTATAAAAACAATAAAACTGTTGATAATCAATTATGGAGCTGAAAGCTCTTTCATTTTAGTCTTTTTTACATCTATCATATACTTTCTAAATGTTTAACGTTTTTCTTTTAGTGTCGCACGGCAACTACCAACAAGGTCCACCGGATCTGCCCATGTGCTCGACCAAGGAGCAGACGCTCATGTGGCAGCAAAATTCCTACATGGGTGATTCAGGAATCCACTCTGGAGCAGCTACTCAAGCTCCCTCGCTCTCTGGCAAAGAGGATGAGGAGATCGAAAGCGACCATCAGCTCATGTTCGATCTTGATCAAGGCTTCGCACAAGGGTTCACGCAGGATCAGGTTGATGGTACGTCAAAGGATTTGTATTTTTTATTATTAATTGTATATATAATTTAAATGAAATAATATATAAATGTAAATATTAAGTGTATAGTAATTTTCAATATTGAAAATTCTCAAATTCAATTTTCTCCAAATTTATAAATTTTACTTTCAATCTATAGAGATGAATCAGCAGCTGAGCCATACGCGCTCGCAGCGTGTGCGCGCTGCTATGTTTCCGGAAACCCTGGAGGAGGGTATCGAGATCCCATCGACTCAATTTGATCCAGCACAGCCAACGGCGGTGCAGCGTCTCTCCGAGCCTAGCCAAATGCTCAAACATGCCGTGGTTAACCTGATTAATTATCAGGATGACGCTGACCTGGCCACAAGAGCCATACCTGAGTTAATTAAGTTGTTGAACGACGAGGACCAGGTGGTCGTGTCCCAGGCAGCGATGATGGTACATCAGCTCTCGAAGAAGGAGGCTTCCCGGCACGCAATCATGAACAGTGCCCAGATGGTATTGGCATTGGTCAGGGCAATTTCCAACAGTGAAGATCTCGAATCGACCAAAGCTGCCGTTGGCACCTTGCACAATTTGTCGCACCATCGGTGAGAATCGCTTTACTTAATCCATAAATAATGTTCTATTAAGAATAACTGTTAATTATAAATAACTTTTTGATTCTCAAAACCAAAACCAAAACCAAAAAAAAAAAAAAAAAAACGTAAGAACGTATATTAAATTTGTAAGTTGGATTATTGATAAAAATTACATACGTAATGAGCCATTATACTTAATTAGAAATTTAATTTTTTGAAGTACCGTGGAGTTTGTTTCGAAAAAAACGACTCAAGAATTTTAATATTAACATTGTACAATTTATGTACACTCATAAAAGATAATATTTCTCTACATAGAATGCTTGTTAGATTAAAATTTTTAATATTTTCCATGTACAGTCGACGTATTATCAAAAAGTCGCATAAAAGTTCGTCCAACATTGAAAACGTATTTCTTGATAATTTGATAGACAAGGTCTCTTGGCAATATTCAAGAGCGGTGGAATCCCCGCTCTTGTAAAACTTCTGAGCTCCAACATCGAATCAGTGCTCTTCTATGCGATTACAACACTGCATAATTTGCTGCTGCACCAGGACGGCTCTAAGACAGCGGTGCGCTTAGCTGGGGGTTTGCAGCGCATGGTGATATTGTTGCAGCGAAACAATGTAAAGTTTTTGGCCATAGTAACTGATTGCCTACAGATTCTCGCATACGGGAATCAGGAGAGCAAATTGATCATTTTGGCCTCGCAAGGACCGGCAGAGCTCGTGCGCATCATGAGATCTTATGACTATGAGAAGCTGCTGTGGACTACATCTAGAGTACTCAAAGGTTTATAGTTGTTCCTTCAATTAAAATTTAATTACGTTTTTATAGTTATTAGGAAGAAAAACTAGACTGGCCGTTAGCCTTAATTCATAATTGTAAAAAGTGCCAGTTAAATTTTGAGTAGCACATTATCCTGTTCGCAATTATATGCTTAATGATTATTAATATTGAAGTAAATAATATTGAAATTCAGGCAAAATTAAAATTTAATATACTTAGCCTATTAATAAATAGGAAAAAAAAACTTTTTAATTTATTTTTTAAGTTTCAGTACGTAGTAAAAATACTATTGTGCCATTGTTTTCGAACATTTTTTAACACACACACACACACACACACACACACACACACACACACACACACATATATATATATATATATATATATATATATATATGGCAGTATAAGTAAATCGTTTGTATTATATTTCACGTAAAATTTGTTTTAAAATTCTTTTATATGAAAATAACTAAAATGAAAATTCAAAAGGCAATATCACGATATCGTATAAAAATGTTATAAATTCAAATGACAAATATGCCCATATTTTTTTATGCTCGTTTTCATTTAAATGCACACTTACGTATCGATAATAAACCATTAATATTATTTTTAGTACTGTCAGTATGCGTGAGTAACAAACCTTCGATCGTTGACGCCGGTGGTATGCAGGCATTGGCGATGCATCTCGGTAATGCAAGTCAGAGACTCGTACAAAATTGTCTCTGGACACTCAGAAATCTATCTGACGCTGGTACAAAGGTTGATGGACTCGAAGGTTTACTTCAAAGCCTTGTGCAAGTACTTGCCTCGACCGACGTTAATGTTGTTACGTGCGCTGCTGGAATCCTCTCAAATTTGACCTGCAATAATCAGCGTAACAAGGTAAGTAAACAATATGCATTTGGTAAAATTACCTGCTATTTATGACTTAATAATATTTGATGCCTCGGTCAATTAATAAAAAAACTTTCCCCCAATTTTATTATGGATAATCGAGTTATTTAAGTTATAAATAAATCTCTGTACAAATGAGGGAAGATAAACATGCCATTGGTGAGAGAGGATTCGATAAAAGTTTATACTGTTGTGTTTAAACGACAACTTAACAGATCGAGTATTATACCTTTAATGGTTTCGGTTCGAGATAACGGAAAGATTTAAAGAAATAACACGTTAGTTCCCCATATTAGTTGAAGAACAAAAAATGATGATTAGATTAAGGTCTAATTTGCATTTTAGGCAGTCAAGATGCGTGAATTCACCTGTTGCTGATATGAAGTTAAATTGATATCAATAATAGTAATTTTCTTAGCGCAAAATGATATTTAACATTGGTATAAGTAGATGTCAACACAATATTTTCTCTTCATCTAATATAAATATCTCATACGTTTAATATATTTCTTATAACGTTAAAATATATATGATGTAGTATGCGCTGTTAAATTCCAGATGATTTCACAATTTTCGTAATAAATTATGGCCGTCTTATATGCTTAACATGCGTATACACTATGAATGTATACTTCACCGACAGTTCAATAAAAATGGAATCATTAACACATTTTTCGCCCGTTTTCATTTAAAGTAATCCTTTCGATTGATGATCGAACAACTAGTTGTGGTCAATTTACAAATACATATAATACGGAAATAATACGCCTCTAACTCATATTCATTCAGTGTAACAATTATTTTTGCAAATTTAATTAAACATAAGTACATCGTGTCATATTGTACATATTTTAATGCACGATATTTTTATTTTTTCAATAATAAGAATAAGTGTTATTTGTATTTGCGTGTCAATCGATATGAATATGCTTTTCGATTATTTAAAATATTAAATATAACTCGTTATAAAAAAAACTATACCAATTCGCTTTAATTTACTACCTATAACCGCCTTGAATTTCATTTAAAACAGTAATTGTTTTATAAATCAAATATAATTGTAAGTTAATTGCTAAAGGATCGTTTTATAATAAGAGTATAAGCACCTTAGATTCGATGATGTTAGATCTAAATTAATCAATGTAGTCAAAAATCGTGACCATTTTCGACAATGCCATGCCCTTTTAACGGCACAATAATTAAAAAATTTAATCTTTATTTTATTTTTACTTTGTTTTTTTTGTTTTATGATTATTATTATTATTATTATTATTATTATTGTTATTATTAATTTTTTTATGTCAGTGTTTTATATTTAGGACAATTTTGAAAAATTCATAATAGTTCATTTTAAACATAATTAGATTAAAAAAGAAAGTTTCACTTGATAATGACATTGGAATTTCTAGGTGACTGTTTGCCAAGTTGGAGGTGTTGACGCGCTGGTGCGCACAATTGTAAATGCTGGTGATCGCGAAGAGATAACAGAGCCGGCAGTTTGTGCTTTACGTCACCTGACGTCGCGGCACGTCGAAGCGGAAATGGCACAAAATTCAGTGCGTATAAATTACGGAATCCAAGTGATTGTGAAGCTGCTCCAGCCACCTTCCCGTTGGCCCCTTGTTAAAGCTGTCATAGGCCTCATTAGGAACCTTGCCTTGTGCCCAGCAAACTACGCTCCGTTACGGGAACATGGTGCTATTCATCATTTAGTGCGACTTTTAACACGAGCTTATCTTGACACAGAAAGGGTATATACATATACATAATATACATACATACATATATATATACACATATTTAGATAGAGATATATTATCATATGATATAGTTATAAACTTAAAAAATTCTAAAAATAAATAATAATAAAAAGAACATAATTAATGTTATAAATACAATATAAAATAACTGTTTGGCTATATGATAGTAATTTGTGTAGCGCACACTCAAAAAAATTCGTATGATTTTGTTAAATATTATAAAACCATTGGAATATTTGAAATTCTAAATAGAATTTATACAATCGAAACAAATACTTCTTTCAAGTTTTTTCACCCAGTATGTGTAGATGTTAGTAAAATTGAAATAAAATAAAAACCAATACTTTGCTATCACAGGACGTTAGTTGAATATAAGAATTAGGCAATTATATTTATTTTGTAGTAATTAAAATCTTAGAGGAAAATCAATTTACATAATTTGTACATATCTTCATTTGTATACGATTTTTTTTAGCAACGTTCTTCAGTGGCTAACGCTGGAAGTCAAGCGGCTCCAGGAGCATACGCAGATGGTGTACGTATGGAAGAAATTGTTGAAGGCACTGTTGGTGCACTTCATATTCTTGCTAGAGAATCTCATAATAGAACTATCATTCGATCACAAAATGTTATTACAACTTTCGTTCAGGTAAGGACTTAAATTTTTGTGCATAAACACTCGCGTGCGCGCGCACATAAACGAAAATTAAAAAAAATCTGTAATATTTAACCAAAATACGTGAATACGTAATTGTACATCTAATATAAACGTATTATTATATAAATGTATAATTTTATAAATGTACTATTATTATTATTATTATTATTATTATTATTATTATTATTATTATTATACAGTTTGTTATTAGTTTATAATTAATTATTAATGCTTAATAGTTTACATTTTAATAAGAAATATCAATGAATGCTTACAATAGATTAAATAATTATATTACTTTCACTTTTGTCGCTTGAAAAACAAAATCTAAATTTAACTACACATGCGATAATTTTTTTTGTGGCTATCGTAACTTTATTCATACATGTGTAATGATATATTTTAAAATAAATCTCTATTTCTCACAGCCTACAACTACGAAAAAAAACATACATTTAATCCTTGATCCCTGTTTCTTACAGCTATTGTACAATGAGATCGAGAACATTCAGCGCGTGGCTGCTGGTGTGCTCTGTGAGCTTGCTGCAGACAAGGAAGGCGCGGAGATGATCGAACAAGACGGGGCGACGGCTCCGCTCACTGATCTGTTGCATTCGCGTAACGAAGGTGTGGCCACTTATGCCGCAGCGGTCCTCTTCCGCATGAGCGAGGATAAGCCCCAGGACTACAAGAAGCGGCTCTCTGTCGAGCTGACGAATTCACTGTTGCGTGAAGATACCAACCTTTGGAATAACACCGATTTCGGCATGGGTCCGGATCTACAGGTATCTCGAGATGCGCGAGTCTATTGAATTTAGATAAGATTTGATATGTCATAAGCAAAACAGTCTTACGAAAATGTTGGTCAATGCCGCGAAGCCTTCCAAACTATAAATTAAGATATTTGGAATGATTTCATTATGCTTTAATTTAAATATTTATTGTTCATGGCAAATCATTTACTTTGAAAATTTTTAATTCATATGTATTAGTATTTATAAATTTGATTAAATCTATTAGTTTTGATAATAGAATTATTAATATAATAGGATTATATTATAGTATATTATATATTGTAATAAGGATATGATATTATTGTATTGTAATATAAGTTTTTAGAGTGCTTGCAAGGTAAAATAAATACTTCGTAAAAGGCTATTATTAATGTTTATTAGTATATATTCTTTTATATTATGCAATGCGTACTTTTATTAATATTTTTTTTTTGTATAATACCAAATTTAACTAATTATGTAAATATTTTTATCGATGTGAAATATATTGTTGAACTTGTCAAACAAGTTAAATAATGAAAAAAATTTTTGGAGATTTTGCAAAATGAATAACAAATTTTAAATCTGAACAAAGGTTAGTTTAAGTTAGTGTACAAAGAATAAATCGTTTCTTTAATTATCGCGAAAAGTAATTGCAAATTAAATAATTGAGATCCAGAGACTTTAGAAATGCAAGTAGTTGATCAAACTGAAAATTCTAATTAAACCGATTTGTCTTTCAATTATAGATCTTGGCTAATTAAGGAATTTATATATGAAATTATATGACATTGCAATGAATATTGTAAAAAATAAATCGTTATAGTCTTGTTTATTTCATTCAAATGGAAAATTTTTGTAATAAAAAATATGATTTTCAATATCGTCAAATATTTTGAAATATAAAAAAGAAGACAGAAATGTAAACTAGTATTTTGATAAAAAAAAGAAAAAAGAAAGAAAGATTTCTTTTAGAATATCTTTTACAATTATTACTAAATTATTTTTGAATATTTTTTTAATTAATTTTATACTCATTATAAGAACAGCATGATGTTCAAATGTCAGAATTTATTTGCTTACCACTATAATTTTAATGTTTAGCAATATGTTAATCAATGTTGATGAAATCGTGCTAAAATTCCAGTATGTATAATTATAATTTAGCATCATATGAAAAGGAAAATAATTACGTAAGCTAGCTTAATTAGAAAAATATAGTTAATATTTACAATGCAGCATAATAACATTGATGCAATAAATAACTTGCATGGGAATGCTCTTGACTTTGACCTATTTATGTCTTGCCAGACAAATCAGGTATCAATATTGATGTTAACAAACGTTTGTAGTACTTGAATATATTATTTATTGATGTAATGTATAAATTGTTCTTTTAAAAACGACATATTTACTTCAGAATAACATAGTTTTCCTAATCTACGAACAAAACGGCACGACGATTATTTTTTTATTTTTTATGACAAATAACAATTAATTTACATCTAAATTTACGCGAGCATGTTAACACAAACTTGCAATGCAATTTGTAATCAAATAAATAACAACTATGATATACCATGATATTTAAAGAATATATATTTTCAAACAACATATGAATAAGGACAAATAATGCTATTCTTTTTAAATTTGTCTAGAATTGAAAGTTAAATTAAAATTCAATTTTAACAAAGTGGAATAGAAAACTATGTTTATTATAAAATAATATCATAATTATAAGGGAAAATGACCCATAAGCTGTATATGGAAGATCATCTGAAGCGTATGGCAATCATTCATTTAGCCTGCCCACTTTTTATTTCATTTTAAATTTTTGTGATGACCTCTCATACAATCCTCAGGACATGCTCGGTGCTGATCAGACTTATGACGGTATGTATGGACAAGGACCTCCTAGTATACATAGCAGCCACGGAGGCCGTATATACCAGCCCCAAGGTAAATTATATCATCAATTTCTTTTCACTTTTAAGTTATATATAATTTTTATTACTCGTTAATTCATCATAAATTTCATGATGTATTGCGTTTAGGCTAAGTAATCGAAAAGTATTTGAACTTTATGTTTTATTCATGTTCTATTCATTTTTCTTGTATTTATATATATATATATATATATATATATATATATATATATATATATATATAAATTAATAATTAAAGTTATTAAATCTGTCACTCCATTTACAAAGGAAATGTGCTGAATAGTTTTTATTTGAAAATTATTTGATTAAATATTTATTTTGTGATATTTTTTACAGATTCGGAAATAACATTTTAAATATAATCATATCAAGCAATTTATAATGACTTATAAATTTCCATTTTCATTTTATAATATTATATTTATCTCAAAATAAAGAAATTTAAATAGATAAAAAACATTTCTAAACGAATGGAATGTTTATTTTGTAAATTTTATATAATATGAGAATTTTTTAAATCTATTGTAATTATTAAATACATTTTTTTTCGTCTCTTAAGTTTAAAAAATGAATGGAAGTAAAGTATGGGAATATATACTTTTAAAACATCGTAATTGTAACAGTATGATCTCATTCCAATTACTTTTTTATATTTCCTAACAGTAAGTCTGATTTTTTAAAGGATAAAAAGGAAAAATTGTTATAATTAAAATATAGAATCTTCGGTATTGTTAGATATTCTTATTTTTTAGTTATATTTTATTCATAAATTCATAGGATGATAGTATTAGATTGAATTACAAAACATCTTAAAATTAACAAATGGTTATGAAAACATTGAATTTGCCCATCGCATCATTATATTTGCTCGTGAAGTTTTTTTTTTTTTTTTTTTTATAAAATAACGCTACAAAACGTTAAATTAATTTAATTAGTGGCTCGTTACAGTCAAAAATAAAAATCTATCAAGGAATTTAAATCGCTTTATTATTTTAACAGCGTAACCCATGGACTAAACTATAAGTAACAGGCAATCGACAATATCTTGCAGTATAAGATCATAGGTGAAAAAACTCCTCAGATTTATCCTTAAAAAAAACTTTTATTTATCTGCTTAATATTGATGTTGTACGTATTTCGATGTTGCATTGTGATAACCTATTGTAATATTTGTTATACACAACTCGCATGACGAATGATCACAAGTATTTTACGCAAGTGTCGTTGTTTTTATAAATATTATTTTTATTATTTTATGTTTTAATAGTTTTATTCATTGAATTTTATTTGCTGAACAAAAGTATTTCGGCATGCTCTCATAAAAAAAGAGAAAAGATAAAAATTATGATTATATATGTGTGTGGGTGTGCGTCTGTGTGTGTGTGTGTGTATGCGCGCCCGCGCGCGCGTGTATGGGTAAATGAAAGATGAACAAATTATAGAAGTATGTAGAATTACAGAATTTTTCTTTTAAATTTACATAGGAGTTTTACTTGTCTTTATACTTTTTTCTTTTTATTAATTCTTTTAATTTATATATTAAAATTTTAATATAATACTGTTTATGTATGTGACTTACTGTTAGATACTTATTATTAGATGTACATTTTGGAAACCGAAGAGTATCGTGCTACTCCATAGTATTTTTCAATATAATCAGCTATACATAAATAGTATATATATTTAAAGAATCCGAGATTGATCAGTTTGGTAAATTATTCTGGATTAAGGAGAAAAATTCTATAATTAGTCGATGTTTGAATGAATTTTCAAAGTTGACGAAGAAAAAGAACGTTACTTTGTATTGTGTATTTATATTTTGTATTCTTATACGTTGCAGAAGTGTAGTAAACGTAAAAGGAAGCAGAAATTCTTCTATAATATTAACGAATGCTCATTGATGAATTTTCAGGTTATGACCAGATACCAGTAGATTCCATGCAGGGACTAGAAATAGGTGGTGGTTCGACGTATGGAGCGATGGACACCATGGACGTGGCACACGAAGGTGATCTAAGTTTCGACCATTTGGAAGAGCTCCCTGCGCCACCTCAGGATAGTTCGGTCGCGGCCGCTTGGTACGACACGGACCTTTAGAAATTATCCTTTCGTTCAAGTAAAGCATCAAAACAGGAAAACATTTATATTTTTTAACATATTTATCAAAAAAAAAAAAAGTAAAAACAAATATTTTAGCAGTATGCTGAATTAGGAATCTTACTGCTTTCTCATCGCTATAATTTGCTGCTTCCTTCAATGGAATATGTCAGGCGTGAAAATTTAAGTACGAACAGTGTTCGCTATGATTATTATAACTAGGCTTAATGATAAAAGTTCGTAATGGAGATAAATTGTCAAGTACTTTAAGGCTGACACTTTTTGTTATTTTATACTTTTACAGTGGTTGAGGCATTTGCAGAAATGATATAATTAATTCGACTGCGTCCGAACGATCGTAATTAATGAAAGTAAATAACTAAAAGGTATTTTATTCACTGTAATTGTCATGTTATCGATTCGACAATTACGTATTTACCAACTTGTTTCTAATAATTGTAATTAGTAGATAAAAATAGAATTTATCGGTCGCAGTTTAAGTCATTTTTACAAAGTTCTTTTATAAACTTTCAAAGCCAGAATGAAAACAAAAAGTATCGTTGAAGTATTTACAATGTTCGTTTAAATAAAAAAATAATAAGAATCATCGAATCCCAAAACTGAAGTTTATTCAACTTTTTTCTTTGATGTTATATAATCTTAGTGTAAAAATATTATATTGACTTTAAGGCATTTAACTTGCGACTCCTGCAAGAACTCGTGATAATTATGCAATTTTAAAGTTATTTTTTATTCTTTTTATAGTTGGTGATTTACTTTTAAAAAATTTTCTAATAAAAAGAGAATATAGAAACTTGCATCTTATTATGTATACTAAATAGTGTAAAACAAATAAAACAATATTCCCGTAATATTTGATTTTATGAAAGGACTATCTTAAGAAATTTACACCTTTGTACAAAGTTGTTTCAAACTCTCATTTAAACGACGATTACTAAAGTTACATAAAAATTTATAGAACTTTAAAAGCAATGCTTAGAACTTGATTAATGTAATAAAAAATAAAAAGAAAAACCTTGGAAATCGTTGTTAATAGGAAAAATTGTAACAAGAAACCGCAATTTTTTTTAATTAGGGGAGTTTGAAAAAGCTGCATGTCATTGTAGTAAAAAAAAAAAAAAAATACATCAAACTATATACTTATATATTACTAGAACTATTCATTTTTATTGTAAGTAAGCCATAAGGAGAGAGTATTTACACCTTATTAATCTAATGATTAAGTATTTACTATCGATCCGCTTGTCTTTATACACATCTTTATACACTTGGAAAAAAAATCAAGCATATACAGACACAAACGTAATTACATTTAATGAATAAGAAACAAAATTATTTCACATTATGCTTAAATAAAATGTTTCACTATCAGATATAAATACGAATGTATTGTTTAATTGTCCATAGTAAAATACAATTATGACGACTAAATGAATTACTGGAATAAATTTAATATGAAATGTACAAGATGAAAAATTAAAAATAAAAAAATACAACAAAACTATTGTAACATTGTTGTACATTTCAATACGTCGTTTTTCATAAGACAGAATATTAATAACACATACTGCGAATATACAATATTGTATTTGTATTTTAGAATTTTAGGTACAATCTGCAAATAAAACATAAATGGTCGTAAGACTTTTGTTTTTCTTTTTATATCCTCGTATACATCCTCGTTATGATTTTTCTATTATTTTTTTTTCTGAAAATTTGACGCATAACCATTTACTATGTGTAATTCATATTCAAGAGCAAGGAAAAATAATTCAATTCTCGAGAAAAACTTCTTAATTTAGTTTTATAATAAAATCAAATATATTAGAAAATTCATTATTTCAAATTCAAAATAATATAATAAAAAATTCATAATTTATACATATAATATTTATATTCAAAAATACATAATAGTTTTCGTTTTTGATTATATAGTTTTGCAATGTATTTGCATATTTTTACAGATACAAAATCAACATACTTTCCCCTACTATGTATCGATTTTATTGAAAAGCATAATAAAATTACTAAATATTTAGGTAAATATAACTGAACAATAATTTTTTTTTTTTTTTTTTTTTTTATATACTATGAGAAATTCTTGTTTATTGCATAAATATGATTTAATATATTTAAATCTTAAGTAGTTTATTATAAAGATTGTTGTATTATCAATACGTAGTGTACATTGACAATTTATGAAATATTGCTGAAGAGATTTGATATTCTAATTTCTTCAATATTTTCCTCTTTTCTTTGTATCCATTGTATATATCATAGCTTCATATACACGAAATTTATATGCAACAATTTTTTTATACCTCCGTGTGTTGATAGTAATAGTATAGTAATAATAGATAAATTCATTTACTTTACATATAATTCTATATGTAAATATTTGCGAATTAAAATTCTTTACAATTACATCGAAATATATGTGTATATATATATATATATATATATATATATTAATAATATTAATTATTATTAATTAAAGTAAAGGCAGGGCATACAAAATGCTTGTGTTAAAGCAGCGAATGGTTTCAGAAATATTAAAAATTATTTTCTACTTAAAGCAAGTCATGTAATAATATGACAGTCGTCTAATGAATCATGTAACGACACCAATGTGAAATCGTTACGTCTGCAGATGTAATGACATATTTATCTTTATTTAAACGTCAATTAAAAAATATAATTTCTTCTTTTTTATTGACACATTACTCTAATTATTCAATTATTGCAAAAATTAAAATGCCATAAATAATCCTGTACTATTTTGTTTGAAAAATTATATATGCAATTAAATATATTTACTTGGTGGAAGCTTAAAATATTGTATTTGGATAAAAATTAATATAAAAATAAAAAATAAAAAGTTTTATACGTTATTGTTGTTTATGTTGGTTGGATGTATTTATAATGGAAAAATTATCTTAAAAAAATAATTTTTATGATAAAGTAGTTTAAATGATAATTTTTCTATTTTCATAATTTAATTTACATTATCTAACTGTTGTTGAAAATTTTTGTAAATAATGTATTAGTGTATATGTTAGTATTAAAAATTTAAACGTACTTGATAAACATTGATATTTTTCTTAATAATTATCATTGCTAATTAACTATTAATTATTAGCAGTCAATCTTCCTTCAATAATTTATAATAATTTAAGCAATTAGTATTTTTATTTAAAAAAAAAAAAAAACGCAGAAAAAAAACAATTTTAAAAGTAGCAAAATTTTCATTTTTGAAAGAATCTTAGTGAATAAAGTATAATTTTTTTATATCAATTATAGAATTATCAATACAGAATAAGGATCTATTTATGCTATAAGAATATGATTCTTAAGATAGATCGATATTTTAAATAATTTGAAAATAATGCTTCATGAAGGTTTCTGAGTAATAAATTAGTATTTTGTAGTAATTTTAAAAGTTAATAGTTAGTATATGAAAGTATGATAAAAATATAACAAATAAAGGTATATAACAAATAAGGAAATATATAACAAATAAGGAAACAAGTTCCTTATATCGAAATAATAATATAACGGTACAAGTCTGTAATTTAATTATGTTATAATCAACGCATGAATATATCAGCGTTAAATATATAGTTTATAAATAGATGTTATAAAGCGATAAAATCATTAGACGAATTTTTTAGTTTTCATTGTACATCAAAATGGTTTTTGTTATATGGTTTTTGATACTTTCTAATATAATTTATAAAGTCATTAAATTATTGGTATGAAATCTTATATAATGATCGGTCAGATATGAATAGTCAAGTATAATTTTGAGGCTACTGATTATATCGTATACCGTTAATTTTTCTTTTACTGCACATACATCATCAGCTCGAGATAAATAGTTCGAATAGCAAAGCAAAAAGTAGAAAGTTACATAAATTAGGCATCGTTTGTATCGTTCCCTTTATAACTTCACCAATACTTACATTTATTTTAAGCATAAAGTAGTAATATTAATAAAAAAAAGAAACGAAAACAAAACAAAAGCACAATGATATGAATCAATACCTGATATGATATGAATAAATTAAAAATTAAGGTCGATTTTTCAAAGGTATGAAGTTGTTATATACACGGAGTCTCTTGTTTTAAATGATTAAATTATCGTTAAAAGCCAGTTAAAAGAAAACCAACGGATGCCCAAATTCGATTTAAATCACGCAATGTATTTCATTAATGGCGTCTACACGACACGATAAAAAAAAAAAAAAAAAAAAACAATAACATTGCGACGATTCAGGAAAGAAAAACACGTTTTATATAAAAAAAAAAAAAAAAAAAAAAAAAAAAAAAAATTAACAAACTTCCATTACGACAATAAATCAATGTAGTAAATAAGTGAGTGATTTAGGAGCAAAAATAGTAATTTTGCGCTCGAAGGATTACTTGGACGAGTGCAGACTACTCGCCTGAAATGGGGATAATCGCATCGACTCGCGTCTGCCCCTGAAATGTCTCTTGCAATAACGCATACACGTACGCACATGCATCTGTTTGTCGGACGTGATATAGAATGAACGCCATCCTTACGCGATGCAGAAAATGAAAGTTGAGATTCCACAAACGCCGGGTTCAAGTATACATGCAGCTCTGCATAGTGTTGCAATAATCGAGAGTCCGAACACCTGCTGCTTAGTCTATACTTAACATCTCCGTCTATCTATTTATCTCCCTCTAACCCCACCTCCTCATCCACATCATCCACCTCATCCCCCAACCTCTCACTCTCTCTCTCTCTCTCTCTCTCTCTCTCTCTCATCCACTTCCTTTTTTCTTTTATGTTTTGTTTTATGCAAGTATTTCTATCAGTTATATTCAATTATTAGACATTGGCGGAGTGCGTAATTCATAAATATTATCAAACACAATGCAGAGAAAACGATCTTCTCTCAAGATCTTTCAATTGTATCGTTGAGTTTCATTTTTATATTTGCCAGTGCTGTTTACGATAGCGAGATTTAAGGATGCAACGCGTACATTTTGTAATGCTGGTCTCAAAGATACGAAGTTTAGCCTCGGTTAAGTTGCACAAGCCATAATATGATTTGGAAAAAAATTAAGGGCATAATGTTGTATCTTAAAAGTCTTGAGCGACTAATTTATTTAAGCTGTAGCGAGCCTTCTTTACGTTTAAATATTTTAATTAATCTTATTATGTATTTTATGAATCCATTGTTGGAATTTATATAATTCGTCACATTTGAACATTTTCATCGATTTTACTATCCGAATATGTGAATATTTCACTTTAAAGCTTGTAAATTAGGGACTA